GAGGGGTATTAGCAACCCCATTGCTAGCAATAAACCCTATCAGGTCGACCTCCTCACGGTTCCTCTTGAAAACCATCTTGATTGGTTTATTGTTGAATTTGTCACGAGGAGCCAACTGACCTGATTCATCCTCATCTATCATCCCTCTCTGGTGCCCCGCCAGTGTATACCAATAGCGGAGACGGGCTACCATTACATTATCATCCATTAAAAAAAAAACGAAAACCAGCCATGCAAACACAACTGCTTCACGGTAGAAACACGAATGGGACAGAGATGCCAAAGTAAACGACTTTTGTACAACCAGAGGGAGACTCCCTCTGGTAAAACTACTAGTAAAACCCCATTATGACAAAGTCCTACGTATACATTTAGTATTGGATAGTTAATGACTGTAATGATAATGATGATGGAGAAATTAAGTAAGCCTATATGCATGTCAGTTGCTAAAGTTAGCACTCCAACACATGTTCGCCACTCAATCGTTCCCATGAACGTTTGAATATTTTACAATGAACATTTGCATCGATTTTCTTGTGTGGCACAACAAATCATTCCTGTAATCATTCCTCATTGTGCATTTCGAACGTTGCACATACTTTGGTGCACGCATGCGAAAGAGCGAGACGGTGAATCGTGAACATTCTCGTAGCGGCGCTACTGTAATTACTCGTACTAGGAAATTTTAATGTAGATCGAAGATATTAGAACAAGGACTTTCATGTTTTTAAATATACATCAATACGTTTGTAATGTAACCTAGTTTATAGGTGCATCTTTTAGAATAGGTTATAAACTATTTTTGTTAATTTTTTTTTGAAAACTTTATTGCACCAGGAACATAAAAATATACAATGAAAAACAATTCGAGTGAAATACACTAGCGTAAAATACAGATCAAAATATGTACATAAATGTACAAAAGGCAGTCTTATTGATAGAACAATCTCTTACAGGCAATCTTTATATTTATTTATTAACTTCATATGAACTGTTAACTTGGAGATACTTGAGAGAGATTGGAGGATTAGAGATACGCTAAATGTTTGATTAATTATTTTATACTAATTGTTTCCAGTGGCTTTGCCCCTCTGTGAAATTATTCAGTGTTAAGTTCGTATATACACTACCCATGTACCAAATTTAATTTAAATCCGTTGAACCGTTTAAGCGTGATTGAGTAACATATATACAAACTTCTAAACTTCTTAATAAACTTTCATATAATATAAGAAGGATTATGAAGGATTATGAAAGATTATGAGGACCACTGCCGAACCTGTAACTTTGTTAATAAGGCTCCTGAGGGAGGTGGGGGGGGGATGGAGGTAAAGGTATTAATAATATCTTTTATAATTAGTTTTTTACCGCAATTTTAGAATAGAATAGAATAGAAAATATTTATTGCCAGAAAAACACAATTACAAATAAAAAATACAAAAAATACATATATAAGAAGTTTTTTTTATGCAACTTAGAATAGCAAACAAGCTGACAGCCCACCTGATGGAATGTGGTAACCGTCGCCTATAGACATGAGCAGTACCATGGATATAACAAAGTATACTGTTTCGCCCATGATACCCCCCATGCGTTGCCATACCTGAGAACTCAGGTGTTATTCCTCTGTACCCTGTAACCCTGTACCCGATGTTGTCCAAGGGAAATAAGTGTGGGGATCGACCTGACAAGATATATTGCTAGCAATAGGGTTACCAGTGTCCGATATTAACAATACCTTCTTTTCCGATCCGTACGCGTGTATCCTGTCTGTATATTTGTTTTGACATCACGCAATAACTACCGAAGACTCAGTTTTTCTAAAAGTTAACTTGAAAATCTAGTGTATTTTTCTATATTAATACACCGTTTTGAAATGATATATTTTATTTGTTACTTCTATTCCAGAAATCCACCATTTGTGAAACATTAACACCGCCAGTTACAGTTAAATGGAGCGGACACAAATCCCCATACAATTTCCCATGACGCACGATGATATGACAAAAAAACAATTGGAACATTTCAGTACAGTAAAGACAAAAGTTTGCTGATGATGAAGGCTACACATATTAAAAACTACTACCTGTCTCTCCAATTTTTTTTATACCACTGAGGTGGCAATCAAGCATACGGCTTACCTGATAGTAAGTGGTCATCGTAGCCTATGAACGCCTGCAATACCAGGGGTATTACGTGCGCGTTGCCAAAAATTCTATTTTGCCTCTCTGTTTCATCATCATCACCATATTAGACTTTAAATGACCATTGCTGAACACAAGTCTCCCCTTGGAGAGTTTTGCCAGTAGTTGCCACATTTGGCAGGCGGAATGGCAACCGCAGTTAGATTTTAGAGATGTTTTAAGAGGGGCACTGCTGCCCATCCCTCGCCCTCTCTTAGTCGCCTCTTACGACACCCACGGAAAAGGAAGGGGTATTCTATGTATAGGGGGAAGCCGAGCTATGTCGAGATCAGACGACAAGCCTCTGTGTTTACTACGTGTTATTTACCTAATTCTATTTAGTATATTTATATATTTATGTTTCTAAACAATATTAATATTTATATTATATATGTAAATTTATGTAATTTAGTTAGTGTAATTTAGTTTCACCAGAGGGAGACTGTACAAAAGTCGATTGCTTGGATACCTCTGTCCCATTCGTGTTTCAACCGTGAAGCAGTTGTGTTTGAGTAACTGTGTTTCGGTTTGAAGGGTGGGATATGGCGTGAAATTACTGGGTACAGAGGAATAACACCTGAGTCCTCAGGAATGGCAAAGTATGGGGGGGTATCATGGGCTAAACAGTATACTCTGTTATGTCCATGATACTGCACATGTCTATAGGCGACGGTTACGATTTTCCATCAGGTGGAATATCTGCTTGTTTGCCATTCTAAGTAGTATAAAAAAAAGTCTTATTGTTATATAAATGATATTTAAAGTAATATGCATTTTAAGTTAGTTACTATTCGTGTATTTACCGTGTTTCATTTGCGCCACCTACCTTTCTCTCTGTACTTACCTACTATTTATGCCAAGTATTTTTTTTAATGGATGATAATGGAATGGTAACCCCACCCGCGCTATCGGTATACACCGGCGGGGCACCAGTGAAGGATGATACGTGAGGATGAAGCAGGTCAGTTAGCCCATCGTGACGAATTCAATAAGAATTGTTCACGATGGTTTCCAGGGGGAACCACGTGGAGGTCGACCTAATAAGGCATATTGCTAGCAATAGGGCTGTCAAACTCCATTGCTAACAATCCCTATTTATGCCAGGTTGTCAATAAGAGATTGCTTTTAGCAAAAAGACCGCCTTTTGTGTAAATACTGCTTGTATATATACATCGCTTTTGTGCTCAATAAAGAGTAAAGAGTTTATCATTATTGTTATTACATCTTAAATCAAACACATACTTAAAACAACTACAAGTATGTTGACAGTATGTTCTTATATATAAATAAGGCTTGTTAATTATTATATATTTATCTAAGAACGCCCTACTTGTTTACCCTACACCGGGAACCGCAATAATTCCATTATTTATAAATACCGTCCTGAATAAATCGTGTCACAGACGCCATCTTGTAATTATTTCCCGCCATTATAACAGGCTTTGTAATAACTTCACCCTCCTCGGAGGGATAAGACGATTTAAATCAGTCGAGACAGCGGAGATGGCGCTGCGGTCGCGTAAGAAGCATAAAATTATATTGTAACATTTTTTACGGACATAAAAATTAAAATCATATGATTAGATTCTCCTAATAAGGGATTTCTTTCAGTTAACATCGTGAATCAGTAAGGAGATTTTTATCAGCAGAATTATTATGTAACGCTTAAAATTTATAAATAAAAATCTATATATATATATATATATATATATATATATATATATATATATATATATATATATATATATATATATATATATATATATATATATATATATAGATTTTAATTTTATGTTTTTTTTATTTTTATCCTATGGATTTTGTGACTTATCACCTATCATGATATAATTTTGGATTATATGGATAGAGCATCGAGTGAAAAAAAACGATCCCTTACACGTATTAAAAAAAAAATACAAAACCTAAGAAAACGCATTCTTTTTTTCAGTGTACCAAGTAATTAGATTCAATATTTCTCAGACCAGATAATTTTTCAAAATTATATAAAATTATATATAAATATTAATGTATATAAATTAATTATAATGACGGCTAAATTTAGTGATTTTAAAACGAAAATACGTTTTAAGTCAATACTTAGACACAAATTAAAGTAATCAATAAAGATAAGTACTGTTTATCTTGTTGTTTTAATATATATTGTAAAAATTTTGTATAATTTATTTTCAATTTAATAATAATAATATATTTTTCCCACATAGTGAGTAATAAATGGACATTATGGTAACCCTATTCACGCACATGTGGATAAAAAAGATGTCCTGCTTTTGATGAAGCATTTGTATGGAGACACAGTCAGTATAAATATAAAGATAAAATGTGCAAAATAATAATTCTATACGTGCCTAATTTCAACTGGATATAAAAAGATGTAAATATTTATTGAATTACATAGACGACTTTAAAGAAATATGTTCAGTTGGTAATTTAATATAATACTATTCCATTCTTTGTCATCGAAATCTTTAACGAATTAAAGGGGACAGAAAATTTAACAGATTTAAGATAGAATGTGAGTATATTTGTATATTTGTAGTGAATTTTCATATATTTGTAGTAAAAGTATTTTTTTTTATTTCAACAGAACATTAACAAAACAAGTTGCTAGGTAACTCACAGATAAAGAAGAGTACTATTGTCGCTAGACAAAGATCTCTTCTTAACGTAAATGGTTGGTATTTTCTCACAGTTACTGTTCTAATACAGTTTAATAGTTGTGTAAATCATGAAAACTATTTACTACAAACCTAACATAACCACATCGTTTGACGTGAAGTCGAAAATTAAATTCAAATTTTCAGTGCTCTTCGTGACACGTCTTTTGTTTATTGCCGAGTTCGAAGTTGATCTAGAAGGGGCAGCTATTGCAGTGTCAAAAATTTTTATTTTTAAGTACATAATCTAAATATAGAAAATGCGTGAATGCATATCCATACACGGCGGGCAGGCTGGCGTGCAGATTGGAAACGCGTGCTGGGAGTTGTACTGCTTGGAGCATGGCATCCAACCTGACGGTCAGATGCCCTCAGACAAGACGGTGGGCGGAGGAGATGATTCGTTCAATACATTCTTCAGCGAGACAGGCGCCGGAAAGCACGTGCCAAGAGCGGTATTCATAGATCTAGAGCCTACAGTGGTGGATGAAGTCCGTACCGGCACGTACCGTCAGCTCTTTCACCCCGAGCAGCTCATAACCGGTAAAGAAGACGCGGCCAACAACTACGCCAGAGGGCACTACACCATCGGTAAGGAAATTGTCGACCTGGTACTGGACAGGGTGCGCAAGTTGGCCGACCAATGTACTGGACTACAAGGCTTCCTTATATTTCACTCTTTTGGCGGTGGCACCGGATCGGGTTTCGCCTCTTTGCTCATGGAGCGTCTCTCTGTAGATTACGGGAAGAAGTCAAAACTTGAATTTGCTATATACCCAGCACCCCAAATTTCTACGGCAGTCGTGGAACCCTACAATTCCATATTAACCACGCACACAACATTGGAACATTCCGACGCTGCTTTCATGGTGGACAACGAAGCCATCTATGATATTTGTAGACGAAACTTGGATATAGAAAGGCCAACATATACAAACTTGAACAGACTGATCGGCCAGATTGTATCTTCTATCACTGCTTCTCTTAGATTCGATGGTGCTCTAAATGTGGACTTGACTGAGTTTCAAACCAACTTGGTCCCCTATCCGCGAATACATTTCCCTCTGGTGACCTATGCTCCTGTGATTTCTGCTGAAAAAGCATACCATGAACAATTGTCTGTGGCGGAGATTACAAACGCATGCTTTGAGCCGGCCAACCAAATGGTTAAATGTGATCCGAGACATGGCAAGTACATGGCCTGCTGTATGTTGTACCGAGGCGATGTTGTTCCGAAGGATGTGAACGCAGCCATTGGGACTATTAAGACGAAACGTACGATCCAATTTGTGGACTGGTGTCCGACTGGGTTCAAAGTGGGGATTAACTACCAGCCACCAACTGTTGTGCCTGGCGGTGACTTGGCGAAAGTGCAACGCGCTGTGTGTATGCTGTCGAATACCACAGCGATTGCAGAAGCATGGTCCCGCTTAAATCACAAATTTGATTTGATGTACGCGAAAAGAGCTTTCGTCCACTGGTACGTCGGTGAGGGTATGGAGGAAGGTGAATTCTCCGAGGCCCGTGAAGATCTTGCAGCCCTCGAGAAGGATTACGAGGAGGTCGGCATGGACTCTGGAGAAGGCGAAGGGGAAGGTGGCGAAGAATATTAATTTTTATATAACTTATATTTTTAGGACTATTTCCAATTTCATTTAGACTTGATAATTGTTCGATTTAATGTAGTTCAATAAAATTTACAAGTGATTTTTTCAATTTTATTCTTTTCCTTTAATTAGATAAAAACATATTTGTTTTTACATACATTATTTATATATTTATACATATTTTATATATATTTCATATAACATTACTAGTTTTTGCCCGTTATATTATAATCGTGGATTTTAGAAGTATGAAATAAGTGAATGTCTAAATGGTGTATAAAGATATACAGATAAAGTTCGAATAACTTTTTGTAAGTCAGCCCTTGAGGAATTCAACTATGAAAATACCATTCATTTTCGTGCAATAGTTTTGTATAACGTTGCAATATTAGCTTCTATTTTCTTCGTAAGAGTGATTTATATTATAAACGATAATTTTCAAACGACACTAAGACTTGTAATATCTATAGTTGATTATTAACCGATTCATCGGCGGAAGGGGAAGGTATTGTTAGTATGCGGACTACCATTTCCATTGCTAGCAATATACTATCAGGTCGACTTCCACGTGATGCCCCTCAAAACCATCTTGTTGAATTCCAGGTGTATTCAACACGATGGGATAACTGACCCACCTTTTTATTCTCGTCTATCATCCTTCACTGGTGCCAGCATAGCGTTGGCGCAGGCGGGGTTACCATTCCATTATCATTCATTAAAAAAAGGATTCATTTACCGATTAGTAACACCTGTATCAAAATTCATTCAAATACCACCGACCGTTTAAGCGTAATTAAGAGAACAAACAAACAAAGACTAGGTAACTAGATCGTCATGTAGTAATATATATGAATATATTACAATGAAAGTCCATGGTAGTCAACATATTATGCGTGTTGTGTTTGGCTGAATCTCCGTTATAATGCTAGCACGTTCTCGCTCCGTTCTCAGTATGGTCAGTAGAAACAGTTCGTGACCAATCGGGGTGAGACTGGATTAGTTTACACTAGTAAATATTTACACTGAGATCGATTCTGAAGCGCTATTTCTCTAAACCTACCTCTAAAATGAAAACTTCAATTTAATATCACAGCGAAACCTTTAAGAACTAATAATAATAAACTTAATTTCTAATATTTTTTAGTCAAAATTATTATAAATTTAGTTTATGATAGTCCATAAAACAATAATTACATGAAACTATCAAATTAAAACATTAGGTAAAGACATAAGTTTAGAGAAATTACACTTTAGAACTGACCCCATTGTTTATTATGTAATAATATGCTAGCAGACCGAAAGCGAACCGAGACCGGTATATAGTGGGAATTCAGGCTAAGTAGGGTTGCCAACTCTCAAAATGACTAACCCGGGAGAATAATGTTTAAACTCTATCGAGGCTCGAGAGTTATTAAAAGAAAATCATTGATTAATTTTAAAATTTATTCATCTCCATCATGCTGAAAACACGCTCCCATGATGCATTAGAGATCACAAAGTAAAAATGTAATTTTTAGACAAACCGAAGAAATTATTGCACGTATGAGTCTTCAGAGCAATTCAGGAGCGTTGGCAATACTAGGTCTAAGTGATCTAGTTTTACATTAACACTAAGATAATAAATAAATATTTTTCATAAATATTTTTTTTTTATTTAATTTAAAATCTTTAAATTCCCTATGGTACGCGCACTGTCCGCTGGTAATTAATGCTCCTTTCCACAATATACATACAATAAAGTATATATATAATACAATAAAGTATAAATAAATAAATAAAAGTAAAGTTTTTATTTAATACAGAACTTGTCATAAATTGGAACATTACAGACAGACGACGGAACACATTACTGGATCATACAATACTTATACGCTACGTGATGGAGACAGCAGGAATCCGGTAGTCTCTTCCACCATATCGAAGCAACAAACACTACTGAGGCCTTTAGATGCTGAACCTTTACCAGTAATATGAAATTTTAACCCTTTTCTGAGCTGTTGACTCTTGTTTCTAGTTTCGTCAACTTCTGAAGGTAGCTCATAAGGGCATTCACAGATAACATCAGTGTTACTCATGGAATTTAAAGGTTTATCTGCATACGACCAGTCATCTTTTTCTATAAGATCCTCTGTAGGATGCTCAGCATAATACTGTAGCGCTTCCTCGAAACTCATCTGTACTTCAGGCGGTTGCCTCGGTTTCACGTCGAATTTAAAGCCAGACGTTGTCTGTGCTATGTCTGATTTCATTTTAATTACCTCTTTTATATCAATCCATTCAAAATTCGTGTACTCTTCTAAATTTTGGAGAAATAAATCTTCTTGCTGAGGACATTTACAGACTACTTTTTTATTATGTTTACGTTTAGATTTTTGATCAGATAAGCATGAACATCCTTTTTTGCGGTCTTCGACTTCAGCGACATCTGTGGGTTTTGCAGATAGTGGCGATTCGTATATTTCACATGGACATAGTGGTTTTAGTTTTACTTTTTTCTCTACACCACTGCACTGGCACCCAACAGCTCTTCTCTCCGTTATTTTGGGATGAGCACACTTGGTACACTTGTTGTCCATTGGTTCTATAATAAAATAATATTTATTTATTAAGTTTCAAACATACACTTTATTTACTTTATGCTAAGTCATTCACACAATTAGTAAAATAAAAGTTCACTATTCAACGCTTTCGTGTATGCAAAATACACGTATCTTTCTTTTTTTGTTTAACATGAATATACTTCATTATGTTGTCTAATAACTACTGTCCAAAAACTCCTGAACTAAAATATTTCTAATATTCTGGTAACTTTTCCCTCATAATTTTTGAAAAATTAATGTAATATTCTGCCGATGAAACGTAAAAATTACATTTAACATATAAAATATGATTGTACCCAAAAATAATCCAAATAACACATTCATGGAAAAAATGTAAATATATTGTAAAATAAACATTAAAATAATTTATATTTTATTTGTAAGTAAATAAAATTATTTGTTCCACAAAAAAACCGGCTTCAGTAGTGACGAAACCAGTTAGTTCAATTTCAAAACTGGACTATTGAATGGATTATGATAAATTTTCTATGGGACCAATTCGCAAGTAGTTTTAGATAAAAAAAAAAACAAGAATTTTCCAAATCGGTTTACAACTAACCGAGTTATGAAATAACAAACATGAAAAAAATATAGGCGAATTTAAAACCTCCTGATTTTTGAAGTCGTTTGAAAATAAATAAATACTATTAATATATATATACTCACTCAAATGTGGATTGACAGGCGAATTACGTCTTAAGCATGGCTTTGAACCACCACAACTATCTGATGTCATATTTTTTGGGACGTTCCCTATAAATTTCTTGTTTTTTGTATGAAAGCGTTTATACTTGATCCCATATTCGTGTGAAGGATGGGTAACATTCAAACTTGATTGATGGCAGCTATTTTGGCCTCTGCATGGCGGTATACTGCATACACTAACAGTTTGGTTCGAATTATTTACACAAAATGGACTAGGATATGACACCATCTTGATTTTTTTATGTACACTAGATTCATCGACATAAGCTTCACGTTTTAAACCTTAAATGAAAATTATTAATCCTGTTATTTTAAATGTGATTGATTACATTTGATGAGCATGACACAATCATCATCATCATCATATCAGCCTTTAACTGTCCACTGCTAAACATAAGCCTCCCCCTTGTGGATTTTGGCAGTATTTGCCACGCTTAACAGGCACATTGGCAATCACAGTTAGACTTTAGGAATATTTTAAGAAGGACGCTGCTGCAAATCTCTCGCTCTCCCTTAGTCGCCTCTTACGACACCCAGGGGATATTCCTTTCCCGTGGGTCTTCTTAAAGATTGAGGGATGGATAGCAGCGTCCCTATTAAAACATTTCTAAAAGCCTAACTGCGATTCCAAGCGTGGCAACTACTGGCAAAACTCCTCTTATGGGGAAGGCGTATGTTCAGCTGTAGACAGTTAGCGGCTAAAATAATAATAATAATAATGCATTTTTTACAACAAATTATATAAATATTGGAAGTCATAACAATACCAACGCATGAAAGAAAATACTAAATCTGTCACATTAATCAATTGTTGATTGCCCACCTTGTGAAATATACTGGCTTTTAATAATGGGTATGATTACTTCTGAGGCCACGCTGCTGGTATATTTATCCTCGGTCTCCAAAGAAATAGGCTTCTTCGGTGGACAACTGCAAAGTCTGTCTTGAGTCGTATCTGTGCCGACCACATAGCGAATAGCTTGTTGTCTTAACCGACTGTCTTCAACTGATTGACACGTCTCTCCTACATGCTCTTTTTCTTCAGCATCAGCACATTTTTGTAAATAACGCATAATATTAACATCGTCTGCTTTTGGTGGAACGTTTTTTAAGAGATATCGCATTCCTCTTGCTGATATTTTCAATCCTGTTGTCCTCTGATTAGCTTTCCTTGCTTCTTGTTCTATAAAATCATATCAAATTAAATCTAGCAGTCATTGAACTAGCTTTATCTTAATATCTGTATAAAAATCCCCTATCAAGATATTTGTTCTTGTTAATATTAGAAACCGTTCAACTGATTTTAATGAAATTTTGCTAATTTGTAAATAGAAATTAGTGGATATAGGACTGTTTTATTCCAATAAGATAAAATGATCCTGGTAAGTGGAAGTTTGGGAAAAACTTTTGCTCGGTTAGCTAGCTAGTATGAATTTTGTTTGTGTACATATATATTGTTAATCTTTGTATCGTTCTTTGGGCAAAACAATCATTTTCATTCATTTATTAAAAAGCAATAAGTAATATTATCGAGTGGAGTTGATTGTTACGTTGCCGGCCTTTAATAATATTGTAGTCACATTTTTTATAAATATCCTATATTATATTGTAAAGGGATAACTAAATATCCACTCTTGAACAAAGCCTCTCCCATAAAGGGGGGTGTTGCCAGTAGTTGCCACGCTTGGCAGGCAAGTTGGTAACCGCAGTTTGGCTTTTGATGATGTTTTAATAGGGACGCTGCTACCCATTCCTCCACCATAAGCTCCTTTAGTCGCCTTTTACGGCACCTACGAGAAAGAAAGGGCTCGCCAATTCTAAGCCGTGACTTACACGTTAAAAATATTATTTGCTTACGGTTATTACCGAAAAGCTTGTTCCACGGAGAAATGTTCTTAGATATTTGCATGCACGTTGTGGAATTGTCGATTGATAACGAATAATCAGAATCGCAGTCTGACGATGACACAAGAAGAAGTAGCGACGACAAATTTGAGAAAGCATTCTCGTCGAGGACTTTTTCCACCACATTTATTATGCCTTGTTCATTATTTAGATCACTCATAACATGTAAAGAATCAGCGTCTGCATTACTTTTACTGAATTCTTTTTCTAATAATTGTATAATTATATTTTCTATTTTTATATCATCAATTTTTTTATTATCACATTCTTCATTATATTCTAAAAAAATATTATTCAAAAGGGATTCACTGAAAAGAAAATAGGAGCATAATTGGAATATCCGAGTAAGTTATTATAAATCTTTGAGAACGGTAAATTTTTAATTTCACCGCAACGAAATAAATCTATGTTAGTTTGATTCGTAGCTCTTGCAAATAAATCCTTATTAATAAATATGAAAAAGAGTTCCTTTGTTTGTTTTCACAAAAGAAAATTTTAAACTTGATAATTTTGTACGGAACCCTCGTTGCACGAGTTCAACTCGATGGGTTTAAACTAGTTAACCATTACTAGTAAACAATGCAATAATATTATATATACAGTTGTAAGAAATAAATATTAATATACCTTGCATTATTTATGCTACCATCGTTGCTTGAATAATATTCGGATTCTTTCTCTGTATTGGTGAATGTTTCATCTTCAAGAGGTTCTGATAATAGGTAAAGACTATCATCTGGAGAGAGATTGCTATCAGCGAAAGATATAACACTCACAGTTCTGACGTTTCCACTTATGGAGTTAGTAAACAAACTTAATGATGATTCACATTTAATAATTCCTGTCGACTCTAAACTATATACAGATAATGAAAGTCTAATTAATTTGTTTCTAGATGAATCCAAATATTCCGCAGTTGAGCAAGAAAAGTCATTGTCGAAATTATCACTATTATTAATATGGTCTTCTGATTTCATTCTACTGAGTTTGTTAGACGAGTCACCACTAAGTAAATAAGAATATAATTTATTGCATTTTTCATATTTACTACCAAAATTCCCGATAACATTTTCTTCTGAATTATTTATAGTATCTGTAGATACATTTTTATCGTCATAATTAATATGGAGACTATTAGTGTTAGTAAAATCATTTATAAACGAATTTTCTAAATTTTCATCAGTGTCGTCTCCTTTTTCAAATTTACATGCATGTTTATTTATAAAAATGGTCTTAAAATTGTCTCTGATTTTTACAGGACTTGTTTCGTATTCTATTGTATTTGAGACTACAGAATATGAAGGTACACCTATGACTCTTCCAACGGTAACTTTAATTCCTTTACTGTCAGTAAATACTCCATGTTTAACGCCCGGAACACATTCATCAGGACACGGGCATAAAGAAGATATATCAGGTGAAGTTACTCTTATCTTCACATAACTATGTTTAAATCTAATTTTCTTTTTATCGCAACCACAACCCCGATCACATGTTGTAGTCTTGATCACATCTTGGAATTCCTCTTTTATTCCATCTGATCGCTTTATTTCACCCGCTCTTTTGGAACTTTTTGTTACTACAGCTGCCCCAGTTTTCTTAGATTTAATAGCATATTTCCCTCTTTTTTCAGAAGCAATTAGTTTTACAGGTAAACCTGCTTCCTTTCGAATTTTCCGAATTAATTCTTTCTCAGATGTAGTCTTACCCTTAGGAAATGGAACACCTACTTTTACTAAACCTCTTAAAATATTTTCCTTTTGTTGGGATGTTTTACCTTCTAGTGGTGTTAACAAACCCACATCTTCTGCTTGTATTTTTTCTGAAAATGTCTTTCCTTCTAAAGGAGTGAGTAATCCTGCTGCTTTAACTTTACGTATCTTCTCAGATTTGGCAGATGGAACCCTAATAGTAGCTTTTACTCTATTAACTAAAGCTTTTTCAGATGGTGTACGGCCATCTGGCAGCTGTAATCCTAATTCTGCTTGCCCTCTAAGTATCTTTTCTTTTTGTGTTGCTGATTTTCCCTCGAGAGGGGTTATTAATCCAGAGATTATAGCTCTATTATACTTTTCTTTTGCTGATGGTGTTTCAGGTTGTGGTGGAAGTCCAAAATCATGACGAACTTTATTGATTAACTTTTTTTCAGACCTAGTTTTTCCTTCAGGCAAAGTTATGCCTTGTATTACCAATCCTTTCAGTATTTTCTCTTTTTGGCCGGATGTCTTTCCTCTGAGAGGCGTTAAGAGACCTGCATCTTTTGATTTGTGAAATTTTTCAGATTTCAATTTAGCTTTTTTTGACGCAGATTTAGGTTCAGGAGGTAAACCTACATCATGTCTTACTTTAGCAATTAATTTCTTTTCGGAAGCTGTCTTTCCTTCAAGCAGTTTACCCTGTATTGCTAAGCCTTTTAGAATTTTCTCCTTTTGTACCGCTGTTTTGCCGTCTAGAGGTTCTGCCTTGGCAGTTTTGTTTTTCTCTGATGTTATTTTACCAGATTCTTGGTGATTTTTTGATAAATTTGCAAGTCGTTGCAACTCAGGTGTTAAAAAAGGACATATACATTCGTCACTAGGGCCTTTTCCCTCTTTCATGACTTTAGAGGTTTTTTTATTTAATTTTTTAGCTTGATCTGGAGATAACAATTGTTTCCCATGTACTACAGTTGCTGCTTTTATTCTGCGAATCAAAGCTTTCTCTGAGGATGTTCTACCATGAGGAAGAGCTAAGCCTAAGTCTGCTTGGCCTTTTAATATTTTTTGCTTTTGAGATTCAAATTTTCCTTCTAATGGTGTAATAAATCCAGCAGCTAAAGCTTTTTTGTATTTTTCTTTTTCGATAGTACTTTTAGGTGCTGGCGGTAAACCAACATCTGCACGTACTTTTTCAATTAACTTTTTTTCTGATGAAGTTTTACCTTCCGGTAAAGATATATCGTGCATTGCCAAACCTTTTAGTATTTTTTCCTTTTGTTCAAGGGACTTCCCTTTAAGGGGTGTTATAAGACCTATGGCTTTTGCTTTGCGAAGTTTTTCAGAAGGCATAACCATTGAAGGTGGTTTCGCTGTTGTTTTAATTTTGGCAATTAATGCTTTTTCTGATACAGTTCGACCTTCTGGTAAAGGTAAACCCATCTCATTCTGTTGTATAAGAATTCTCTCCTTTTGCGAGGACGATTTTCCTTCCAATGGAGTTATTATTCCAGCTACAATTGCGTTATTGTATTTATTTCTCTCCGTTGCTGTTTTTGGTTCTAGTGGTAATCCGAGGTCAGCCCGAACTTTGGCTATTAACTTTTTTTCAGATTCTGTTTTTCCTTCAAGCAGTGGTACACCTTGCATCGCTAAACCTCTAAGTATTCTTTCCTTTTCTTCAGATGTTTTTCCTTCTAAAGGTGTTATAAATCCAGCGGCTTTAGCTTTACGAAGCTTTTCAGAAGGTACGAAAACGGAAGATGGTGCTGTCATACCTTTGATTTTAGTGGTTAATACTTTTTCTGAGTGGGTTCGATCTTCTGGTAATTGTATTCCAAGTTCAGCTTGTTTTTTCAATATTTTCTCTTTTTGTTTAGCATTTTTACCCTCCAGCGGAGTTATTAACCCTTCTACTTCTGCTCGTTTATATCTTTCTTTTTCTTCTAAAGTTTTAGGTTTTGGTGATAAACCAAATTTTTTCTTAACCTTTTTGACCAATTCCTTTTCAGACGCTGTTTTCGGTTCAGGAAGTGGGGCACCAGTCACCACTAAATCGGCCAGTATCTTCTCTTTTTCAGCTATTTCTGCAGCAGCTTCTTTGGTTTTTCTTCCGTGCTTCTTTTTCTTTTTTTTTACATTGGCTGTTTCTTTTCCGGCACCGGTTAATGGTACTCCAGACTTTCGTAATTCACCAAGTCGTCTTTCTTCTCTTGGAAGATGACCACAAAGAATGCAGTTACAATTATCACAATTTTTTTTCTTATAACAATCATAAAGACTTTTCATGACTTCAAACATTGCATCCGAATTACATGAGCAGCAACAACTTTCTTTTTGGGTATTCAATTGACATCTGTATACTTTACAATTAGTTTTAATTAATGAATTTTTAAACAGGTTCTGACCGATAGTCTGTTTAGATTCTGATTTTACAGTACGTATAATATCGTAATGCAAATATTGTTGTATTAGATGAGTTCTCTCAGAAATGACTTTTTGTATAAAGGATTTATATAGTTCATGCGTGCTATAGCCCATAGTAATATTATCGTATTTTTTTCTAAAATATATGTCATGGTACATTTGATCTGCTGTATTTTTATCAACTTTAAACTTTGTATGTTTTTCGTGTCGATTTTGTTCATTTTTTAGTACAACTATACTTATTTTATCATCTCTGTTGGATCCATCCTTTTGTGCATAGTGTGATCTTTCAATTCTAATTTCATATTTACTATGATCATATGTATATTTATTTCTTGCATGATTTCTTCGAAACACATATTTGTTTTCATAAAAGGTTTCCAGTTGTTCTGAATGCACAGAAAAATTGCTGCCGTCGTCTGTCATAATGACATTATGCACAATTACATCATCGTTGAAGTTTATGTGTTCACATTATATGTTACAGTTCAGTAGGAACAATTATTGCAGATTTATCTGTTAAATTTGTAGATGGCTGTCCTGTAACAAAACTTCTGTATTATACAACTTCTGTGAATAAATAAATAAATTATCATACTACAAAATTTATAAAATCTTTATGAAATAAATCTACAACATATATAAACATATGTGGTCCCAGCATAGAAAAACCTCCTCTTTCTTTCCCGTGGGTATCATAAGAGGGGAGTAAGAGAGGGCGAGGGATGGCCAGCAGCGGCCCTCTTAAAACATCTCTAAAGCTTAACTGCAATTGCCAATCCGCCTGCCAAGCGTGGCAACTATTGAAAAACCCCCAAGGGGGAGGCTTATGTTCAGAATTGGACAGTTAAAGGCTGATATGGTGATGATGACGATGGAAATGATATTCCAGTAATATATAAACTGTATATTACTATATGTACTATTTATCTCTTTTTATTTTTACTCAGGTGCCCTATTCCTGTTTGAGCAAACAAAGAAAACCGAAGAAGCAAACATGTAACATGAGGAAGGCTTGTTTAGCAGTTAACAGTTAAAGGCTGGTATGACGATGATGATGTGAACATTTTGGCGTGTGGTCCCGGCATAGAATGGACCACCAGTTCCTTTCTCGTGGATGTCGTAAGACGCGACTAAGGGCACTTAATTGTTAAAGAATGAGTACAGCCTCAAAACCTCATCAAAACTTAACTACGATTGTGAACCCACTTGCCAAGCATGGCAACTACTGGCAAAACCCCCCATGGAGGGAAGCCTATGTTCAGCAGTGGACAGTTAACGGCTTATATAATAACAATATATGAACATTATTTATATTCTTTAAACATTACATCATCATCATCATCATTTCAATCATTATCCGTCCACTGTTGGACATAAGCCTCCCCCATAGACTGCCATAAAGAACGGTCCTGAGCCACCTGCATCCACTGACTCCCTGCAATGCATTTTAGGTCGTCACTCCATCTAGTAAGAGGTTGTCCTACACTGCGTTTGCCTGTACGGGGCTGCTACTCAAAAATCTTTCTTCTCCATCGATTATCGGTTCGAGCTATGTGACCAGTTCATTGCCATTTCAGCTTACTTATCCTACGGGCTGTCGGTTACGTTCTTGGTTGGTTCTTTTGCTATTTGAGACTCCGAGCATAGCCCTCTCCATAGCCCACTGAGTACTTTGAAGTTTTTGCATATGAGCCATCGTGTAGGACCATATTTCGGTTCCGTAAGTCATCACTGGCAACAGGCACTGGTTAAAGACCTTCGTCTTTAAACTTTGAGGTATTTGCGATGAAAAGAAGAGGCTAGTTATATATATATATATATATATATATATATATATATATATATATATATATATATATATATATATATATATATATAATAACTAAATAATTTTCTTACAATAAAGTTTGCGTATATATATGAGAGTGTCAAGAAAATGAGCGGGACGGTAAACCTGGCATGTGGTTGTTAACAACAAATTGATTGTTGGTTTGACACTTATTAGAAGGCGGATTCTCCAAAACCTGATTTCCAATTCTCCAAAATTTCTATTTTAATAGATTGGAAAACGTGTTTATTCAAATAATAACTTGTTTACAAACTCTTTTAAATTATCTTTTATGATTCCACTGCTGAGTTTAATGTTATTATATGCTGAGAAGGACCCGCAAAAACTCAGCAGTTACTTGCTCAATAAAAAAAGATAAAATGCAAGTTACCTACACCACTACAGTTCCTGTAATATTGTCACTTGCAATGTATATATTTTCAATCATTTTGATTTTATTTACATTTAAATAGATAAAAAGGCTTGAATTTACAGAATTGATATTATTGTATAGGGTACATTGTGTAGTAACTTATTTTTTCTAGTCGATGACAGAATTTTTGAAGGAGACGTTTTACATTTGACACTTTAATTCTTCTAATTTTTTTATATGAATTTGCTTTTGTATAGATTGACAGTTCTATTTTTACGTATTATTTGTAAGCGTATACTCATATTGCCATGCTCTTTGGTCCCGGCTTCAAATAGGCAATTCTTTCCTTTCCCGTGGTAGTAACAGCCGACTAAGGGAGGGCGAAGGATGGGCAGCAGCGTTCCTCTTAAAACATTTCAAAAGCCTGACTGCGGTTGCTAATCCACCTGCAAAGCGTGGCAACTACTGGCAAAACCCCCTAAGGGGGGGGGGGGCATATGATCAACAGTGGACAGATCACAGCAAATATGATGATGATAATGTACTCATATAAAGATATGTATTCATTTATCTGAGATACAAATTTTTTCAAAGCAAATATCAAAGAGTCAATGCTTTCTAGAAAATAACTAAATGAATTTTCTAGATGGCCAGTCGCGCTTGTCTGTACTGTTCCCCCTTGGTAGACAATAGAAGAATTTTACTGTATTGAAATTATTAATTTTATTTTTATTATTATTACTATCGTCATCATCACCATATCAGCCTTTACCTGTCCACTGCTGAACGTAAGCCTCCCCTTTGGAGGGTTTTTGCTAGTAGTTGCAACGCTACGCCACGGCAGGCAGATTGGCAACCGTAGTTAAGCTTTGGAGTTGTTTAAAGAGGGAATCTGTTGCCTGTCCCCTCGACTATTAAATTTCCTTAGTCGCCTCTTACGACATCCACAGGAAAGGAAAAATTGGCAGGTTTACATGAATTAATTCTATAATTACTCAAATAATTGAAACGTATATTGGTTTATGAATAGTTACATCTGTCAATAAATATATAATTATAACAAAATAAATAAACACAAATAAAATCTAGGTAAAATTATGATCAACCAGTGTCGTGGTACCCATTCTCGATATGGAATTGGTGTCGCCATCCATATTTAATTTTGAAATTAATGATCTGAAAATATAATAGATTAATTAGCAATATAAACTACATATATAATCTTAAATTTAATTTTGAGATGGTCCGTTCTATGGGTCATCCTTTAATATATAACTAGTCTGGTCATGATTATTGTTACATAAAAACTTTTTTTTTAACTTTTTAATTATTTTAAATTTGGAACACGTTTATTATTTTAAAAACTTCTTTCGATTTCGCGCCATTCGACATATTTTTTCGTGTTCATTATCAAATTACAATATGGAATGGGGTGTTAAAGAAAATAGGATTAATTGATGAGTGAAGAAAGAGTGAAAACTTCAACCAATGTGTATCAAAATACAGTCTTGGATCGTGTTGTAAAACCTCTCAGCAATACACTTTTTAATAATATACCGTAGACTTTCCAGCAGGACTCTGCACCTGGTCACAAAGTACGAACTACCCAAGCCTGGCTTGAAACCAACGTTCCGGACTTTATAAGAGCTGAAGACTGGTCCTCATCTTGCCCAGACCTCAACCCTTTAAACTTCAAATTATGATCAGTTTTAGAGGATATGGCCTGCTCTAAACGACACTGTGACATTGAGTCTCTTAAAAAATCTTTGGAGTAAGCAGTGGCGAAATTTCCCTTGAAAACAGTGTGTAAATCCATAGATTCGTGGCCAGACAGATTAAAAGCCTGTATAAAAGCCAAAGGTGGTCATTTTTCGAATAGAATATTTTTTTTATTTTTTGCTGAGACTTTAATTATTATGTAGATATTAATTTTAGTAATATTACATTACTTCATAAAAAAAATGCATTTTCATTTGTAACAGAACATATGACTGGACTAGGTATATATAATTACGGCGCTCCTTCAGCGCTGTCATTCCATTCCTGGTCACGGTAACAGGTATACCAGAGGGAGACTTTGTACAAAAGTCGATTGCTTGGAGACCCCTGTCCCATTCGTGTTTCAACCGTGAAGCAGTTGTATTTGCATGGCTGTGTTTCAGTTTGAAGAGTGGGATATGGTGTGAATTTACAGGGTATAGAGAAATAACACCTGAGTCCTCAGGAATGGCAACGCATGGGGGGTATCATGGGTGAAACAGTATACTCTGTTATGTCCATGGTACTGCTCATGTCTATAGGCGACGGTTACCACTTTCCATCAGGTAGGCTGTTAGCTTGTTTGCCATTCTAAATTGTATAAAAAAAAAAATATTTCAAACTGTCATCTATTTTAATTTTATAGGTACCTACAAACCTTATAAAAAAGAAGAATGAATGCCCTTTAATGCCCTTTGTACCTTCGGATCCACTGCACCGATCCCGCAATAACGTAACTGATGTGAACGGTTGTTCTGGCGAGGATGGTCAGAAGTACCACCAGATTGGCCAGAATGAAACACAGCAGGGTGAGGACGTCACGCATCGTGTGCCTCAAAGAATTATCGTGAACATATCCTCGAAAAGGACAATATCTGGAATCAGCAATCTTCCTTACCCGAAGTCTATTGTAGTTACTTACAGAAAACTGTGTGTCTCCTCTCTCTCACTCATTTCCTCTGTCTCACTCATTTCTGCCACTAAACTTATGGCAGGGCGGGGAAGGGGATTGCTGATAATAGGGTCTAACAGCGTTATTGCTAGCAATATACCTTATCGTGGGGAAGGAATTATAAGTAATGGGGAGATTAGTCCCCATTGCTATCAATATACCCTATTACGTCGACCTTCACGCGGTTATCCCTGAAAACTATCGTGACTAATTAATCGTTGAATTCGTCACAATGGGCTAACTGAACTGGCTTTTCATTGCACCTATCACTTCTCACTAGTACCTCACCAGAGTATGGCCGACAGCGGAGACGTGCTCACTATGCCATTTTCACCCCTTAAAAAATATACCTTTTCAGGTCAACCTCTACGCGGTTTCACCTGAAACCATCGTAGCGTTCATTCTTGTCGAAATCGTCATGCTGCACTAACTACATGTATTCATCCTCAAGTATCAGTATAGCGCAGACGGGGTTACCATTACATTATCATCCATTAAAAAAATATCCCCTTCCTGGGAAAATGGGGTTATTAACAATGAATACTACCATTGCTAGCAATATATCCTATCAGGTCGACCGCCAAACGGTTCCCCCTGGATACCATGATGACCAGGTAATTGGCAAAATAATTGGCAAATCGGCCTGCCTTCGTCCTCACTTATCATATATCATTGGTGCCCCGCCAGTGTATACCGATAATGCAGGTGAGATTCCATTTTCATCAAAAATACCCTATCAGGTCGACTTCCACACGGTCCCCCGTGGTAAACCATCGTGCTTAATTCTGTTCCTCGCGATGCTTAATCTTATTATCAATGCATTCTGCTTCTACGTAAGCTTACCTTAAATTGTACCCCGCACATTTATCATACAAGTTCTCCACGAATCTAGTCAACAGACTTCGCTTGGATGACGTCGTCGGACGCATATAGCACGCGCTGTCTTTGGCTAACAATACAAATGTCCCACCTCCACTGTGAGCAATTGGATAACCAGGCCCCAGTGAGCCACACTTACATTTCTCATACCTGACCCCGGAACATTTGCATGACATTATGCTGCCAATTATTGCATTTTCGTTCTTTTGTTCGGGATAAGAATTAGTAATGCAGATTTGGCCTATTTTGGTCTTCTGCTATTTTTTGATATTTGACAACACATTAAACACAGATTATGTAATGCATAATTTAAAACTCATAGATTAAGGATAGTACCTGCAGTGAAATATGTATAAAAGAAAAAAAAACTGTTATAGTCTATGGACACATGCAACACGAGCTGTCTAGAGAGCGTTGATGTTCATAAGAGACATTATTACACGCTCCAGGAAAAATCTATCTACTATTACATATGTTGACAAAAAAAGACTACTTCAATATTATAGATAGATAGAAAAGATTACAATAGCAAACTTATTATAGATACAAACAATTACAAGAAATAATCACAGTGAGAAAACAAAATATCGCTAAAACCGATCTCTTACCATCAGATCTCTTACCGATCAGTAACCATTAGATGGAGAGGAGCATACATACATACATACATATCTGTCACGCCTGTCTCCCATTAGGGTAGGCAGAAACAATGAAACGCCAAATGCTTCGATTCAAACAAACCTCTTTCGCTTCTTCCACATTCATCAATCTTGTCATACACGCTCGCCGGTTACGGGTACTTTTATATATATATATATATATATATATATATATATATATATATATATATATATATATATATATATATATATATATATATATCTCAGAATGTAACTGTAAAGTGTTTTTTTCTATTTTACTAAAAAATATTGTTTATAAATCTTTTCTAAATATAATATTAGATTACTATTATTTATTAAATTTTATCAACAAAAAAAATCTATTGAAAATAAGTACATACTTGTCAATCAAGTGATTAAAAACTAAGAATTAAGATATTACATCATATTCCAAAATCAAAAAAATGTCACAATACATCAAATAGTGCACAAAAAATTTCAATGTCATAATCTAAAAGGATTTAATACTAACATGAACATTAAAATATATAAATAACATAACACAATATAACATCAAAATTAATAAAGTACAACATTCCTATTAAGTACGTAATTTTAAAAGACTATTTACATAAACACTAGAAGTTATGAAAGGTAAATATATGGAAACATGTTTAAAGTTTTATAAATCCAAATATAATAACTAAGCATCTAATTTTTTAATATCATAAAGTGGCACTCATTCATATGTTCTGATGTTAAAAGGTTTACTAATGAACTAGACCACGTATTCGTGACAATCCCTTCCTATCCCCCTCTCTCTACTAAATGACTGATTTAGGAAAGAAATTAAGGGGAAAGTTTTGATTTTTTGCACGTTTGTTTGTATCTAATTGATAAACGCAATGTTCATTGCAATTTACAAAAGTTTTGTTTTATTAAAAAATGAGAAGTAGTAATTTTGCTATATAATTTCCAGCAGGCGCTTTGATAAACACACCACATATGGCCATGATTAGTAGTAGTGAACTATAGCGGACTCATTGCTAACAATACACACTGTTAGGTCGACATCCACGTGGTCCCTTCTGCAAACCATCATGACGAGTTCCAGTTGATCTGACTTCATTCTTATCTATAATCACTTATCACGTTCTGAGTCCCAACAGCTTGTGCAATACTTACTAGATAACTGATAAACACAGAAGAGATTGCTAATAATGGGATGGAACCGCCCCATTATTGACTACATATCCCCTCAGGTCGAACTACAACCGGTCCCCTCCTCGAAACCATTGTACTTAATTCCTAGTGAATTTATCACGATAGGCCAGCTGACCTGCTTCATCCTCATCCATTCCATTTTCATCCATTAAAAAAGAACGGACAAATCTATACCAATTACTATAATGAGGAAACATTTCATTGTTACATATGAATCCAAATGCTTGTCTGTTTACTAGATCGAACTTGCAACTATAGGAAGATGCAGCAGTGTGTTTACCGCTCCACCGCTAGGTGAAAGAAATTAATAAGACCAATAAGTGAAAAGTAAGTTTACTTATGCCATTAATTAAAATTACCAGAATCACTAAATACTTAATACTAAAAAAAAGTTAAGAAAATTAAAATTTTTTTATAAAAAAAATCTAAAAAAAATATTATTTACTAAATATTACTATGCTACTGAGGAATATTTGATTGACAAACGGAATTTATTTTGTTATTTAAAAAACAAATAATTAATTTTATATTGATAATGCTTGAAGACATAGCTAAAACTGACATCGCTGAAATTTTATTATTAAACTATTTATTTATTAGTTTTACAATATATGAATAATTATAAATAGAAAATATATTACATAATACTAATTACAATTATAAAATAAATAGACACACATCAATACTTAAATAATTAATAATAATAATACAGAAAATATGCACCTATCGTGAAACAATTTCAATGATTGGATAATATTGTAACAGACTCAAACTATTTCTAAAGTGAAAAAAAGGTTGTCCCCCTCTCCCCTACTTGCTGTACTAAGAGGGTCCGTAATTGAAGTTGTTTTGATATCTACCAACCACGTTATGATATGCAATAAGAAATAAATAAATGTATCAAATCTCTACTATGCTGGCTGTTTTATATGTATAATTTAAAAAAAAATAGTAAAACAAAATGCAATGTTCGTGGGTTATACTCGCATTTAACACTTTATTACAATTTAAAAATGAAGTAATATGTGAATACCTAGAAACTGGAAAAAAAGCGGACACTTGCATTTTAAATACACTAAAATTTTTTTAGTAGTAGTTGGTTAATTAACATTCTCCAATGACAGTGTCAAGAGAAATAAGCTTTGACAGGACAAGTTATTCGTATTGTCTGTTCTTTTATAATAACAAAATCAGTCTCAGCTACGATTCAATGTGGAAATGTAATCGAATTACACAAAATGCTCCTTATCTTAGCCAGAGACAGTACATTTTATTAACGTAGAACGGTGGAGCCTATACGCGACAATGAATCATTAACGCTTACATTTCACAATAGATGGCTCTTATTGCAACAAAGTGTTACGTCAGTGCGGTCGATTCATAAGCGCCGTTTCTTTAAACCCATTTCTTAGCTGAATATTTTGATCTGATAGTTTCTCGAAGTCATTGGTACATGATCTATAATGAATTAGACTTATAATAATTTTGGCTTAAGTCTATTACAAGTTTAGCTCATATTGAACCTCAAAACACAGACTTGGCTTTGATATCAAATTGAAATGTTATTTTAGAGATGGATATAGAGAGACGCCACTTCTTAATCAGTTCTTTCATCAATATTCAGTGATCACAGCGGATAATGGTAGATGGAAACAGAAACAAGTTACATGCAAACATTACGATAGTAAAATATGCAGTCTCTGTCTAAACTAAACGTATTCTAAGTAAGTAAGTACATGATATTCCTTAGGCATAACATGAAACTCTTATAATCACAAATTAATTAATATTAGTCTATGTAGAAATGTTAATCTAAATTCGTATATTAGACATCGAACGGAGGTGGGTCGCGGAGCGCGTGGCCATTTATCCACCGCCAGCGCCCTCTACACATCGACTTTTAAATACAATAGCCCACAAGGGGTAACATTCACAAACGATTACAACAAAAGTATGCAGTGGACGGGTATTAATATAAAGGAAAAAATATATATAATTAACATATGACCATTATACAAATTAATAAATCAATACATAATAGTAAAATTTATATTGTTAGCAATTATTGTGCAATTTCCAGCTATCACTAAGTGATCGCTGGATAGGTAATCAGCCTGCCGAGAGCTGGGGCAGAGGGCACGTGAGGACAGAGGAGCTCGTAAAGGTACACCTGGGACAGTACCGGGGCAATCCCGGATAGTAATGGCGTGTATTAGGGCGCGTCTACATGTAAACATTTCGTCGTGTCGTAACATTGTAATGTATGTGTTACAAAATTATTATTACTACCGTTCATGCTTTCGCTTTTCCAAATTTACTGTCAATTAAAAAAAAATAACCACTTTCAATATTTCTGACTGATATTGAAAAGTCCTCTGCTAGCGAATTTAATGACGTCAATCACGAAACAAGTTCCATATAAACCTGCTACTGAAAACAGTGGCGGGCAATAGGAATATTATTGTACGATCAACATTTTACTTCGTTATCAGAGCACTGTTTAAATAATCAATCAAAAACATTGAATAATCTTTTTCAATGTTTTTGATTATTATTGCCGGTCATTCAATCGGTGGGCTAAAATGCGAACGCTTTTACAAGCGTCCATTAAAGGAGGGTGGCGACGTCGCAGTTATCTGTTAATTTTCAAAAACAATTGAACATTCTTCAGTGTATCTGATTGATGGTTTAAAAACGCTCCGCTAGTGAAATTAAAAATAAACAAAAAAACAATCAAGGACGTTGAATATTATTAAATTATTTTTGAAAATTGACAGCCGATTGCGACGTGTGGACACACTGTCACTCACTAGAGTGTGGGGACACTAGTGAGTGACAGTGTGAACTCTCCTAATCTAAACCGCTCCATTCATAATATGTGACGTAAACGAATCAATTATTCTAATTTATCTAATTCTAATTATGTGATCATTCCGCCATTACATTCTTATTCATTCATTACAAAAATACCGTATAAATCCATCCATGCGTCCACAGTTGTAGCGAATATGCATTCAAAGGCAGAATGATACAAGTTTTGTGACATTGCACCGGGCTCAGAATTAAATTTATTCATTCAATCACTCACTCATTTATGCATTCATTCATTCATAAAAACACAGTTGAGAACGAGCTCTCCGCCGCCACTTATTATTTAATTATCCTATTCTCTAAACTAATGTTGTAAAAACTAAAGATTCGATGTTAAGTATGTTTGTTTATTTGTTTATAACGGATAAACTCAAACCGATTTTAAAACTTCTTTCTCGATTGAAAAGCTACATTGTCAGTGACTTGGGGTAAAATTTATTTTAAATAAAGTCATTTATAAATAAATTTAGAAATATGTTGCTGTTTAAAATACAGACAGAACCGAAAGGTGATGGTATTCGCATTGCGGTCTTAATCCTCAACCAATTAAATTTTGTATGTTTATTTGTAATAGATGAAAACTATGGGATGAATGCGCCATGATACTCGTTCTATTCGTAAGAACTCTGTATTCTATAATTTAAGATTTACTGAACAACAAAGTGTTACAAACAAACAAACTACTTAACAGACGTTTAAAATATTTAACCTACGAGTACATAAAGTACATTGTGGTCAATTCCGAGGTGACGTCTCTATAAAACTATCTCTTAACCAAATATTTTAACTCAATTTTGACTTAAATATACTAGAAATTCAGTTTATATTAATCCATAGAACAAAGATATTGAAATTTTAATTTTATCGCCTCAGAATCGACCTCAACAACAGCGACACAGGCTGCGTTTAAAAAAAAACGTGCGAGTTCACTGCTTAATAATAAACTAATGATACTAAAATAAAATTCATTTTTGTGACGTAGTGGATGCATCTCATATTTAAAACCGAAATATCTCGATAGATGGCTCTATATGGTAAACAGCGGCTCTGTTAGAAAAGTGACGAGCGAATATGCCGGTGTACTCCTGTGTAAGGCAGCAATACAAAATGTATCCACTGTGTAAGGCAGCAGTATCCACTGCAGAGGGGGGATATAAAGGGGACTATCACGTATGGGCGAACAGGTCCGGATCCCTCCCGAGTGGCGGTAGAGTAGCAACGGGGTGTGAAATTAATTTAGCAGTTTTTGATCACGTGAAATTAGTACAGTTGAATACTTTCATATGTATTAGTTTAGCAGTGATATTTGACATAACATGAATTATACTTCATGCCCCTGTTTATTTATTTCAGGTTTGTTTTTTGGAAAATTGCACCATTAAAAAGCGGAAGTTCTGCTTTCCTGTCTTTAAAATGTACCCATCTGCTACTGCAGCGCCACCTGAACGTCTGCTGCTATAAAGTGTTTAGACGGACCCTTGTTCGTGCACAACGACGGTCCTCCCCCGCCACTGCCCTCCACAGTGTCTACAGACCGATTCGTCGGCCACTTCTCTAAGAGCGCCGAGCAGCGTCCTGAGATGAGAACGCTCAAACATAGTGACGTCACACACACATTACAACCTATGACACGACGAAATGATCAAACTAGCCACGGGCGATATATAGCGTGTTTATTAACGTATACCATGCCTTAAAACCGGTGTTGGTATTAATCAATAAGGTCTTATTTTCCCTCGAAAACATTTTTATATTATAAAAACTAAAAAAATCTCCAAAAAAAAAGACAATTTATATTTGTACCAACGAAATTACATAATAATAGGTTTATGCATACCTTGTACTATGTATTGCCGCTGGTACATATACAGGTTGTTCGTACTGGTACGAAATGAATGATAGCCTTCATCCCGCCATCAATGTCCAGAGAAACCCCATATATAGATATATCAGCCACGCCTAGTTCATATCTGGACGCGCCCTCATATCACTCAAACTGTACTATTGCAGTGTAATGCTTATTAAGTAGTATTCAAAAGAAGAGCAGATCGGATAGAAGCAGCACTCTCAAATATTCATTGAAACAGTTGTACATATGAACAGGGTCGCTTGCGCGGCTGTAGGCTCTGGCGAAATATCGAATGAAGCAAGAGAGGAATGGTCACAGCAGTCAGCAGTTGTCTGACGCTGGCGAGTGGTGTGGTGACTGGCGCCTGGTGTCTGCCTAAATATTTAGCTTCCAATACACTATCCGCATCATTATTATGCCCCTTTACAATGAAACCGTTTAACCTGATTTCTTTTATACCTATTTTATAAAAATAAAAAAGCAAATTCAAAGCAAATAAAAATGGTGCATACTATATTAGTAAAAAATAATCTCAAGATGGAGTGTCAAATGGCAAGAAACAAATTGACCTAACTATTGGCCCGCCAGCTGTTAGTATACGCTTATTTTTTCGGTGTTGCCTGTAATTATATTTTGCTATTTCTATTTATGCTCAAATTAACGAATTAAATATATGTGAGGTACGATGTTATGCCTCTATACTCTGTAATTTCACTGCTATATTAAACCCTTTTAAGATAGTGGTGTGCTCATGCGGGCGACTTTTATACAAAATCTCCCTCGGGGGGTAAAATTCACTCCGACGAGAATATAAAGTTGTCTGTTCTGGTGACACGTTGCCAGAGAGACACTCCATCCTGACACATTTATAACATACCTATCTAAATGATATTTTAATTATATTATGAACTTATTAAATGGACAAACCCACTTACACACGACCTTATATATTTGATAGTGTAATATACACAAACACTGGTAAGTATACGAAATGTTTTAACACACTGTAGAAGAAACAGTCTTACAGTGAGCGTTCAGCCTTACCTTCTCCCGTTCGGGCCAGTTCGGGCCGAAGGCCGCGGCGGCCGACCTCAGGCTGGCTCGGCCCAGTGCCACCGCAGCGACCTTCCGGCGGCGCACAACCGCTGCCTGTTTACGGCTCAAACGCTGGCATAGCGGCCAGTTTCTGCTTCACCTCCTCGGTGGAGTCGTCGCACAGTAGTAACGTGTGGGAGAAGCCCATAGTGACTTGGGTAATGTTCATGCCCTCCATTTTCGTCACTTCCTTGGGCCGCACAATTGACTTGGCGATCTCACCCGTGTCCTAATAAAATTAAAACCAAAGCCATAAACTTCCGATGCTCCCGGAGATGCTTAAACTTATTGTGATAATAGTCATGTTACCAGCCATAAGTCCAAGGATATGCCTATACTGACCAGTTCTCCGTAGGTGGGCGAGACGCCCCACGCTATCACGGAGTCGTCCGCCGTCAGCACTATTGAAGTGTTAGTACAGTATTGAGTACTCGTGCCCATGCTGCGAATGTTACAGCCTGAAAAGGTTACACAATTATTTTCAAGTAACGAAAATGAAAATTGTGAATATGTTTCACAAAAAAAAAAACAGTCTTCAATTATGGCAAGACCAGTTATTTTTATTTAAAAACTAAATTACTAAACCAATTTTGATAAAATTTCTATAGGATCAACCTGTAAGTATATTATTTCAGTTAAAAAAAAAATTCCAAATTGGCTTAAAACTGACAGAGCTATAAGGTAACAAACATAAAAAAAAAACAATCAAATGGAGGACTTTCTGTTTGAAGTCAGTTTTTTTTTTAATGGATGATAATGGAATGGTAACCCTACCCGCGCTATCGGTATACACCGGCGGGGCACCAGTGAAGGATGATAGATGAGGATGAAACAGGTTAGTTAGCCCATCGTGACGAATTCAACAAGAATTGTTCACGATGGTTTCCAGGGGGAACCACGTGGAGGTTGACCTGCTAAGGCATATTGCTAGCAATGGGGCTGTCAAACCCCATTGCTAACAATCCCTTTCCCCCCTTTTGGAGACAGTTAAAAAAGAAATATACCAGTTGGTACTCACCAGTAAGATCATGCTCTGGTTTGGGGCACATGTTTGCTTCTTCGGTTTTCTTTGTTTGCTCAAACAGGAATAGGGCACCTGAGTAAAAATAAAAAGAGATAAATAGCACATATACAGTTTATATATTACTGGAATATGATTTCCATCACCATCATCATCACCATATCAGCCTTTAACTGTCCAATGCTGAACATAAGCCTCCCCCTTGGGGGTTTTTCCAATAGTTGCCACGCTTGGCAGGCGATGGCAACCGCAGTAAGGCTTTGCAGATATTTTAAGAGGGATACTGCTGCCCATTCCTCGTCTCCCTTAGTCGCGTCTTACGACACCCATGGGAAAGAAATGGGTGGTTCTATGCCAGGACCACATGGCGATTTCCATATCGTCATAATATTTCTATAATAATTTACATTCATATATCATAATTAAGACAAGTGTGTTCCTGGAGACCTATAATAATTTACATTCATATATCATAATTAAGACAAGTGTGTTCCTGGAGACCTATCAGGGATCAGGCAGTAAACGTGGGAATACGGGTGTGAGCGAGCGAGCAGCGGTCACCATTCTCGTTGACGGCGAGGCTGTAGGTGGAGCCACGATGTCCACGTTCTTGACGGGGCTCACGTGGCCGTCCTTGGACTTCTCGAAGAACAGCGCGACGTGTTTGGGCACCGTCTCGAAATGGAACGACAGTTTCGTCGACGTCACGAAGTACGGGCCGTCCGTGTTATGACCTGGCCGGGGACAGTTGCAAAGGTTATTTATTTGCGACTAGCGTACTACTAGTTCGACTTCTATTGCTTTTATAAAGACCACTCATATAATTTAAATACACCATGTACAGACCTCGTCTAGTTACAATCTTATTAGTCGAGTAAGATAATAGAAATACCGTGGTTCGTTCAAACACAAATAGGACAAGATAATAGTATCGATACAAGATTTCATAATACTCACTGCGGACCTATATCCTAGAGGAACACCATTATTTATCTAGAACTCCGCACCTATGTGGCATTCACACTTATTTATTACATTGCAATGTCTGAACTTATAAACAGCACAGTACAGAATTAATTGTTTTTAATAAAAAAAAACTGGCTGTTCGTAAACTTTACACTTTTACATTTTATAATTAAAAATACCATAAACATACATTCCACTTTAATTGTTAGAATAATACAATTAATTTACGTGCACTTCTGTCCGTAACGTTCGACTAGTATCGCTGTTCAATGAGTTGGCATGCCACGACACGTGAGCCAATGCGTTTACTCGCGTCAGCAAAAACGACTGCCGTAGTTTACTGCACATTTATAAAGTGTATTATTCCTAAAAATAGAGCAATATGTTTACGAATGAGTATTATCAATGATCGCTGTGTGATACCGGGATAGAATGGGCCACCTGTTCGTTTCCCGTGGGAGTGGAAGCGACTATATGTTATGGTCGAATTTCGACCACTTAACGACCACTAGTTTTAATAAATGTACTTAATACTAATGTTTTAAACCAACATTCCTTAACAATTAATGAAATAATGAAAGGAGATCACGATAAAACATTTAGACACACAACATAAAAATGTCAAAGTATGTAAATACTAAAAGGTATATCTGAAAGTCTCAGAATGTTACAAATGCTTACTAATATTGTAAATGTGTAAGTGAGTTTGTCTGTTACCTCTAAGGATCTTAAGGGCTGAATCAATCACAATGAAATTTGCTACATACATATACATACTATATGGGATGGGGAAGGACATAGCATAGTTTAAAATTACAATAATTATGTACAATACCTAGCTGTTTATACTCGGGCAGTCCGAAGGAGTGCAGGGCGCCGTTGCAGTCCAGAATCATGGAGAACTCCGCTCCACAGCCAACCTTCACTATCGGCGCGCCGCTGAAACAACATTATGAATTAATTTTAGTACTTCGAATAGTTTATGGCACGGTTTAAGATGAACTTGCAACCACTGCAGTCTACGATCACGGTTTCGTCTTACGTGTGGAATTCTTGTCCGAAACTTCGGCATTAAATTACATGAAAAAAATATTATTTATACTGTACTCAATGCATATACAAATAGACTAAATATTGATTATAGAACTATGGGCGGTTTTTTTCATTATACATACATAATTAATAAATTCACGCTACGATTATTTGTTTTGAACGCGCCGATAATATGAGCCCTGTTGCGACAGTACGAACCAAACAAAGAATCGTGATAAGAGACCCTTGATTACGTATACTAAGGACAAACTATTTGGGACACAAAAACAGGGCATCAATTAAAAATAATCTATTGCAATTATCTATCAGTCGTTTCGAAACCGTCTCGATATTTCTTGTACCTGTTAAAGTGTACCGTGTCTGATTGAACTAGACATAAACTATACTGGTGGAGACTTTATACAAATGCTGTCTGCATGGGTACTGCAGTCCCACCTGTGTCTCTGTCATCAGCTATACTGGCATGGCTGTTTCGGTTTGGAGTGAAATTAGTCGTATGAGTCCTGTGAAATTACAGGGTACGGAGGCATAACACCATAGCCCTCAGGAATGGCGACGCGAAAAGAGAAACATGATTGATTTTTGATCAAAATCAATAACTTTCTTTTTTCTAAAGATAGATTGCAGTCAACATGTATATAAAAAATAAAATGAGAATAAGTACTTCTCCTGCACTAGATTAACCGCCAGTAATTTTTTTTCTAACTATATATACTCCTCGCGGTCCCCCCTGGAAACTATCATGTTTAATTCCTGATGAATTCATCATGATGGGCTAACTGGCATGTTTTCATTCTCATCGATCACCCTTCACTGATGCTCCGCCAGCGTATCCCGTTAGCGCAGGCGGTATTACCATTCCATTTTCACCCATCAAAAAAAAACAAATTCATTATTCGAATTAGCCACGTTTCCAGAGGGAACCACGTGGAGGTCGACCTGACAGGGATCATTGCTAGTAATTGGGCTGTTAAACCCCATTACTAACAATCCCTTTCGCCCTTGAAAAACTATTCAGATGGATACAATAGTAATATTATTAATGACTCCACACCAGACACCGCATTGTTTCTACATTGCACGCGTGCGACGCCGGGGCGAGTGACTAGTAGTTTAAAAGACCTATTTTTATTTCATAATTACTATCGTTATAAATCGAAGTAAAACCTCGTTCCCGCGTCTAGATCGCATGCGCAGGCGCATCGACAACAGGTGTCGACTTACATTCTTGATAATAAGTCCTAATGGCGGCGGCACACGTTACATTCGACACCTCTAGCTATGAAAGTGTAAAACAAGACGCCCAGTACGTTTTTTTTATGCAATTTAAAATGGTAAACAAGCTGACGGCCCACCTGATGGAAAGTGGTAACCGCCACCTATAGACATGAGCAGTACCATGGACATAACAGAGTATACTGTTTCGCAAATGTAACCCCCCCCCCCCCCGAATGTATTGCCTGCTTTACGGTAAAAACACAAATGGGACAGAGGTGCCCAAGCAAACGACTTTTGTACAAAGTCTTTTTGGTACTCCATAAGTCAATATCAAACATTATTTGATATTGACTTATGGAGTACCACCGACCGAGTACCAACCGATTATGGTAAAATTTCTATGGGACCAATCTGTAAGTATATCCTTTCAAATATAAAAAGATTTTACCAAATCGTTGACGAAATTATAAGGCAGCAACACAACAGCAACAAAAGACAAACAAACAAAACACTGAATTAAGAACCCCCTCCATTTTTTGAAGTCGGTTAAATGTGCTTGTAATCAAGTTTACTTCAATTCGAATTATACCATATTCTAAATTCAATTTTCTTATTATACCGCGTAATAAAAAAATTGAATTTAGAATAAAAAGAAGTTGCTTGTGCGTCAACGACTGAACTTGTTTTGTTTTTTTGCGGAGCAAAAGTATTTACTTATTTGAAGTTGGTTAAAATAAAAAAAAAGTAAAAAGTGAGGTCGAGCATATATCGCTACGTCTCTGACTTGGCTACATAGTTTATATATAGTCTCAAGTCGTTGAGTGGTCCATTAGACGAGGTCGCCCTCCTCTAACTGGCTTCCGCAACGGATTCAGACCCCGATGGAGTGTTAACACCTCACCTATATCGGCGTAAACCGCTCAAAAACTTTAATAGCGCATTTCAGGATCAAATGACAGCTGACCCTCTTATTATTATTACACTTCCTGTAGGGATGTGAATAAAAATAGATTTTTCTTTATTGAATATTAATCGATTTGTCTAAATTCTATTTTAATATAAATACATAATCGATTTCTGAGAAAAAATCGATTTTTTCTATTAAACGACTACGTTGTGGTCTATAAAACTAAAATGAGAATCAAATCTTTCGTTAATCTTTAAGCAATAATTACTTTAATCTTTTTTAAACGATAAAAAATTTAAAATAATTATTGTCACAAATGTCCAGTCTTATTTTACAATTGACTACTATTAAAATAAAATACTTAAATAGATTTATTCAAATTCGATTAATATTACTATAAAAAATTCCGAAAAATCGATTATAAGAAAATAATAATCGATTTAAATAGAAATCAGTTTTTTTTAACATCCCTGTGAGGAAATCAAATTCACTCTCCTCTTTATGTCTAACGGCAGTTTTTGAAACTATATTGGCAACTATATTTCTTACTACTAGTTGGGGTAATTAGACCTTGCTGATTACGATATTACCCGGTACCCCGGTGTGTTATCAGTTTCAAACTGAAGGTATACAAAATAAAAAATGTATCGAAAAAGGGAACTTTACCTCCCGTGCTAGGCAAGGTATGACTATACTATGACTCTCGTTCAAACAGCATAATACAATTTGAACTGTAACTACTTGACATAAAAACATTTTTGCTAATGACAGCTTTTTGTTTTGTAAAACGAACAATGACAGTTGACAAAAGTAAACAACATGCAGTATACGTAAAAACTACAGACGTTTACTTACATTAGAATACGAATATTAATAAAACAAAATTATCAGTAATGTTTTCGAATGAAAAGTCTAACTACTAGTACCGGGGGGGGGGGGGGGGGGGTTGTTAATAATGCGGACTACCAGTCTCATTGTTAGCAATATGCCCAAAAAGGTCGACCTTCACGTGGTCACCCCTGGAAACCATCGTGCTGAATTCCAAGTGAATTCATCACGATGGGCTAATTGACCTGCTTTTTCATCCTCACCTATCATCCCTCACTGGTGGCCCGCCAGCATATACCGTTAGCGCGGGCTGGGTTGCCATTCCTTTATCAGCCATTAAAAAAAAAATGCTGACTAGCTCTTGGCGCGCACTCTTTTTTTATGCAGCGAAAGTACTCCAAAGGAATTCGCACCTTAACACTTTATAATAAGTATGAGTATTAATTTTCTCAAGTAATATTTAATTTTAAGCACACATTGTGCCTTAATGACTGTTCGTGTTCAGGCCTCATGCTTGTTTAGTTTGCAGTATCCAGTGAAAGCCCTTGTTAATACACACATATAAACTAAAAAGAACGGGGGGAAGGGATTGTTAGTAATGCGGGCTACCAATGCAATGGGACTACAAACAATATACCCTGTCAGGTCGACCTCCACGTGGTTGCCCCTGGAAACCATCGTGTTGAATCCAGATGTATTCATCACGATGGGCTAATTGACCTGCCTTTTCATTATCCCTCACTGGTGCCCCGCGAGCGTATACCGTTAGTGTAGGGTACCGTTACTGTACTATTCCATTATCATCCAATAAAAAAAAAATTAAAAAAAAATTCTTATATTTCTTAAAACCCCTTAATCAGGGTTTTTGAATGATTTATTCCTGGCGAGTACATTACAAATCTAAGTATTACAAAATACTATCATGTTAGTAATATCTATGTATTTTCATTTTACTAATTATTATGTATCTAGGGGGGTAAGGGATTGTTAGTAATGAGGTCTAATAGACCCGTTGCTAGCAATTTACCCTCTCAGGTCGACCTCCACGCGGTTCCCCCTGGAGACCATCATGTTTATTTCTTGTCGAATTCATCATGGTGGGCCAACTGACCTGCATTCATTCTCACCTATCATCTGTCACTGGTGCCTCGTCGGTGTATACCGATAGCGCGGGCGCGGTTACCATTCCATTTTCATCTATGAAAAAAAAAAATCTTATGTATCTTTTGCCTTGTTGCATATATCTTGCCGTGTGGTCCCGCCATACAATATGCCACCCCTTCCTATCCCGTGGGTATCCTATGACACAACTAAGGAAGGGCGAGGGATCGGCAGTAACGTCACTCTTAGAACATCCCCAAAGCATAACTGCGGTTACCATTCCACTTGCCAAGCGTGGCAACTACTGGCAAAACCCTCCAAGGGGGGGAGAGACTTATGTTCAGCAGTGGACAGTTAAAGGCTGATATGATATGATCTTTTATACAACTTAGAATAGTACAGAAGTTCGTGGCTTACCTCGTGGAGAGCGGTAACCGTCATTTATACAACATCGTAATGCTATTATCGAAAACAGTATAACTATTAAGGTATATTTTTATTTTTGCGTCTGTGGTCATTCAAAAAATATTTTAATTTTTTTTATACAACTTAGAATGGCAAACAAGCTGACGGCCCACTTGATGGAAAGTGGTAATCGTCGCCTATAGACATGAGCAGTATTTTTTTTATTATTATTATTGTTTTAATTTTTGTAATAAATTTATATACAATTATTATAGCTGCATATGCTGTTGTCTTTGTCAATTTTTTGAATCGATACATGCGATAAAATGTCGTTGACTCTTATTGGCAATCTCTAAGCATATGAAGTTGAAATTTGTAAATATTCACGTATGTTATTATTTTAATTTAAATACTTGAGCCTTCAGATTATTGATTAGTTTACAAGTAATAATTTTCTCTGTCGTTTCATAAACATTATATTTGTTATGATTCAAAATACTGTATTTAAATGAATGAAATGTTTCAAGCATTAAACACATACACGTATTTTACACGTAAAACATAAAATTGTATAAGTGTTTTTTTCCTATGGGTGAGATTATATTTAGGTAAAGACATTTAATTATATTACATTTAATTCTAACTAACTATATTCACTTAAAACTAATTCCACATTTATTAATACATAAAAATAATCAGAAATTATTTTGTACATACTCCCGCCAAAACAGCTTAGAGTATATATTATGTAAATTACTGTCCTATTATCTCTCTCGCTCTAACATACAGATTATTTTTTTTTTCTTTTAAATATAATTTTAAATAATACTTCATAGTCTAAGGTATTAATACTGAAGATTTCGACGCCGTCTGCGCTGCGAATTTGTATATCGTGAACTAATTATCGTACGATAGTAAATAAGATCTTATTTTATCGGTGAACGCAACAAGATTGATTCGTCATTCGGATTTTTTATCACAACCATTCTTCAGGTGAGAAGGGTTTGATCAAAAGTCCTGAGCCAAGAAAGGTGTCTGTTGCTTCGATGTTCTCCATCAATCTAGAATTCCTCGTCTGCTGCGGTTAGGTTCCATCTAATGATGCAATAACGTTTACTGTTAAGTTATACAGATAGTCTCCATACAAATGCTTCGAAAAAGCGGAACGACTTTTTCATATATTTTTTTTATGAGTACATTCAATGTTCCTATACTTTTTCATATAATTGTGTACGTGTCAGGGTTACCAGATTAAAAATTATTACTTAGATTAAAGTAAATAGATGAAAGTCGTAATTCAAAATATTAGGACTAAACAATCCTTTACAATATTTAGCTTTATTTACGTATTTAATTATATTATTTATTTATTTATTAAGAATAATGTGTAGATAAAGAATAAGAAAGACAAACTTCAAAATTCTTTCATTTTGCTTTAAAATTAGTAAAATTTTTAATTCAAGGTTGAAAATCCTTAAAGCCGTTTTGATAATTCTTATCCAAATAGATAGTTTTATAAACAAAAATGACAGCCATTTTGATTAATTATGACTGCTGATTTATATTTGGGGTGTACACGGTGTGTACTCAGATATTGGTTTTGAAAGCAATCGGTGACATAACATATAAAATGGTGGTCATTTTTATTAATTACTAGTTCTATTTTTTGTCGTATAACTTTTGCTCCTTTTTAGTGCGAAAAACTAATTTTATTTATTAAATAATTAAATATAGATATATTATGAGTGTAAGTATATAGATTGATAATAAAAAACGAGTAGGTTAATTTGACAAATATCTGGCAAAAAGTTGACCCGTTTTGAGTCTCGAGACTCAATTTATCTGTTTAACTCTTTATAGCACCAGAAACATAAAAATGACAATTAAACAATTCAATCTATCTATATAATATAAGCGTTTACTGTTGTCTATTCGTAAGGTATTGTAAAAATTATAAGTTATTATGCTGTATAATTTTCAGCAGGCGCTTTGATAGAAACACCACTCGGTGCCATCTACATAGCTCCAAAAAAGGGGTGAGGGGAGGATTGGCAGTAATGCAGTATAACGGCTCTATTGCTAAATGTACACCCTGTCAGGTCGACCTTTATATGATCCCCTCTGCAAACCATCGCGACGAATTCCAATTGACCTCACTTTATTATTACCGAGGGGAAAGGGATTGTTAGTAATTGTGTCTACCAGTCCCAATACTAGCCAATTTATCCTGAAAGGTCGACCTCCCTGCGGTTCCCCTCCAGAAACCATCGTGATTGATGAATTTGTCACAATGGGTCAAAGGACCTGCTTTCATCCACACCTATCATCTCTCATCGATACCGCACTAGCGTATACCATTCCATTCTCACCTATTAAGAAAAAGACTTTATTCGGGCATCCTTACCAATCAACTACTGTACTAGTCTCAAGCGCTTTCACAATGCGTTAACTGACAAAAGTAGCCGTGTCGTTCCGCATATAATAGGCCACCCCTTCCTTTCCCGTGGTTGTAATAAGAGGCGACTAAGGTAACTTAGTGGTCAATAAATGGACAGCAGGGTCCCTCTTGAAACAAATTCAAAGCCTAACTGCGGTTGCCGACTCACCTGCCAAGCGTGGCAACTACTGACAAAACACACCCAAGAGGCTTACAGCAGTGGACAATTAACAGCTGATATCATGATGATGACGATGATGATAAGGAAAAGGGATTGTAACTTTTAATCTTCTCCTCTCATCTCTCACTGCTGCCACACCAGCTAGCTACGTGCTACCTGCAGCGCAGGCCCCGCCTGAATCTCCGCGTGGTTCCTCTTGAAAACCATCCATCAACCAAGCTAGACTTTACTAATCCCCTGTACTCCCCCCCCCCATCCCTCACCATCGTGGTTAATTCTTGTAGAATTCGCCACAATTCGCATACTAACCCGTTCTCATCCTCATCTATCACCTCTCACTTGTGTTCCACCAGTGTTTATTAATAGCGCAGACGGGGTCACCATTCCATTCTCTCCCATTAAAGAAATCCATTCTTATCCACCATCACATATCATGCTCTAAAAGTTTGTACGATGGATACTAAATAACTGATTTGATAATACGGGGAAAGGGATTGCTAGTAATGGGGTGGAACCGCTCCATTATTGACTATATATCCCCTCAAGTCGATCTCCAACCGGTCCCTCCTCGAAACCATCGTACTTAATTCCTGGTGAATTTATCACGATAGGCCAGCTGACCTGCTTCATCCTCATCCATTCCATTTTCATCCATTAAAAAAGAACGGACAAATCTATACCAATTACTATAATGAGGAAACATTTCATTGTTACATATGAATCCAAATGCTTGTCTGTTTACTAGATCGAACCTGCAACTATAGGAAGATGCAGCAGTATGTTAAGCCGCTCCACCGCTAGGTGAAAGAAATTAATAAGACCAATAAGTGAAAATCAGTTTATTTATCAAATCACCAAAATAATATCGTTGGCAAGGAGTCGTTAACATCATATTTGTACCAGTTCAGTTCTTCATTGGGCTCAAATCCGAAGGGCCATTCCTCTAAACCTCTCTCTTGGCATCATATTATAATTAGATAGTTTTAGGACAAATTTAGTTTATATTGTTCCTTTGAATAAGAATTTCGATGTGATATCAAAGTGGAATGTTAACGCCAGGTTCAGAGCATGGTGCTTTAGAGTCGAGCCCACCGTCTCGAGCGGTGAGAGTTTCCCCTCTGAGACTTACAACTAGTTACGTGTATTTTACAGTGTTCATTGATAATTTTGAGGTTACATCAATTCACAAGGCTATTGTCTGTTCCTTTATTAGAAAAAATCAGTCTCAGCTACGATTCAATGTGGGAATGTAAACGAATTACACAAAATGCTCCTTATCTAAGCCAGAGACTGTACATTTTACTGACGTAGAACGCTGGAGCCTATACGTGACAATGAAGCATTCACGCCTAAATTTCACAACAGATGGCTCTAATGTAAACCAAGTGAAAAATCTAATTTGAGCTGCGAATAATATTTCACATCAATGCGGTCGACTCTTATGCGTCGTTTCTCTAAACCCATTTCTTAACCTAATATTTTGATCTGATAGTTTCCCGAAGTCATTGGTTCATGGATCATCATGAATTAGACTTATAATAATTTTGGCTTAAGTCTATTACAAGTTTAGCTCATATTGGACCTCAGAACCGGACTTTGATTGATATATTAATTTTAAAGATGGATTTCGAGAGACACCGCTTCTGAACCAGTCTTATCGTCAATGCTTAGTAGTCACAGCGGATAATGGTAGATGGAAACAGAAACAAGTTACATGCAAACATTACGATAGTAAAATATTCAGTCTCTGTCTAAACTAAACGTATTCTAAGTAAGTAAGTACATGATATTCCTTAGACATAACATGAAACTCTTATAATCACAAATTAATTAATATTAGTCTATGTAGAAATGTTAATCTAAATTCGTATACTAGACATCGAACGGAGGTGGGTCGCGGAGCGCGTGGCCATTTCTCCACCGCCAGCGCCCTTTATACATCGACTTTTAAATACAACACACATATAGTAGTTACATTAAATACTTGCATCATAGAATTCCGCAGGCTGATCACCTATCAATTAGTAATCCACAATCACGCCAACGATGGTCAATTGTCAAAGATTGGACGTCTTCCAATAGACAGATGCACTATTACTGGCGAGCGATCAATAGGCGAAACAAACATTCAAAATAAAATAGGCCCCATATAGACGATCAATTACAACAAAAGTACACAGTGACGGGAATTAATATAAAGGAAAAAGAATATAAAATGAACATATAACCGTTACACAAATTAATAAACCAATACATAATAGTAAAATTTATATTGTTAGCAATTATTGAGCAATTTCCAGCTAACACTAAGTGATCGCTGGATAGGTAATCAGCCTGCCGATGTGAGAACAGAGTTGCTCGTGAAGGTACACCTGGGATAGTACCGGGGCAATCCCGGATAGTAATGGCAGGTATTAGGGCGCGTCTACATGTGAACATTTCGTCGTGTCGTAACATTGTAATGTATGTGTTACAAAATTATTATTACTACCGTTCATGCTTTCGCTTTTCCAAATTTACTGTCAATTAAAAAAAAAATAACCACTTTTAATATTTCTGACTGATATTGAAAAGTCCTCTGCTAGCGAATTTAATGACGTCAATCATGAAACAAGTTCCATATAAACCTGCTACTGAAAACAGTGATGGATCAACAGGAATATTATTGCATGAACAAAACGTTTTGCTTCGCTATCAGAGCACGATTTAAATAAACAATCGAAAATATTGGAAATGATTATACTATCGTCGGTCATTCAATCGGTGGGCTAAAATGCTAAAACTCTTAGAAGCGTCCATGACAGAGGGTGGTGACGTCGCAGTTATCTGTTAATTTTCAAAAACAATTGAACATTCTTCAGTGTATCTGATTGATGGTTTAAAAACGCTCCGCTAGTGAAATTAAAAATAAACAAAAAAACAATCAAGGACTTTGATTATAATTAAATTATTTTTGAAAATTGACAGCCGATTGCGACGTGTGGACACACTGTCACTCACTAGAGTGTGGGGACACTAGTGAGTGACAGTGTGAACTCTCCTAATCTAAACCGCTCCATTCATAACATGTGATGTAAACAAATCAATTATTCTAATTTATCTAATTCTAATTATGTGATCATTCCGCCATTACATTCTTATTCATTCATTACAAAAATACCGTATAAATCCATCCATGCGTCCACAGTTGTAGCGAATATGCATTCAAAGGCAGAATGATACAATTTTTGTGACATTGCACCGGGCTCAGAATTAAAGTTATTCATTCATTCTCTCACACATTTATGCATTCATTCATTCATAAAAACACAGTTCAGAGAACGAGCTCTCCGCCGCCACTTATTATTTTATTATCCTATTCTCTAAACTAATGTTGTAAAAACTAAAGATTCGATGTTGAGTATGTTTGTTTGTTTGTTTGTTTATAACGGATAAACTCAAACCGATTTTAAAACTTCTTTCTCGTGTGAAAAGCTACATTATCAGTGGCTTGGGGTAAAATTTATTTTAAATAAAGTCATTTACAAATAAATTTAGAAATATGTTGCTGTCTAAAATACAGACAGAACCGAAAGGTGATGGCATTCGTATTGCGGTCTTAATCCTCAACCAATTAAATTTTGTATGTTTATTTGTAATAAATGAAACTATGGGATGAATTCGCCATGATACTCGTTCTATTCTTAAGAACTCTGTATTCTATCTATAATTTAAGATTTACTGAACAACAAAATGTTACAAACAAACAAACTACTTAACAGATGTTTAAAATATTTAACCTACGAGTACATAAAGTACATTGCGATCAATTCCGAGGTGACGTCTTTATAGAACTATCTCTTAACCAAATATTTTAACTCAATTTTGACTTAAATATACTAGAAATTCAGTTTATATTAATCCATAGAACAAAGATATTGAAGTTTTCATTTTATCGCCTCAGAATCGACCTCAACAACAGCGACACAGGCTACGTTTAATAAAAAACGTGCGAGTTCGCTGCTTAATAATAAACTAATGATACTAAAATAAAATTCATTTTTGTGACGTAGTGGATGCATCTCACATTTAAAGCCGAAATATCTCGATAGATGGCTCTATATGGTAAACAGCGGCTCTGTTAGACAAGTGACGAGCGAATATGCCGGTGTACTCCTGTGTAAGGCAGCAATACAAAATGTATCCACTGTGTAAGGCAGCAGTATCCACTGCAGAGGGGGGATATAAAGGGGACTATCACGTATGGGCGAACAGGTCCGGATCCCTCCCGAGTGGCGCTAGAGTAGCAACGGGGTGTGAAATTAATTTAGCAGTTTTTGATGACGTGAAATTAGTACAGTTGAATACTTTCATATGTATTAGTTTAGCAGTGATATTTGACATAACATGAATTATACTTCATGCCCCTGTTTATTTATTTCAGGTTTGTTTTTTGGAAAATTGCACCATTAGAAAGCGGAAGTTCTGCTTTCCTGTCTTTAAAATGTACCCATCTGCTACTGCAGCGCCACCTGAACGTCTGCTGCTATAAAGTGTTTAGACGGACCCTTGTTCGTGCACAGCGACGGTCCTCCCCCGCCACTGCCCTCCACAGTGTCTACAGACCGATTCGTCGGCCACTTCTCTAAGAGCGCCGAGCAGCGTCCTGAGATGAGAACGCTCAAACATAGTGACGTCACACGCACATTACAACCTATGACACGACGAAATGATCGTACTAGCCGCGGGCGATATACAGCGTGTTCATTAACGTAAACCATTCTTTAAAACCGGTGTTAGTATTAATTAAAATTAAATTTAAATAAAAATTCTCGAAAAAAAAGCTTGTATCTGTACCAACAGAATTACATAATAATAGGTATATGCATACCTTGTACTATGTATTGCCATTGGTACATATATACAGATTGTTTTTTTATCAAAAATATTTTTTTTTAGTTTTTGGTAATATATGATTTGTTTGTAGGAGAAAAAGATATTCTTTGGAAACTCTGTAATTGAATACTAATACTGCTTTTAAGAAACAGATTACATTAATATACTGTGTAACAATATGTATATATTGGCTCCATGACGGATATCAGGTACGATATTTTAATATATGTATATATTGAACATCAGTATCCAATATATAATATCGAAATAAAGAGCCAAATCGAAATGTTCAAAGTTATCCGGCTGGTACGAAATGAGTGATGGCCCTTTTCCCGCCATCAATGTCCAGAGAAACCCCATATACCTATAGATATATCAGCCACGCCTAGTTCATATCTGGACGCGCCCTCATATCACTCAAACTGTACTATTGCGGTGTAATGCTTATTAAGTAGTATTCAAAAGAAGAGCAGATCGGATAGAAGCAGCACTCTCGAATATTCATTGAAACAGTTGTAAATATGAACAGAGTCGCTTGCGCGGCTGTAGGCTCTGGCGAAATATCGACTGAAGCAAGTTGAGCAACTCATGACGAATTCAAGCGGAGAGGAATGGTCAAGACGTAGATAATTTGGTCGATTCTGACGTGCCATTGCTCATTATAGTTTTAATTTGGTACTTTAGCAAAACAGTTGCTGATCACCGAGAGGTAAATATAAACAAGTTACAAAATTCTATTATTAATTTACTTCTAGAGATTGGAGCGGATGGCGCTTCAAAATAGACCCCATTGTCTGATCACACAGGTCGGGTCACTGTACACACAGGAGAGATGCATTCTAGGAGATATACATTTTTAAACATTTATTCTCTTTTGCATATTATCAGTTACTAATCAAGAAAAAACTCTTTGACACGAGTACACTATTAAAAATAATATAAAGTATGACAGATTCTCAATAACAGAACTGCACTGATCATAATGCGGATGCTAAAACCCATCAGAGAGTTGCAGCCAATGAAATTGTTCTAAGGTTGCGGTTACACTTGAAACTATCGAACTGTAATTATATAGACACCATAAAAATATACAAGATTTGTTCATAGTCCCACTTCTACCGTCGCCTCCGCATGGGTCGTGTCATTTGAAATATTATAGCGTAAACATAATATTAAACATTACAAATTTGCTAATCTAACATTACAATTAGGGCGCTTACACACTGCGACGAGACAGACATAACACGAGATTAGAGGAATACAAAATAAAGAAAAGAATAGATTGTTAATTAATGCGGATAATGTACTAAAATCTAAATCATTAGGCAGTCCTCAGACGCCAGTCACCACACCACACGCCTCATATTTCAGGACATTAGTTGGACAAACATGAAATATTTACACGTGGGGCGCAGCGTGACTCGAGTGCATATACAGATGATCATATTGCGACGTTCCACAATGATAGTGACGGATTTACTTCGACACAGATAATTTATTTGTTTATTTGTTAAACACAAAGAATTTTAAAGTTAGGACATAATGGTACGCAACCCCGGCCTTCCTAGCTACTTCAGTTAAAGAATTTAAATTTGAGAGTCGTAGACTCCTTTAGATACGACTGAATCTTGGTTTGACCCGTGTTTTTGTTCAAGCCACCCAAGATCAGAGAGAAGTTCTGGGATAGTGTAAGGAGATTTATAGTGTAGTGTAAGGGTGAAGGGCACAAGAGGCTTTTCCTACCATAATAGGTAGGAACGTCGGAACCGATCACTTTTTAGTAGTTTCGAGAAATGGCTTATTCAATAAATGGCGACATCGTCCACGTGGCCATATTTCAAAAATAGAGTAAATGTAGAGAATTTTATAGAAGAATAAATTGGAAATTAGTATAGTGAACGCTCTATATAAGCAACATTCTTTATATTTTATTTATTCTACTCAGCTTAATTAGTAAAAGAAATAAGTAAAAATATTTTCCAGATGGTAAGTATTTTTATACTCCTTTTTTTCCTATAAGTAACTTTTTCCAATAAGAAATGTTTTCATTGAAATTGATTCAAATGAGTTGCTTATATAGAGCGTTCACTGTATTAGGAAAGATTTAATGAGAGATTTCGAAAACTACAGAAGAAAGATTACTGTGAGATACTACAATTTTGAAACCTTTCAAAAACATCAAATGTACGGATCAAATCTTTTCCTTGAGGTGCATGGAAGCAAAAAAACTTTAGTTCAACATCAGAAGGTTTTCTGCGCCTTTACTGACCTTGAAAAAGCTGATAGAGTAGAGAAATCACATTTTTCATAAGCTGTCTATTGAGAGAACGCATCCACATACCCATTACGATATGAGCAGTTGACTATAGATGATAGAAATTTCATGTTTGATCGATGTTCTAGACTATGAGACGAGTGGTGTGGTGACTGGCGCCTGGTGTCTGCCTAAATATTTAGCTTCCAATACACTATCCGCATCATTATTGTGCCCCTTTACAATGAAACCGTTTAACTAAATTTTTTTTACACTTATTTTATAAAAAATAAGCAAAGTCAAAGCAAATAAAAATAGAGTGTCTTTTAATATCGCCAATAGTGCGTAAGCGCTCTTGTCAATCGACTGAGAAATCGAATACCTATCTATTATAATAAAAAATATATAACTAAAAAAAAAGCATAACTTGCAAATGCATGTTATGGTGGTATATTACACTATGAAATACAAAGAACCACATGTTGTTTACAACAATAAAAACATAGTGGAGTCGCTCGATTATTACTAAATTATTATATACTATGTTAGTAAAAAAAAAATCTCAAGATGAAGTGTCAAATGGCAAGAAACAAATTGACCTAACTATTGACCCCAATTATATTTTTCTATTTATGCTCAAATTAATGAATTAAGTATATGAGAGATGGTTTTGTTTGATATTTAGAGTGGCAGACTATCGGCCCACCTGATGTAAGTGGTAACTGTGGTCTATAGGCACGAACAGTACCATAGACATTACAGAATAAACTGTTATGACAATGGTGCCCCTCCTGCGTCGCCATTACTGATATATACGATGTTATGTATCTATACTCTGTAATTTCACTGCTATATTAAACCCTTTTAAGATAGTGGTGTGCCCATGCAGGCGGCTTTTATACAAAGTCTCTCTCGGGGGGTAAAATTCACTCGACGAGAATATAAAGTTGTCTGTTCTGGTGACACGTTGCCAGACAGACACTCCATCCTGACACATTTATAATATACCTATCTAAATGATATTTTAATTATATTATGAACTTATTAAATGGACAAACCCACTTACACACGACCTTATATATTTGATAGTGTAATATACACAAACACTGGTAAGTATACGAAATGTTTAACACACTGTAGAAGAAACAGTCTTACAATGAGCGTTCAGCCTTACCTTCTCCCGTTCAGGCCAGTTCGGGCCGACGGCCGCGGCGGCCGACCTCAGGCTGGCTCGGCCCAGTGCCACCGCAACGACCGTCCGGCGGCGCACAACCGCTGCCTGTTTACGGCTCAAACGCTGGCATAGCGGCCAGTTTCTGCTTCACCTCCTCGGTGGAGTCGTCGCACAGTAGTAACGTGTGGGAGAAGCCCATAGTGACTTGAGTAATGTTCATGCCCTCCATTTTAGTTACTTCCTTGGGCCGCGCAGTCGACTTGGCGATCTCACCGGTACCCTAATAAAAACAAAACCGCAGTTATAAACTTTTGATGTAATTTATTAACCGTTTCATAATTTTAATTAACCCATATGATCCCGGAGATGTTTAAACTTATTGTGTTGATAAAGATCATATCAGCCGTTACCTGTCCACTGCTGAACATACCCCCCCCCCCCCCGCGCCTTGCCCTCGGGAGGTGTAACGGATAAAATAATGTATGCACACTATTTATCACAAAATCAGGAAATTATTATACAGATAGTAAACAAGAATGAAGCGAATCTGAAAAAATATACTCCTGTGATAGTGAAAAACGTAGCATACTAGGTGAAAGAAAAATTACTAGATATATTTAGAAATCCAAATATATTTAGAAGAACCAGAGGGAGACGTTGTACAAAAGTCGTTTGCTTGTGTACCTCTGTCCCATTCGTGTTTCAACCGTGTTGCGTTGTGTTTGCATGGCTGTGTTTCGGTTTGAAGGGTGGGATATGGCGTGAATTTACAGGGTACAGAGGAATAACATCTGAGTTCTCAGGAATAGCAACGCATGGGGGGTATCATGGGCGAAACAGTATACTCTATTATGTCCATGGTACTGCTCATGTCTATAGGCGACGGTTACCACTTTCCATCAGGTGGGTCGTCAGCTTGTTTGCCATTCTAAGTTGTATAAAAAAAAAAGGATCATGCAACAACTATCCCAACAAAATACACTGGGAGGATATGGTAAGTCCAAAGAATGTGCCTGTACTGACCAGTTCTCCGTAGGTGGGCGAGACGCCCCACGCTATCACGGAGTCGTCCGCCGTCAGCACTATTGAAGTGTTACTCGTGCCCACACTGCGAATGTTCCAGCCTGAAAAAGACAAATGACAAATTTATTTCCCCAGCACCACCTTCAACTAGTCTAAACTGATTCTAGTTTGACACAACAGTAATTTTTTTGTGACTTCCTTGTTCACAAATAACTCGTTTCACATAGCCAGTTAAGTTAGATTTTTTCTTTTTAATTTGAACAAGTACACATTACAGAGAATTTTTTTATTAAAAATATTTCATTTCAATTAACTATATTACATTAACTTTTAACACTAACTTTTAACTTAACTAGTGAACCAAGTTTGGTAAAATTTCTATAGCATCAACCTGTAAGTAATTTGATATATTAATTTAAAATAATTAAATATAATTTAAGCAATGAACTGAAAGATAAAAAAATATTTTTAAAAAAGAATTTTTAAAAATACTTTTAATTTTAATATTCAGTTAAAAAAAGAATTTTTCTAATTGGCTTACAAATGACAGAGTTATGAGGTAACAAACATATAGAAATCCAATCCATGCGAGAACCTCCTTCTGCTGACAAAATATTTACCATGCAATACTCACCAGAAAGATCTTGCACTGGTTTGGGGTACATGTTCGCTTCACCGGTTCTCTTTGTCTGGCCAAACAGGAACAGGGCACCTGAGTGACAATAAAGGGACATAAATAGTACATACAGCAGTATTCAATTTATATATTACTGAATTGTGATTCTCATATTTTCATAATATTTCTATAATAATTTACATTCATAAATATGTCTTATTAATATATTATAGTTAACATTGTGTTTCTTAAAAACACATTGATTTCGATTTAGACAAAACCATTTTATTTTGATTTCAAAACTAAACTATTGAATCGATATTGATTAATTGATACACGCCATATCCCACCCTTCAAACCGAAACACAGCCATGCAAACACAACTGCTTCACGGTTGAAACACGAATGGGACAGCAACCCAAGCAATCGCCTTTAAACGTAAACGTGGCAGTAAACGTGGGCATGCGGGTGTGAGTGAGCGAGTGGCAGTCACCATTCTCGTTGACGGCGAGGCTGTAGGTGGAACCGCAGTGCACGGAACGCACGCCTCGTGACTGCGAGTCGAAGAACTTGATCAGCCGCGGCACACTCTCGTCCCGCTGTTCCGCGTGCCCGAGCCGACCGAAGCCGCCGAAGCCCCAGCTGTACGCGCGCTTCTTCGAGTCTATCGCCACCTGCGCCCACCGAAACCCACGTTAGACGGCCATTAGTGCCTTCCATTCAAGTAATAACATAGACGAAAACAACACCGGGTCACTGACCGTGTGGTTGTTGCCGCACGAGAAGTCCACGATGTCCACATCCTTGACGGGGCTCACGTGGCCGTCCTTGGACTTCTCGAAGAACAGCGCGACGTGTTTGGGTACCGTCTCGAAGTGGAACGACAGCTTCGTCGACGTCACGAAGTACCGGCCGTCCGTATTATGACCTGGCCGGGGACAGTTGCAAAGGTTATTTATTTGCGACTAGCGTACTACTAGTTCGATTTCTATTGCTTTGATAAAGACCACTCATATAATTTAGATACACCATGTACAGACCTCGTCTAGTTACAATCTTATTAGTCGAGTAAGATAATAGAAATACCAAGGCTCGTTCAAACAAAAATAGGACAAGATAATAGTATCGATACAAGATTTCACAATACTCACTGCGGACCTATAACCCTGAGGATCTAGGGCTATATGTCTAAGGCGCCCGCACGCAATGTGGCAATCACACTTATCTTATCACATTGTATTAACGAACTTAAATAATTTAATTAGTAAAATAAATAAATATTAATAAAATTTAATTTATATTTTTTTTTTTATAAATAATAATATTTTAATCACAAAACTGTGTGCTGGTGAATTTTACACTTTTACATTTTATATTTAAAAATTTAATAACCACACATTCTAATACACAATTGATTGACGTGGACACCTGTCTGTAACGTTCGACTAGTATCGCTCTGTTCAATGAGTTGGCATGCCACGACACGTGAGCCAATGCGTTTACTCGCGTCAGCAAAAACGACTGCCGTAGTTAACTGCACATTTATAAAGTGTATTATTCCTAAAAATAGAGCAATATGTTTACGAATGAGTATTATCGAAGATCGCTGTATGATACCGGGATAGAATGGGCCACCCCTCCCTATCCCGTGATTGTCGTGGAGCCTCTTACAACACCGTGGTTGTCTAAGAGGGGGGCCACTTATGACACCGTGGATGTCGTAAGAGGCGATTAAGAGAACTAAGAAGTCGAGGTATGGGCAGCAGCGTCGCTCTCGAAACATCACCAAAGTCTAACTGCGGTTGCCAATCCGCTTGCCAAGCGTTGCCGAGCTTGGTTATGGGCATCATCCAATCTATGTCAAAGTGTATGTAAAACCTAAAAGGCAGGACTGAAAGTCTTAGAATGTTACAAATCTTTACTAATATCATAAATGTGTAAGTGAGTTTGTCTGTTGCCTTTAAGGACCTTAAGGGTTGAACCAATCACAATGAAATTTGCTACATACATACTATATGGGATGGGGAAGGACATAGCATAGTTTAAAATTACAATAATTATGTACAATACCTAGCTGTCCATACTCGGGCAGTCCGAAAGAGTGCAGGGCACCGTTGCAGTCCAGGATCATGGAGAACTCCGCCCCACAGCCAACCTTCACTATCGGCGCGCCGCTGAAACAATTAATTATGAATTAATTTTATTACTTCGAATAGTTTTTGGCACGATTTAGCTGTCTGATCCCGTTATAGAATAGGCCACGCCTTCCTTTCTCGTAGATGTCGTAAGAGGCGACTAAAGGAGGGCAAGGGAAAGGCAGCAACATCTCCCTTAAAACAACTCCAAAAACCTAACTGCGGTTGCCAATCCACCTGCCAAGTGTGGCAACTACTGGCAAAAACTAGTATATTATATATTGTGATATATAGCAGTGGTTAATTAAAGGCTGATATGACAATGGTTTAAGCGAAATAATGCACCAATTTCAGTCTACAATCAAAATTTCTTTTTTTTATACAACTTAGAATGCCAAACAAGCTGACGGCCCACCTGATGTAAAGTGGTAACCGTCGCCTATAGACATGAGCAGTACCATGGACATAATATAGTATACTGTTTCGCCCATGATACCCCCATGCATTGCCATTCCTGAGGACTCAGGTGTTATTCCTCTGTGCCCAGTAAATTCATGCCATATCCCCACCCTTCAAACCGAAACACAACCATGCAAACACAACTGCTTCACGGTTGAAACACAATGTAACATGGTAGACCCACAGGCAATCTGTAGTGGAATTTGGACCTATAAATGAAAAGTGATATTACAGAGCACCCGACTAATACAAACGACTAGAAATGTACCATTTAGACAGAGTCTTTTCTTGATCAAATTTGGTCCAAGTGTCACAGTGCGCCAGCTGGATTCGGATACAAATCCCATTTGGATATAAATAAATGTAAAATATCATCATTTCCTTTTATCGTTTCAGCCATTATCCGTCCACTGGTGGACCACTGGTGGATAAGCCTCAACCATAGACTGCCATAAAGAACGGTCCTGAGCCACCCGCATCCACTGACTCCCTGCAATGTATTTCAGGTCGTCACTCTATCTAGTGGGGGTCGTCCTACACTGCGTTTACCCATACGCGGTCGCCACTCTTAACCTTTCTTCCCCATCTATGTAAAATGACAATTGCTCTAATATTCTGCCAGGAAATGACTACGCATGAAACATACCACAATTTACAGATTCAAACTATTCATTGTTGGGGGAAAGGGATTGTTAGTAATGGAGACTGAAAATCCCATTGCTAGCAATAAACCCAACCAGGTCGACCTCCTCGCGGTTCCTCCTGGAAACTATCATGGTTAATTCCTGATGAATTCCATGGTAGCCCATCATGACGAATTCGAACGAACTGGCCCGTTTTCATTCTCATCGATCAACCTTCACTGGTGCTCCGCCAGCGTATCCCGTTAGCACAGGCGGGGATAGCTACCATACCATTTTCACCCATCAAAAAAAAACTACCATTGTTTATTTGATTTGAATGCGCCGATAATATGAGCCCTGTTGCGACAGTACGAACCAAACAAAGAATCGTGATAAGAGACCCTTGAATACGTATACTAAGGACAAACTATTTGGGACACAAAAACAGGGCGTCAATTAAAAATAATCTATTGCAATTATCTATTAGTCGTTTCGAAACCGTCTCGATATTTCTTGTACCTGTTGAACTGTACCGTGTCTGGTTGAACTACACATAAACTATACTGGTGGAGACTTTATACAAATGCTGTCTGCATGGGTACTGCAGTCCCACCTGTGTCTCTGTCATCAGCTATACTGGCATGGCTGTTTCGGTTTGAAGGGTGGGATATGGCTGCGAAGCTACAGGGTACGGAGACATAACACCGCAGCCCTCAGGAATTGCGACGCGTGAGGAGCAACATGGGTGTCGTCGTGTATTTGTGAAGTCCGTGATGAACAGCACGTTCGTGTCGACAGTCACTACTGTCCATCGGGCGGGCCGTCAGCTAGTCTTACTGTATACTCACCTGTATTTAATACGCGTCGGTTTCAGTATCTGGGCCGTGGTGTTCCCGACGCCGCATTGTCCACTCTTGTTGTCGCCGCATGCGTACACAGCGCCGGTGTCTGTTGGAGACAATAAAGTCGGTTAAAACTTACTGCACAGTTATTACTTATTAGAATGTACAGAAACAAACAAGCAGGGGACCAACAGCTTTCCAGGAACCGAAACCAAATGAATGCACCCTGCATTGTTAATATTTTTTTTTTAATACTAATGGTATGGTAACCCCGTCTGCGCTATTGGTATACACTGACGGGGCAGCAGTGATAGATGACTTATGAGGATGAAAGCAGGTCAGTTAACCCGTCCTGACAAATTCAACTAGAATTAGCCACGATGATTTCCAGGGGGAACCACGTGGAGGTCGACCTGACAGGGATCATTGCTAGTAATTGGACTGTTAAACCCCATTACTAACAATCCCTTTCGCCCTTGAAAAACTATTCAGATGGATACAATAGTAATATTGTTAATGATTCCACACTGACACTGCATTGTTTCTACATGGCACGCGTGCGACGCCGGGGCGGATCGCTAGTATTATTAAAGACCTATTTTTATTTAATAATAACTATCGTTATAAATCGAAGTAAAACCTCCTTCCCGCGTCTAGGTCACATGCGCAGGCGCATCGACAACAGGTGTCGACTTACATTCTTGATAATAAGTCCTAATGGCGGCGGCACACGTTACATTCGACACCTCTAGCTATGAAAGTGTAAAATAAGATGGCCAATCTGTGCATGAATCACCAATAAATTTAATTCTAGCATTCCATAAATAAACATCAGATATTATCAAAGTTATAGCTATGAATAACAGAAATACATTCAATAATCTTTACACACTAAAAGACATAACAGAGGGAGACTGTACAAAAGTCGATTGCTTGGGTACCTCTGTCCCATTTGTGTTTCTACCGTGAAACAGTTGTGTTTGCATGGCTGTGTTTCGGTTTGAAGGGTGGGATATGGCAGTGAATTTACTTGAACTACTAAGGTTCTTAACCTTTTTCTTTTTAAAGTCTATTAAAAAATAATAAATAAGAAAATTAATTAATTTCTAAATCAGTAAAACATTATAAAGCCAAGCATCCCTATCGTAACGAACTCGAGCTGACAGTCTGAGGAGGAGTTAGTTAATTTATATGATAAATAAATAAATAAAAATATATAAATAAACAAAAATATATAAATAAAAATATATAAATAAACAAAAATATATAAATAAATAAAAATATATAAATTAATAAAAATATATAAATAAATACAAACATATAAACAAATAAAAATATTTTGTTCCATTACAAAAAAGAAATAAAAACCGACTTCAATCGTGGCAAAACGGATTAATTTGTTTAACAAAAAAAAAAAACAAATTACCGGACCGAGTTTGATAAAATTTCCACATTATTACATTACAACATTGATACAAGAGCAAAAAAGAAAAAAAAAACAAAATCAAATAACTTACATACATACCATATACACGTATTCCTTAAGACAACGGGACACAGGTACTAACGCGTGTACAGCAGCGACAGAAAAGACTGTCCATGGGAAAATTAACGAATACATGCAACTGTCTCGTTTCCCGTTATGCACTCGCAACAGAATTTGATACCGACACGTATAAAGAAAAAATAGGGGACCTAGGTTAGTGGCGTAATGTAATGATTAATAAATCCACTTTACCATCGCTCACCAGTGTTACGGATATACGGACATGACTACAGAATAACAATATTATTTATTTATTTATTCATTAGTAGATACATGTGCACATAAATGGCGGACTTAATGCTAAAAGCATTCCCTCCCAGTCAACCATAGGGAAGTGTCGGAATACTCGAGTGCGGTACTAGTAATTATTGATATACATACATACTAAAATTACATATATAAACGAATAAATATATATGAATAACAAATATACTTACACATATATGATATATACTATATTATACACGAAATTGAGAATAATATAAAGTACTTACTGCTCGGATAAAGTAAAAAAGTGAGCTTGAACGTTAATATTTTTTTTATGAATAATAATGGAATATATATCTATACCTCCGCTTGCGCTAACGATATACGATGGCGGGGCACCAGTGACATGTGATAAGTTTTTTTTTTTTGTGTGTGATAGGTTGTGTTTCAACCGTGAAGCAGTTGTGTTTGCATGGCTGTGTTTCGGTTTGAAGGGTGGGATATGGCGTGAATTTACTGGGTACGGAGGAATAACACCCGAGTCCCCAGGAATGGCAATGCATGGGGGTATCATGGACGAAACAGTATACTCTGTTATGTCCATGGTACTGTTCATGTCTATAGGCGACGGTTACCACTTTACATCAGGGGGGCCGTCAGCTTGTTTGCCATTCTAAGTTTTATAAAAAAAAAATGAAATTGGTGTTTTTTTTTGTGGAGTAAAATGTTAAAATTTATGTTCGTTTCAATACTACCGATTAGCCCCGGCCTTGCATAGATAGATAAATAGAAAGATAAGTTAGTATTTTATAATAATTAGCTTTATTAAACAAATTTATGACACTTCGTGTTACATAATTGGTATATTCGTAACTTAATTATAAATCATCCGTTTATCTGTCCACTGCTGAACGTAAGCCTTCCCCCTTAGACTACCATAAGGAACGCTCCTGAGTCATCTACATACATTGTGTCCTCGCTCCATCTAGTGCGGGGGTCGTCCTACACTGCATTTGCCTATACGCGGCTGCCACTCAAGAAACTTTCTTACACGTCGGTTGTCGTTTCTTTGAGCTACGTAACCAGTCCATTGACACTTCAGCTTACTTTTTTTTTTTTTTTTATTTTTTACTTATTTTGATATGGTTTTTTTTTTTGTAGATATCCTAATTTCGGATTCTATCACGCAAAGAAACTTCGAACATAGCCCTTTTCATAGCTCGCTGAGTAACTTGAAGCATTTGCATACATCCAAGGACCATGTTTCGGTTAAGTAGGTCGTCACTGGCAACACGCACTGGATTTTGGATTTGAAATGCATCTCACGTAGGTGGCACCTGCAGTATCAAATACCTGAAATTTAATAAAATAATAAGATTTTTGAAAAAACATCTGTCATTGAACCATTAACGTCCATATATTCCAAACGTCTTTAATTAATGTTTAATCGTTTAAATGGCATACCTTAAAATTGGCTTCATCCAAACCGACCAAACGATATTCCCCCAATCTTCCTCGGTGTAATTTTGATGTTCTCAACACCACTGTAAACGTAAATTCTTGTTCTTCTCTGATAACCATGGCTTCCTAATTGCCTTGCTTGCCTTGTGCCCAGCATCCTGGAGCCTTCTTCTAGCAGTTGTAGAAGAAATATTTTTCTCAATCTCTCCTTTTGTTCAACAGCCAATTCAGAAGATGTTTTCTTAAGATTTTTTAATTTCTTTTCTTCTACTTCATTTTAAGTTTCCGTATCTTGTGATCACTTTGTACCAATTTAAGGTAACCTTACAGTACTATGAGGACATTTTATAATCTCAACAATTTCTCTTTTATTTTTACCTTCTTTAGACAACAACTGGATTTTTAATCGTTCCTCGTTACTTAATTCACAGCGTTTAGGCATTTTTCTAGGTATTTTTCTTTTTTTTTTTTTTCTTATGAACTGACTCACGTAAATCAACAACCAATTTAGGTACAATAATTTGTTGACAGTTCTCCACACTATGATGAATTGTAGTAACCAAAAAATGTCCCTAAAATGCAACTTACGTGTAAATGTCACCTCTATTGTGTTTATAGTTTTATGACATGGTGCTTTGTTTTGATTGACTCGTTTTAACCTTTAGACGTGTACTATACGACAATAGATCCAGTACAGGTCAGTAGATAAGAAATTTGTAAGGATTTTTAGGGTGGAAAATACTATTAGCCAAGGCTATCTAAGAATTCATATGCGACTTTTATAAGGGGCCAACATTCCCCACAAGAGGATAAAGTTATTGTTAGTAATGGGGTCTAACTGCTGCATTACTGCTAGATACACCCTCCCTTTCAGATCGACCTTCACACGGTTCTACCTTGAAACCATCCTCACTTATCACCGCTCATTGGTGGTCATAAGGGGGGAAGAAGAGATTGTTAGTTATTGAGATAAGCATTCCCCTTGCTAGCAATATACCCAACTAGGTTGACCTCCTCGTGGTTCCCCCTGGAAACTATCATGGTTTATTCCTGATTCATCATGATGGGTTAACTGGCCTGTTTTCATTCTCATCTATCACCCCTCACTGGTGCTCCGCCAGCGTATCCAATTAGCGCAGGCGGGGTTACCATTCCATTTTCACCCATCAAATAAAAATATAGAGTTATACTACCTACCTGTGACGAACAGCGAGTGATTCCGCCCAACGGCGGCGTGTATTATATTCAGCCCCTTGAGAGTGGGCACCGCCTCCGGTATGTCACGAGTGGTCGTGTCGCCGAAGCCGAGCTGACCGCACGCGTTCCGACCTTAGACATCATAAAAAAAATATTATATCCAAAAAAAAGGATGCACAGTCGAGCAGTAATAAATGAAATAAAATGTTTTTAAAGGATTTCCATTGGATTTTTTTTAAACATTTACATTGGAAAACAAGCTGACAGCCCACCATATGGAAGGTTTTTTTTTTATACAACTTAGAATGGCAAACCATCTGACGGCCCACCTGATGGAAAGTGGTAACCGTCGCCTATAGACATGAACAGTACCATGGACATAACAGAGTATACTGTTTCGCCCATGATAACCCCCATGCGTTGCCATTCCTGAGGACTCAGGAGTTATTCCTCTGTGCCCTGTAAATTCACGCCATATCCCACCCTTCAAACCGAAACACAGCCATGCAAACACAACTGCTTTACGGTAACAGTCAGCTACACACATGAACACTTCGATGGGCATCATAGAATACACGAATGGTAAAAAATAATACATGGAGCGAAGATTGTTAATAATTGGGGCTTGCGGCTTCACTACTATCAATAAAGCAAAGCAGATGACTATTCCATCTTCACCGATTAAAAAATACCCCAATGGGGGGTGGGACCGTTAGATATTGTTAGGAATGGGAACTAACAAGCTCATTGCTAACAATATACCCTATCAAGCCGACTCCACGCAGTTCCCCCTGGAAGTAATCATGACTTATCGTTGCTATTTGGTCTCGGCATAGAATAAGCCACACCTTCCTTTTCCATGGATATTGTTCGAGGCGACTAAGGGGAGGACGAAGGATAGATATATATATATATATATATATATATATATATATATATATATATATATATATATATATATATATATATATATATATATATATATATATATATATATATATATATATATATATGTATATATAAATTTGTAGGTTTTGGCCGTGCGATCCCGGTATATAATAGGCCCTTCCCATAGGCAGCAGCGTATCTCTTAATATATCTCTAAAGCCTAACTGCGGTGCCCCCCCCCCCCCTTAAGGGGAAGACTTACGTTCAGCAGTGGACAGTTAAAGACCTATACGATGATGATGTAATATAAACTTACCGAAAGTGTAAGCATCGCCTTCCTCGGACACGAGAATGGAATGGCCAGCGCTGCAGCCGCTGACTATTAAGCGGTACTAAAACAATATAATACCTACAAACAGGTTGGAAAAATGGCGGCTACATAATTGTAATCTATTTACGAAAATATTTACATCTAAATAAAATCATTCAAACATTTCCTTATTTCATTACTGGCTGATCCGCGCAACTTCTACAACGGAATCTCTCAAAAGGATTAATTCTCTCCATTTTTATTGATGCTCCACTCCTATTGGTCGCAGCAAACTTGGTACAATTATTCTTCATACTCCTAGGCAGGTTATAGTATACTTTTCATCACGCTGCGGTCAATAGGAGCAGAGCAGTGAAGGGAAATGTTAAAAATGTCCACCCGTGCGACGCCGGGACGGGCCGCTAGTTTATAATAATAGTATACTTTCATTTGTCCTGATTTTGGGTATAAAATATTGGATCTTAAAATTAAAAGTACCTTACAAAATCTACTTAGATCCAGTGTGCAAATATTTCTATTAAAAGTTACAATAATTTAATTTCTTTTTAGTAGCACTTGAAAGGCAATTATTTAAAAACTAGCGACCCGCCCCGGCTTCGCACGGTTGCGCATTACATCACATCACATTAGAAACCTCTAAAATTACCAATGTTTCTCTTATATATATAATACATATATACAAACCTTTCTCTTGAATCATTCTATCTATTAAAAAAACTGCATCAAAACCCGTTGCGTAGTTTTAAAGTCTAAGCATACATAAGGACAGACAGCGTGAAGCAACTTTGTTATATGCTATGTAGTGATAACCATTACAGCAGGGGGAAAGGGATTGTTAGTAATGGAGACTATGAATCCCAGTGCTAGCAATATACCCAACCAGGTCGACCTCCTCGCGGTTCCCCCTGGAAACTATCATGGTTAATTCCTGATGAATTCATCATGATGGGCTAACTGGCCTGTTTTCATTTTCATCTATCACCCTTCACTGGTGCTCCGCTAGCGTATCCCGTTAGCGCAGGCGGGGTTATCATTTCATTTTCATCCATAAAAAAAAACCATTACAGCATTACATAATAATAAAATAACATTAATTAAATCAACTTACATCAAAAGCCTCTAATTAAAAAAAGATAAAAAAAATCAACTTAGATCAAGCGTGCAAATATTGACAACAAAAGTTACAATAATTTAAATTTATTTTAATTTACATTATTGCAACTTTTATTTTTTATTTTTTTTTTGTTTGTAAAATTATAAATTATCATATGAACGTACCTTGCGATCGGTAAATTTGTGAAAGGTATATAGATTGGGGTGGGTCCGCTTGCTAGGATTGTTGTCCCGCTTGGCCACCAGGTCCCAGGAGACCAGCCCCGCTATCAGCAGCACGCCGGGCGTCTTGTAGAAAGTCTTCAGCAACTCCTGGTGCAGGTAATACAAGCGTATTTAATATTTGCGAAATTCTATTGAATATGTGGTCCATCTTACGCTCGTATGTTAGATTGTTGGAAGCAAATTATAGATTGTTGCTTTCGCTCTATTACATCGAAAAAAGTTTATGATATTGAGCAAATTGTTTTGCGTCGTTTCATTATCACAATGCACTGGAGCTAAACTATATACATATAAGGGGTAAGGGATTGTTAGTAATGCGGATGCTAGTAGTCCTATTGCTGGCAATATAGCTTGTTAGGTCGACCTCCTCAGGGTCCTCGCTTTTCACTCTCACTTATCACCCCGCACTGGTGTCCCGCCATCGTATACCTTTACTACTTTTTTAGTGAATGATACTGTAATACTGTAATGCTAACCCCGCCTGGGTTAGCATTACAGTATCATTCACTAAAAAAAAACACACACACACACACATATATATATATATATATATATATATATATATATATATATATATATATATATATATATATATATATATATATATATATATATATATATATATATATATATATATATATATATATATATATATCTATATAGAAGCATATGTATATACTAACATGTAATAGACTTGGTACGTGCCCTCTACAAGTATAATGTTGACTATTATACATATTGGAGAACAAATGTACGTATGACAGATATGAATTACAAATATTTGTATTAAATTAAGCAAGTGTCTTAAAGGAGGTAAAAAAACGAACTATGCAATTGACGCACGGCCTGATTAAAACAGCGAACTCACTGAAAAAGTGCAGCGCAAGACTTGCGCTCTTGCTCGAGCATTGCATTGTAATAAATTTGTTAAATAAACAAAACTACTTACCAGAGGGAGACTTTGTACAAAAGTCGTTTGCTCGGGTACCTCTGTCCCATTCGTGTTTCAACCGTAAAGCAGTTGTGTTTGCATGGCTGTGTTTCGATTTGAAAGGTGGGATATGGCATGAATTTACAGGATACAGAGGAATAACATCCGAGTCCTCAGGAATGGCAACGCATGGGGGGTATCATGGGCGTAACAATATACTCTGTTATGTCCATGGTACTGCACATGTCTATAGGCGACGGTTACCACTTTCCATCAGGTGGGCAGTCAGCTTGTTTGCCATTCTAAGTTGTATAAAAAAAAGTATTTATAATAAACTAATTTATTAGCTTGGTAAAAATCTGTATGATACAGTCACTTAATTAGATGATGTATTCCTTAACTCTATTTAACTTTTGTATTGTACAATCATACATCGTCATCATAGCAGCCTTTAACTATTCACTGCTGAACATAAGCCTTGCCCTTGAGGGGTTTTGCTACGCTTGATAGGCGGATTGGCAACCGCAGTCAGGCTTTAGTGATGTTTTAAGAGGGACGCTGCTGCCCATCCCTTACACTCCCTTAGTCGCCTCTTACGACACTCACCGGTATCGTACTTCAAACGTTTCACATCTACGTTTTACACACATCAAAACTGTCTAAGGATCAAGTACATTTTTAATATTTATTTTCTATAAAAAAAAAACAATTATTATTTACCAAATCTTATCTTCCAGACTGACTTTTTATTTTAATTCCTGTTCAAGTTAACAATTTATCCCTGTATTTTATACAAATTAGGAAAAAATATATTTTGTGCAAATTATGGGAAATTAAGTTACTGTCTTAACGTATAATCGTATAAAATTAATACTTAATTAACAAACTCGAGTACGTCTTGTATCCGGCCTCATATCGAAACGATATTCTCCAAAAAGGCAAACACAACGCCAGTCTTCTTCCTCCCAATTTCTTCTCTCTCTCTTCCTCCAAATTATAAATGGGGCCTACGATTAGAGTGCTACAGATCAAACTCTCAGCGGCTTCGGGAACGCTGATCTTCTTCGCGTAAACGTTTTTGGATGGTTTGGTCGCTTATCAGTAAGCCTGAAAGGCTTTGGAGCCTCGTAGCCAACATCATGGCGGTTATGGTTCGATTCCGTCGACCAGTATTTTGGATGTATCGATCCTGTCTGAGAGTGGAGATGCGAGATAATCCTCCATGTCGCTCGGACACGCTGCCGGATACGGTATCGTGTCCACAGGCAGCTTATGATATTCTGAGTAGTGCCAAGAGCGACAGCCATGGTACGTTGCCTGAAACCGGCTTGCAACATTCCGATTGCTCTCATCATATCTTCTCGTGTAAAATCAAGTCGTAGTTCCATATCGATGCAATTGTTTCTTAGTTTCGATGCAGAAATTGTACTGGTTTTGTAAAAAAGCTATTAAACTTTTATAGGAATCCTGATTGGCAGTTGATTTTATATTTTTAATCAAAATTTTGCAAAAAAAAAACCTTATTCCAATAGTAAAATTAACTAAAAAGAATAAATAACGGTTCAAAATTTTTTTAATTATTATACTCAATAGTGGCTATACTCAATACTAAAACGTACTTGATCCCTAGACACTTGTACTAACTACTGTAATATTATTGCATACCTCTGGTAACTTAATCGCAGGCTCATCGTCGATTGGAGAAGGAGACCGGGGCACGTCCTGGTCCGAAATCGATGACCCATTGCTGTCCTCGCCATCGGAAACATGTTTAGGCTTCCTGATCTTGGACGACCGTGCGGACTGGGGGGCGGCGCGTTTACGCCCATTGTTTGGCATGGTTCACACTAGAAGTGGAAAAAGATTATTTAGAAAATATTTACCAGAGGGAGACACTGTACAAAAGTCCTTTGCACCTCTGTCGTATTCGTGTTTCAACCGTGAAGCAGTTGTTTGCATGGCTGTGTATCGGTTTGAAGGGTGGGATATGGCAGTACATTTACAGGGTGCAGAGGAATAACACCAGAGTCCTCAGGAGAGATAATTCATGGGGGGTATCATGAGCCAAACAGTATACTCTGTTATGTCCATGGTACTGCTCATGTCTATAGGCGACGGTTACCACTTTCCATCAGATGGGCCGTCAGCTTGTTTGCTATTCTAAGTTGCATAAAAAAATTCAGAATTTTAGATCATCGTTCATTCTATTTCATAATAAAGATTTATAGGTACTAGGTTCGATTCTTAATTGGGCCAATTTAGAAATAAAATAATTTCTAAATTGCTTCAAGTTTTGATGTTCTGAGTTGTACCTCCAGGGGCATCTTTCGGTGTCAAGTTTCATCACTGAGTTAAGATACGCTCTGCAATATTAACACATGGTATACTAACTCAGTGATCAAACAATTGGTGTGCTTGTGTAGTAGATGGATATCATCATCAACATCATCATATCAGCCTTTAACTGTCTCCTACTGAGCATAAGACTCACCCTAGGGGGATTTCGCCAGTAAATGCCACGTTTGGCAGGCGGATTGGCAACTATAGTTTGGAGATGTTTTAAGAGAGACGCGGGAACGGGAGGTGGAGGAGGATATAAAGATTAATATTTGAAACATTCATATCTGGAATAAAATCAACAATGACAGGTATAGTTTTGGATTCAAAGGAAAACAGATAAAATTATTTTACTTTGCGATTATGTTTTTTTATTTTGCCGCGTGGTTCCGGCTCAATATGAGCCACCGTTTCCTTCCTCATGGGTGCATAAGAGGCATCTAATAGATCTTAATGACTGAGGGATGAGCAGCAGCGTCCCTCTTAAAATATCAACAAAGCCTAACAGTGGTCGTCAACCTGCCTGCCAAGCGTGGGAACTATTACAAAACACCGACAAAACTACCGTTGTGGGAGAGGCCTATGTTCAGCAGTGGACAGTTAATGGCTCATATAATAATAATAATAAATGTTCCCATAATTAAAAGTGCAACATGCAAATAATTACGATATTTACGCTAGTTTCTACACTGCAGGCGAAATACGAAATCATCTTATACACTAAAATGACAAATATCCATGAAAATTTGCACTCAATATAATGCAAAATAATTTATATGAATAAAAATCAATGGCCAAAAGTACCTATTTAGTACATGATAAAATTTTTTTTAATGGGTGAAAATGAGATAGTGACCCCGCCTGCAGTATCCAATATACACTAGCGCGGCACCAGTAAGTGATGATAGGTGAGGATGAAACAGGTCAGTTGGCCCATCGTAACAAATTTAACAATAATTTCATAAAACTTATTAATGTATAAGCATCACCATCATTTCAGCCATTATCCGTCCACTGCTGGACATCAATTTACAAGCATATTAATTATTGGTTGTTACAATTTTTAATAAATTCTGTTTCACAAATATTTTTATTATATATATATATGTATATATATATAGTATCTAATAGGATATATACCAATAAGAAATATAAGTTTGACCTGGTTACACAAAATGGCGGATTGTTAGCATCAGTAACGTGTAACGTCAAACGAAATTATACCTAAAAAATATTTACAGCATTTTTTTAATTTACTTTTTTTGTTAAATTAAGGACTGATATCTACTCGTAGCATTGCATTTAAATAGCTCGGAGCAAGAGGGTTAAAATCGTTTCGAGTCCATTTTTTAATTGCCCCCTTCAACTATCAAATTGCCCCCCTGTGGTGCGTGGGCCCCACGTTGGGAAACACCGGAATAGATGGAATTGCATAATCCATATAGTGTCTTGCTCGTTATAACATTGCCAATGCGTTAGAGGGATAGACATATAAAAACGCATCTGCCTTTAGAATAATCCGTAGAAATCAAATTCATCACCATATATCCAACTTAGTTTTATGTTTATATGGACCTAAAGTAAAATGACAAGGGGGTAAATGCCATTGAAATTAAATTAAATTAAATTTATTTTCCAAACACGTAAGAAGTTGCACTTGACATTTTACTAGATTAAGTATTTATCTACAAAATAACTGCTTAAAGTAGATATATAGATAATTTATTTGCATCACTTACAGCACACAAATAACATTAGATAATGGCACGTATTTAAAAAGAAAAAAAAAACAAAGCATATGAAAAAAAAAAACAAACAAAAAGAAAGTACATAAAAGAGGTTACACAATTTCTCGTGAGTGCGCCACAGTAACACAAAATGGTCACAACTTAGTTTATTTGCTTTGCCCTCAAAAGAGCGAAACACTGATATTCTGTACTCATTTTTTTATCCATAAAATTAATATAAAAATTATAATAAATAATATTGAACCTACAATCAAAAAAGAAGGTTCTCGATTGTAGGTATGTGCCTTACGTATACGTATACATGCAAAATCTTTGCTAACTCTTTTTAACAGAACAAATGTTTTTATACAAATTAAAATATCTACATATCATCATCCTCATATCGGCCTTTAACTGCCCTCTGCTTGACATAAGCCTCCCCTTAGGAGATTGTTGCCAGTAGTTGCCACGCTTGGCAGTGCGGATTGGCAATCGCAGTTAGGCTTCGGAGATGTTTTGAGACGGACGCTGCTGACCATCCCTTAGTCGCTTCTTACGACATCCACTGGAAAGGAAGGGCTGACCTATTCTACGCCGGGATCTACATGGCAAATACCTACATATATTGGGGTAAAACGGGTTTGCTTTTAATGGGAATAAGCAACCCCATTGCTAGCAATACCTAATCCGGCCAACCTCCTCGCGGTTGTCCCTGGAAATCATAATGATTGATTTATTGTTAAATTTGTTACAATGAGCCAACTGACCTGTTTCATCCTCACCTATCATCTCTCACTGGTGCCGCGCCAGCGTATACTGATAGCACAGGCGGGGTTACCAATTCCATTGACATCCATTAAAAAAAATCTACATATAAATGTAACATATGTAGGTACATATTACATATGTAGGTAGGAATTAAATGGAACGAAATTTTAAATTATAAGGAGAAATAATTTAACACACAGAAAATATCCAAACAAATACAAATAAACTTACTCCGAATAATTCACTCATAGTGGATAACCCAGTTCGTTGACTTCACATTATTGCGAAATATCGAATATTCTATGTTTCTATGCAGAAAACCTCTACGATAGCAAATTAATAAAGTTGTTTAACCTTTAGACTATACTGACAATAATTATTATATTAGCAGTTAACTTTCCACTGTTGAAATTAAGCCTTTCCCATAAGAGGATTTTTGCCAGTAGTTGCCACGCTTGGCGGGCGTGGTTGGCAACTGCAGTTAGGCTTTGACGATGTTTTGAGAAGGACGCTGCTGCACATCCCTCTACCATTTAATTACCTCAGTCGCCTCTTACGACACCAACGGAAAAGGAAAGGGTACGACAATGTATATTGACTTAATACAGATGTACGGGGGGAAGGGATTGTTAGTAATGGGAAGGATAGTCCCCATTGCTATCAATATACCCTATCAGGTCGACCTCCACGCGGATCCCCCTGGAAACTATCGTGACTAATTTATCGTTGAATTCATCACAATTAGATAACTGACTTGCCTTTTCATCCTCACCTGTATCATCCCTCACTGGTGCCTTGCCAGCGTATACCGATAGCGCAGGTGGGGTTACAATGCCATTTTCACTCGTTAAAAAAAATACAGATGGGCATGTTGGATTCAAATATGCAATCAAATATATAACAAACACTCACACTTCAGCTTGTATGCCATTCTATGTTGCATAAAAAAAAAAAAACATTTACAAAATATTATATACAATATACAGTATTGAATATATAAACCACAATTATTAATTAGTTATTCTCATGTTAATAAAGAAATTACATTAAAGTATTATGTATTTCAACCACATTGGGGATTGTTTACCTGAATTTGTCCTACATCTTATAGTGAGTTACTTAAGTGAGAAGGGATTGTTAATAATGCAGACTACCAGCTATATTGCCAGCAATATACTCTGTTAGATTGAACTCCACATGGTCCCACCTGTAAACCATCATGCTGAATTCCAGGTGTATTCATTACAATCAGCTAAGTAACCTGATTTTGATTCTCACCTATCATCCCTCGCTGGTGCCCCACCAGCACATACCATTGACACAGGCCACCAAACAGGTGGGGCAACTGTTCCATACAATTCATTAAAAAAATCTTACTTATATTTATTGATTATACAAATTATATAGAGTATATAATTTATGAAACATGACCAGTTTTAATTCTATAAAAAAAATGTTTTCACTAGGACATTTTTCATTATGATGTTGGCAATGGTATTTGTGAAGACTAAAACAGTTACTGCAATGGCCAAAACATATTTTTGCTGCCACTGCATGTTAATTAAGCTTAATAAAGAATTTAGTTAAATCACAGCTGGAATAGAAAGACATTTAAACACCTAAAAACTAAATTTCCGTGTATAAGTCAATCCAAATTGGAGAATGGAATATTTTTCAAATTTAGTACAAGGAGTAGTATTTGAAAATATATATAATAATTTTTTTAGAAATATAAGGGCTGAAAATTATAAAGAAATACAATTTCTTCACATTAACAACGCTGATGTGACATACCATTGAAAATACACTTCTCGCATTCACATTTAAATTTTTCCTAGAAAAATTGGAGCGATGTCTGATAAACATGATAAGGTATTTAATATAAGGGCAACTAGTCCCCAGTAATGGTAACTGATTTCCATTCCTCAATCAATTGTAAAACAGTAGATAAAATAAAACAATCTACCAAATAGTTATTAATTTTTCATACTGGGGGAAGGGATTCTTAGTAATGAGGGACTACTAGTCCCATTGCTAGCAATTTACCCTGTCATGTCTACCTTCCTACCTGGTCCCCCTAGGAGACCATCGTGCTGAATACCAGGTATATCCATCACGATGGGCTAACTGACCTGCCTTTTCATTCTCACCTATCATCCATCACTGGTGCTCCGCCAGCGTATACTACTGATTATCATTCACTAAAAAAAATTTTTCATACTATACTAGCAGCCTGCTCAGGATTCACATGTGCATATTTTTTCAATTTTCCTTTTAATTTTTCTGAACATAAGTCTCCTCCTTGGAGGGTTTTGCTAGTAGTTGCCATGCTTGGCAAGTAGATTGGCATCTGCAGTTAACCTTTAGAGATGTTTTAAGAGGGATGCTACTGCCCATCCCTCAACCATTAAATCCCCTTTATCACCTCTTACAACACTCACAAGAATTACAGAGCTACTTATTCTTTTTTTTAGTATGTTTGTTCCGTTGTGGAACAGGCTAAGGTTGGAGACCATGCTGCCTAGTCTTCAATATGATAAATTGAACAACTTATTCTATCCTGGAACCACAGGTCAATGTAAAATATAGAAGTCATATTTGTGTATTTTTTTTATTTTCTTATATATATAAAATAAATAGGTATATAATATGCCAATATCAGTATTTTATTAAAAAAAAAGATAACTGATAAAGTACATAAAAAATTATAGAATAAATTTATAAACAACTGCACCTAAGGATATCCATTAACTATTAGAGAGTATACTAGTGTATACTGTTTTTTTTTTTACATTTTTATATTTATAGAACTTATCTTAGAAGTATCCATGGTTTAAAATAATAAATATACTATAAACAACTCTACAATATAGTATATCTATTAAATTTCATTCAAATCTAAAGAATTATAATACTAAACATGTTTACATTTATCACAGATTTTTTTTTACAAATCATTTGCTTCACAAATATATTATTTAAATCTATCAATAACTTATCCATTAAATATTATGTGATTATCTACATTTCTGGCTTATATTTTGATTCAAAACGCGAAAACAACATCTATAAATGAAAATAGTGTAAATTAAATGATGATGTCTAGTTATGTATTCTTAATATGGGGTCGATGATGGAATACGGACAGAATGCTTTGAGGTACGCGCGCCGTTAGCAATATAAAAGCCTACTTTTATACAAAACCGTTACTTACCGCATTAAAAGTTTGATGTAAACAATAGTTTTCTGATCTGTTCACTAATTATAGGCGCGATTTATAAATATCCACATATAGAAAAAATAGATAAAATCAATTACTTAATACATTTTTTTTTTCACCGATCACAACACAATTTCAATAATAGCACCGACACGACACGTGTAAGTATAAACAAGATATCAATGAAACAATAAATAAAATACATTTAAAATGAAATTATGAAACGTATTATGTTTATTTATACAACTTACCGATTAAACAAGAAAGCAAAGGTGGAAAATAATATTCAAAAAAGCACAAAGCTTGCTTAATGGGTTTCGTTTGTGACCAAATTGAAATGAAGTTATGAAATTGACGAATGACAATGCGAAGAGACAGGGATGCCACAAAAAAAATAAATGTTGCAATTATATTTACATAAAATAATAAAATAACCATAGTAAATATGTATCACAGTATAATAGACATGTATCTATTTTATTTATTCCTGTGCGACTGTCATTCATTATACCTTCGTAGACGGTCAACGACGTAATGTATTTTATCAAACAGCTATATATTAATTTGAAATTCATTCTAATTATATTTATCATTGAGTTTAAAATAAAAAGGGGATAAAAAGGAAGAAACGGTCATCTTGAATTATTTCTTTTTAGGAATCCTTACATTATCTTACTAATATAATAAAATTGATACTATTGAAATAGATTGATAATATTGATGATATTTGTACATAAGTATGTACATTTTTAGAGATTCTGTCTGTCTGCATGTTTGTTCCGGGATCACAAAAAACTACTGCGCTATCTTGGATGCAGCTTAATATATATATTTTAATTAATCATACTTTAATTTGACATATGTTGGAGTTTTAATACTGGCTGTTGACACGGAGGTTTTTTTTAGAACAATGTATAAATAATACATTGTTAAGTTTGTTCTATGTCAGATTTTTATAAGACATGTCTTGTATTTTTTTCACTAAACTTATTATTATATCACAAATACATATATATTTTATTACTGCATACTGCTATTTACCACAACATATTATTTTATCGTTATCCCTCATAGAGGGGTTTTAGCAATGATAGCCACGCTTGACAGATTGGCCACCGCAGTTGGGCTTTTGGTGATGTTTCAAGGGACGCTTCTACCCATCTCTCAAACATTAAGTGCCCTTAATAGCCTCCTTCGGCACCCACGGAAAAAGAATGAATGGTCCATTTTATGCCGCGATCATACGACAGATACGACATATACAAGTGCTCTATTTAATTGGTTTTTATAGTTCTAAAATCCACGCGTACCAATCAACTGACAACAAATTAGATATGTCGCATGTATTGTACATTACTGATAATTGTCCCCATTGTGTTTCAATTATCAGATTGTATGTGACGTAGTCATTCCTACTGGAAGGGGATGGGTCGACCTACACTACGTTTGTTTTTACAAGTTCACCACTTATAAACTACTTTCCATTAAATATACTTTCCACTTTTTCGATATAGAAATCGTTTTTAACTATTTTGGTGGTGTTGAATTTAAAATTAATAAAGATAGCTGGCGGATGTTAAACTTTTTTACAGAGGATATAATCATGTGTTAGGTATAATCTACACATTACTCAAATTTGCCTTGTCGTGTAAGTTGTAAAATTGTATATATAGTCATTACTTCTAGTGGTTCGAGGTTCTTACTTAGTAGGAGTTCGCCCTACTTTACATTTGTCTATGACAAGGTCGGTATTTATTATTCTTTTCTCGCTTCTTCAATACTATGACAGATTGGTTTTTTGTATTACAAAGGTTATTAAAAATTATTTATGTATAACAAAGTAATTTATTAAATGAGTATAAATTTGTGATAACCCTATTTGAATGAGCAAATTTTGTCGGCATCAGTGCACTCATAAGGGAAAATACCTGAGAGCTACCTCTATCCACCCTATGGTTTCACAATGATTAACATCACATTAAAAATAGTCTACGAAATACTTCTTATTATTACACTTGTGGCAATCTTAATTTATGAGTTTTTACCTAATGACACTTCCTAAAGAATTACTTTGTGAAATGTTCTATTTATATGTATGTATAAAAATAATAATGTTATAATTCGACAATCTTATCTACAGCAGGAGGGAAGGGGATTGTTGGTAGTGCGTACTACCAGTGCCATTGCTGCTAATATATCCTATCAGGTCGACTTCCAGTTGGTCCACCCTAGAAGCCGTTGTGTGGATTCCAGGTGTATTCGTTACAGTAGACTAACTGACCCCCCTTTTCGAGGAGAAGGGATTGTTAATAACGCGGACTACCATTTTCGTTGCTAGCAATATACCCAGTCAGGTCGACCTTCACATAGTTCTCCCTGGAAACCATTCTGTTAATTTCCGTACTAGTGTTCACTCCATTGTATCCAATAAAAACAATTCGCCTTATCATTCTCACCTATCAACTCTCACTAGTGCCCCGTCAGCGTATACCGTTAGCGCAAGTGAGGTTACCATTTCATTATCATCTATTAAAAAATCTTACCTACAACTTCTCCATTAACTTTTATCTGTTTCAATTTTACCTTTTCCGTTTCTATTTGACCTATATTACGTATCTATTCGCCCCATGCTCCATATTACGTTTAGTCTATTTAGTTTCTTACGTTTGTATATATCTACCTCTAATCAATCTAAAAATTGTCACAATAACAAATTTGCTGTTTCTCACCTTTTGGTTACTAATTACCCAATGAATTCTATATTCTCTCTCTTTTTTACAATGACTTTCATGACAAATTTCTATAAAAAGTGCCATCTAGCGGTAATAACTGTACCGTAGTAGTCGATGATGAAAAAGAAATAGTTCTTAATTCGGATATAGTTCTTCTATTGTTTTGCAGTTGTCTAAAATTTGTATCGAATATACGTTGATACGGAAATAATTCTTTATTGTATTATTTCGTAAAATCACAGGTTATGGGCTAGTTTTTGCGTTTCTGCGCGTAAAATAAATAAAATATAGTAAGAAATAAAAAAATATATTAAAAGTAAAAAGTAAAAAGAAAAATTTCAATCTGAAAATGGCCGTCGCAACAGCAGAAGAAATCCACCGAGTCACTATTTTAGATGATGTAACATCATTTCAGTTGTGGAAATTCGAATTTAGGATTCTGCTGGAAGCGAAAGGATTGATACAATATATAGACAACGTAAATATAAAACTAGAAAGCGAACAATCGAATAAAGATGCACTAAGCACATCATCCTTCAAACAGTATCGAAAAAATATAAAACACAACTATTTGATTGTACGACTGCTTATGAAATGTATAAAGTACTAAGCGATTTATTCGAAGGATCGGAAGAACGAAAAAAGATGAGTTTGTTACAAGATTTCTACAATTATAAATTTGAAAATGATATGACAATGGATGAAAATTTCTCAAGGCTTGAAAATTTGGTACATAGATTAAAACAACTAAAAATGCCCTTTGATGACGCGTTAGTAGAATCCAAAATATTAAACATTTTTTCGAATATTGACTCATACCAACCGTTTGTAACTGCGTGGGAAAGTACTCCTAAAGAAGAAAGAACGTTAAAGAATTTAAGATTGAGATTAGTAAAAGAAGAAGAAAGGAAGAAGGAGAGTGTGCAATCCCAAGTGGCCCTAGCTGCAGGAAATAAAGGTAGAATGCCGAAAAAAGAAGGTAATAATAGTCAGACAATAACCTCACATTCTTCTAATAGGTGTTTTAAATGTAATAAGTTCGGTCATATAGCAAAATTTTGTAGAAATTCTTTATACTGTAAAATTTGTAAGAAAACTAACCACAAAGAGAAAGATTGTTTTTTAGAAAAAATAAGTACGATAATAAAGTTGCTTTTTTAGCCTCTAGCCGTAATACAATTAAAATGTCAGAAAGTTTTGTTCTCGACTCTGGTTGTACTGTACATATGGTCAATGACAAAACTTTACTTTCTAATATCAAACCTAAGACTATTGATGTTGGTATAGCTAAGAAAGATGTTAGTATGAAGTCACAATATGTAGGTGATTTTATTGGAACTAAATGTGATATAACAAACGTATTATGTGTGCCGGATCTCTCGCGTAATTTATTATCTGTTCCAGAGATTGTTAGGAATGGTGGTTCCGTTCTATTTAATAAACATGGTGTAGAGATTCGCAGCAATGGTAAAGTAATAACTGGTAAGAAAGATGACTCAGGTTTATTTGTAGTTAAATTAGAAAAAGAAGTAAAAATAGAAGAACAAGTATATTTATCTAAGGAAAATGATAATTCTGCAGAAAATTGGCATAGAAAATTAGGACATCCAGGTGAGAATATTTTAAAAATTTTACCTAATGTAGTAGCGGATGGTGTAAAAATAGAAAATGAGGAAGGTATGAAGGCAAGTTGTGAAGTATGTATAAAAGCTAAACAAACTAGACTGCCTTTCAATACCGTAAGAGCTAGAGCCAGCAGAAAACTAGAAATATTACATACAGATGTTTGTGGTCCTTTTGAGATGGAAACATGGAATGGTAATAGATATTTCTTAACTGTTTTGGATGACTATAGTCATTACACTAAGGTTTTTCTACTAAAATTTAAAAGCGAGGTTCCTACTTGTTTAAAAAATTTTATTGCAGAAGCAGAACGTGAAACCAACTTGAAAGTTGTTACAGTTCGTTGTGACAATGGTGGTGAGTACACTTCAAATGATTTTAGAATGTATTGTAAGGAAAAAGGAATAAAACTAGATTACTTAATACCATATTGTCCTCAATTAAATGGTAAAGCCGAACGTTTAAATAGAACCTTAAATGAAAAAAATCCGTTCATTGCTGTTTATGGCTGAAATGGAAAAAGAAATGTGGGGTGAAGCTCTTTATTGTAGCGTATACTTACTCAATAGACTACCAAGTGAGTCTATAAATAATAAAACTCCTTTCGAACTATGGAATGGAAAGCTACCAAATCTTTCGAATATTCGTGAATTTGGGTGTGATGCCTTCGCTAAAAAAATTGCCATCAACTAAAAAATTAGAAACCAGAGCAATAAAATATAGGATGATCGGATATACAAATAACGGATACAGACTTTGGGACGACGTTAATAGAAAAGTTATAGTTGCGAGAGATATCACATTCGTAAGAAGAAATAGTAAAAATATAAACACCGAAATAATTCCAAAACCAGAAACTATTAATGTAAAAGTCTATTCAAATAACCAAGATAATCAAATTAAAGAAGTAATACCACAAGAAGAAAAAAAGGCAGAGAAAAGAATTTTAGAAGAAACGGGACAAAAAGAGGCTGAAGAAACAATAATAACATCAAAAAGAACTAAAAAATTACCAGAAAAATACAAGGATTATGTTTTGCTTACTTACGAAGAAGCGTTGAAAAGTTCTGAAAAAGAACAATGGGAAAAGGCTATAGAAAGTGAACTGAATTCTTTAGAAGAAAATAATGTCTGGAAAATAGTAGATAAAACTGAGACCAAAGGACATAAAATACTTTCTAATAAATGGGTGTTGAGAATTAAAGAAAACGGAAAACATAAAGCCAGACTAGTAGTTAGAGGAAATAAACAACAAGAGGTAGATTATGATGATATATTTAGTCCAGTTGCATCTCAAAATGCTATTAAAACTTTGTTTGCTATAGCTGCAGCCAAGAACTACAATTTAATGACGTTCGATGTAAAAACAGCGTTTCTTAATGGAAATTTAAGGGAAGATGAGCAAATTTTCATGAAAATTCCTAAGGGAGTACAATATGATTAAAAAAAAAATAAAGTTTGTAAGTTATTGAAGTCATTATACGGACTTAGACAGTCTCCTAAAAGATGGTATGAAAAGTTCAATAAAAAAAATAAAAGAATTAGGATTTAATCAATTAAAAAATGAGCCATGTATATATAAAAACCAAGATGCGTCAATTTTATTAGCTATTTATGTTGATGATGGAGTAATAATTGGTAAAACAGAAGAATTAACGCAGTTGCTACGTAAATTGAATGAGAAATTTGAGATTACGTCTTATACTGAACCCTCTTTGTATCTAGGTATGGAGTTAAAAGTAAATGAAGTAGGTTGGCATTTGACTCAAACTGAATATACAAAAACACTTTTAAAAAAGTTTAATATGAATAAATGTAAACCAGTTCCCACACCCGTAGGAGAGGGTGAAATAGTTAGATGGAGAAATAGAGTACTATGGAGAAGAAAAATCAAATTATCCTTATAGAGAAGCCGTAGGAAGTCTCTTGTATTTATCGACCAGAACTCGGCCAGATATAGCATTTGCTATCAGTAAAGCTAGTAGGTGTATGGAGAATCCTGAAAAGAAGGATATAATTGCCATAAAAAGAATTTTTAGATATCTTTCTGGTACTTTAGAAGAAGGTTTGTGCTACAAATTCGGTTCAGTTTTAAAACTTACCGCTTTCTGTGATTCAGATTATGCGAGCGATCTTAAAACAAGGCGTAGTACAACGGGCTATGTTTTAATGATGTCAGGTGGTCCTATTTCATGGTGCTCTAGAAGACAGCCAATTGTATCGTTGTCTTCTACAGAAGCAGAATTTATATCTGCAGCTGAATGTTGTAAGGAGGCTATGTTTATAAAATCTCTTCTTAAAGATCTGAATATTGATATAAAACTTTCATTTCATATTGACAATCAGAGCGCTATTGCATTAATTAAAAATGGTGTGTTTAATAAGAGGTCCAAGCACATAGACGTTCGTTATCATTATATACACGAGTTGTATCAAAATAATGAATTTAGCATTGCCTATTGTCCAACAGAAATACAAATTGCAGATATATTTACAAAAGCATTGAATAAAATAAAATTTAACAAACATAAAAGTTTATTGATCGCAAGTATTTGCTAAGTTTGTTATTTAATATTGTTTTTGTTATTATAGTAATGTAACTTCTTAAATATAATAATACTTGTATTAAGTTGTGCTAATTCGTAAAAAGTTAAACTGTCATGTGAAAAGTGTGAGATTTATTGTAATAGTAAAATGTATGTTTATCTGTTATAATTTTCACGTAAACGTAAAAATTAGGAGAGGGTGAAAAAGAAATAGTTCTTAATTCGGATATAGTTCTTCTATTGTTTTGCAGTTGTCTAAAATTTGTATCGAATATACGTTGATACGGAAATAATTCTTTATTGTATTATTTCGTAAAATCACAGATGGTGCTATGATCAGACAAAAATATTCAATAAAAAAGTTTATCTATATGTACATATATAGATGTGCACATTATACTTATCGTGTCATCTACGTATTTTATTGTATGAAACCAATAAAAATATAAATGTATTTTTATTGGTTTCATACAATATATTTACAACAAAAATTTGTATTTTTTATGCTTGTTTTAGACATTTGTCTAAATTTAATAAAAAATACTGATTTAACTGTTACCCAATTTGTGCTATAACATTTTGTAAAAATAATTTGGCAACCCTATTTAATGATTGGCAACCTCAGGTCTAAAAACAAAGTTTAGATTTGCCGCTTTTTTTTAAATTATTTTTTTACCTAGTTATCTATGATACCTACTAATATTTTGAATCTTTCAAATGATTTTAATTAAATTTTGTAAATATGTATAGTTTGTTCCAATAAAATGGAGGACCTGCTAGGAGCAAAACATTTACCAGATCTGTTAAAGTAAATAAGTAGATTTTTTGTTTTCTAATGTATAAAAAATACTTAACAAATTTGAAATATTCTTTCACGTATAGAATCCTACATTATCAGTAAGCACAGGTGCTATATTTTTAGACATATTCTACCTACCTATCCGTGCGAAGTCAGGAACTAGTTACTATTTATGCCCGTGTTAGGATATTGTCAAGCTAACTGGGGTGGAAATCAGGATAGTGTCAAGTTCAGGACATGTAATCAGTGTTTGTTTGTGGTGTAAGTATCATCAAGTTTGTGTAACACTGATCAAGGTGAGACAGTGTTTCGTTATCAAGAGAAATATACGAGGGATTATGGCTCAAACTCTTATGTAAGATGAAATTTGAGTGTACAAAGATTTTAGTGTATGAAGATCACCAGCAAGCAGGGTCGATTGTGGGATCATTACCGCCTAAATTTATATATATATTTTTTATTGCACTTGTAAATTACAATGTTAATGCATTTATAAATATTGTGAGCAAGGGTGGACTTATCTCCGACAGAGATCTCTTCCAGTCAACCCAATGCAGTTAGAAAACATGTTGCTAGCGGGCAGCTGAAGTGCTACAACTATTAATATTTAGTATACATAAACAAATATACAGTTAAATAAAATATTAAGATACATAATAAAATATTACATAAATACATATACTATAAATAAATATAATATCTACTTACTTATACAGTGGATGTTAAAATAAATGAATATACTACCTAGAATAGAAATTTAGTTCAATGATTTCAAAGTTTGACAGTTCAATTATAAAAATAAATAAATTATGACTCAAAGGAAAGAAAATGTAACTTCAACCTTTTCTTGAAAGAGGTAATTGAAGGGCTCTCTTGTATGTGGGAAGGGAGTTTGTTCCATAATTGGGCAGCTCGATACGAGAAAGAGTTGCCCATAAAATGTGTTCTACACAAAGGTAGGTCGAGAATCCTGGACTGAACTTGACAGGAGCGTTTAGGACGGATTAGTGGTGGTAATAATTTAAATCGAGAGCGGAGGTACGAAGGAGAATTGGGGTTATTAAGTATGTTATAAAGGAAAGAAAGGATGTGCATATCACGTCGAAGTCGGATAGGAAGCCACTTTAACTGGTTGCGAAAGGCAGAAACGTGATCATATTTATGAAGACCAAAGATGAACCTAATGGCCAGATTTTGTAATCGTTCCAGCTTGTTTAGAAGCTCCTCAGTCACATCCAAAAGACAGACGTCGGCATAGTCAAGTATTGGGAGTAGTAGAGATTGTGCGAGCATGATTTTAGTATTTACTGGGAGAAAGTATTGAAGTCGCTTGAGAGAGTGAAATTAAAATGCATGCGTCTACTGAGCTCATTTATATGACATGTCCAAGATAGAGTGCCGTCCATTATGAGACCAAGGTTCTTAACCTTCTCGCTATATGCCACTGGAACTCCATCGTAGTAAAGTGGCGGTATCCCGGTCCAATTCAACCTGCATCGCATCCTGCTGCTGCCAATAATGATAGCTTGTGATTTAGCAGGATTTACGAGAAGACCAAATGTGTTAGCCCACGATTGTATTGCAGATAAATCTGTATTTAAGACAGCAATGGCATCAGACACTTCGGACAGTGCAAAGTGTCTGTAAAGTTGTAGATCATCCGCATACAGATGGTAGGGAGAATTAATGATCCGAGAAATATTGTTTATAAAAATTGAAAAGAGTAAAGGAGACAGCACGCCACCTTGAGGTACACCGGCAGTGAGTGGAGACCAATCCGATGAAGCATCATTGGCTCTGACACACTGCTGACGACCGAAAAGATAGGAAGAAAACCATTCAATAGCAGGAGAGGATACGTTTACTACACGGAGCATGGCAAGCAAAATGTCAAAATCTACTGAGTTAAAAGCGTTAGTAAAGTCAAGAAGAACAATAGCTGTGAGATTAGTGTCATCCATGGCACGCCGAATGTCCTCAGTAATATTAAGTAGTGCTCCAGTAGTGCTATGGGATGGACGGAAATTTATCTCTACAACTAATATTTTGTTTTCATGAAGTATACCATTTCTTATAGGCTTAAGTAACAATTGTTATACATTTAGTATAATAATTGTGATTTAAATCTATTAGAAATTTCATTTATATTAGTTTTTACAATGAATTATTAAAATAGATATTTTATTTTTTAGATATTGGTGCCACTGATTTGCCTTCAATGATTCATAGAGTCATAAAATATATGGTTATAATAGTTAAAAAAAAAAACACATTGGATTAAAAAAAATATTTTATTCAAAGTATTCTTATAGGTAAATAAAGCTAGTTACATTATAACAAGAGATCATGTTGTTTTAATGGTAAAATTTTACAACATTTAATGTAATAATTAATATCAAAGTAAATCAATTCCATAGAACTATGTAGATGTGTAGGATTACAAATTATCACATTGTAATTTGTAATCCTACACATCTGGCATATTGGCAGCAAATTAAAGTAAATATTATAACTGCAAACATAAAAATATTAACCTAAATAAATAAAATGAAAATACTAGTCTAAATAAAAAGAAAATATCCAAATACTAATCCAGATAAAAAAAATAAATGAAAACTAAATTAATGCTGCCACAATAGAAGTCAAAACATAACTATTCTCTCACAATAAATTACAACTTGTCTAGTGCTGATACAATATTACTGACAACAATTAAAAAGTTATACTCAATCGATCATAGCCAACACTAGAAAATTAATTGCAACTATCCTTGTTGCAGACTAGTTTAAATTCAATATTAATGGAATTATTGGGATCGATATCTATAAACTTACCTCTAAAATTTAAATAATAAAATAATTTATTGGTACCTTTAACTATAGGTATGGAACTTAACTAAAAAATAACAAATAACAGAAATATTTTAACAATATAGCTTTTTTTTAAGGTAAATGGCAACAACGTATTGTCAATACTCACTATGTGGTTCTCTGCGTTTGGCCACCGTTGCATCATCCTTGCTCGTGTTGTTACTGGTGTTTTTCGCAACGTTCAATGACATGTCGTCCGCGTCGGGATCTTGGGTTTGCGAATTAGCATTCCTTATCCTGACCGATCTCCTGGGTGCCACGTTGTCGTCCTTGGAACTGACATTCTTCAGGCGTTTAGTGTTCTCACGTTTTTGAATTTTCTTCTTTGGTGTTTTTTTTTCCTGACGAAGGATCGGAATCTTTTGGAAAGAAGTCGTCAATGTTTATGCGTTCTAAAACGACAACTGGCTGCAGATTCTTGTCAACGTGCAGATCTGAAATTAAATTTTGTTGTTACAAAAAGCAATATTTAATAGTGACCGCAGTTAGGCTTTAGAGATGTTTTGTTGCATCATCCTTGCTCGTGTTGTTACTGGTGTTTTTCGCAACGTTCAATGACATGTCGTCCTCGTCGGGATCTTGGGTTTGCGAATTAGCATTCCTTATCCTGACCGATCTCCTGGGTGCTACGTTGTCGTCCTTGGAACTGACATTCTTCAGGCGTTTAGTGTTCTCACGTTTTTGAATTTTCTTCTTTGGTGTTTTGTTTTTCCTGACGGAGGATCGGAATCTTTTGGAAAGAAGTCGTCAATGTTTATGCGTTCTAAAACGACAACTGGCTGCAGATTCTTGTCAACGTGCAGATCTGAAATTAAATTTTGTTGTTACAAAAAGCAATATTTAATAGTGACCGCAGTTAGGCTTTAGAGATGTTTTGTTGCATCATCCTTGCTCGTGTTGTTACTGGTGTTTTTCGCAACGTTCAATGACATGTCGTCCTCGTCGGGATCTTGGGTTTGCGAATTAGCATTCCTTATCCTGACCGATCTCCTGGGTGCTACGTTGTCGTCCTTGGAACTGACATTCTTCATGCGTTTAGTGTTCTCACGTTTTTGAATTTTCTTCTTTGGTGTTTTGTTTTTCCTGACGGAAGATCGGAATCTTTTGGAAAGAAGTCGTCAATGTTTATGCGTTCTAAAACGACAACTAAGGGCCTACCATGAAGTATTTTCCGAAGTTTCGGGGACGAACGAAACAGAAATTTGATGTTAAAATTGCATAATACATGCTGTTTAAAATTATTAAAAAGGTTAAAATATCGTTCCTTTGGACTATTAGAATAGAATTTGTGATGAACGAAATGTTAAGCTCCATTTACTGGGTCGATTTTGATACGAACAAAAACACGAAATTGAGCCCGAAATTTCGGAATTTCATTTCATGGTAGACCATCAGGCTGCAGATTCTTGTCAACGTGCAGATCTGAAATTAAATTTTGTTGTTACAAAAAGCAATATTTAATAGTGACAAAGTTTGTATAGTATTAAGACGACAGACAGTTTTGCCAGTAGTTGCCACCCATGGCAGGCGGATTGGCAACCGCAATTAGGCTTTAGAGATGTTTCAAGAGGGACGCTGCTGTCTATGGGAAGGCATGGCCTATTCTATGCCGGGATCGCACGGCCAAAACCTACAAAACCTAATATTTGTATTACCATTTATTAACTAATACTCACTATGTGGTTCTCTGCGTTTGGCCACCGTTGCATCATCCTTGCTCGTGTTGTTACTGGTGTTTTTCGCAACGTTCAATGACATGTCGTCCTCGTCGGGATCTTGGGTTTGCGAATTAGCATTCCTTATCCTGACCGATCTCCTGGGTGCCACGTTGTCGTCCTTGGAACTGACATTCTTCAGGCGTTTAGTGTTCTCACGTTTTTGAATTTTCTTCTTTGGTTTTTTTTTTTTCCTGACGGAGGATCGGAATCTTTTGGAAAGAAGTCGTCAATGTTTATGCGTTCTAAAACGGCAACTGGCTGCAGATTCTTGTCAACGTGCAGATCTGAAATTAAATTTTGTTGTTACAAAAAGCAATATTTAATAGTGACCGCAGTTAGGCTTTAGAGATGTTTTGTTGCATCATCCTTGCTCGTGTTGTTACTGGTGTTTTTCGCAACGTTCAATGACATGTCGTCCTCGTCGGGATCTTGGGTTTGCGAATTAGCATTCCTTATCCTGACCGATCTCCTGGGTGCTACGTTGTCGTCCTTGGAACTGACATTCTTCAGGCGTTTAGTGTTCTCACGTTTTTGAATTTTCTTCTTTGGTGTTTTGTTTTTCCTGACGGAGGATCGGAATCTTTTGGAAAGAAGTCGTCAATGTTTATGCGTTCTAAAACGACAACTGGCTGCAGATTCTTGTCAACGTGCAGATCTGAAATTAAATTTTGTTGTTACAAAAAGCAATATTTAATAGTGACAAAGTTTGTATAGTATTAAGACGACAGACAGTTTTGCCAGTAGTTGCCACCCATGGCAGGCGGATTGGCAACCGCAGTTAGGCTTTAGAGATGTTTCAAGAGGGACGCTGCTGTCTATGGGAAGGCATGGCCTATTCTATGCCGGGATCGCACGGCCAAAACCTACAAAACCTAATATTTGTATTACCATTTATTAACTAATACTCACTATGTGGTTCTCTGCGTTTGGCCACCGTTGCATCATCCTTGCTCGTGTTGTTACTGGTGTTTTTCGCAACGTTCAATGACATGTCGTCCTCGTCGGGATCTTGGGTTTGCGAATTAGCATTCCTTATCCTGACCGATCTCCTGGGTGCCACGTTGTCGTCCTTGGAACTGACATTCTTCAGGCGTTTAGTGTTCTCACGTTTTTGAATTTTCTTCTTTGGTGTTTTTTTTTCCTGACGGAGGATCGGAATCTTTTGGAAAGAAGTTGTCAATGTTTATGCGTTCTAAAACGATAACTGGCTGCAGATTATTGTCAACGTGCAGATCTGAAATTAAATTTTGTTGTTACAAAAAGCAATATTTAATAGTGACAAAGTTTGTATAGTATTAAGACGACAGACAGTTTTGCCAGTAGTTGCCACCCATGGCAGGCGGATTGGCAACCGCAGTTAGGCTTTAGAGATGTTTCAAGAGGGACGCTGCTGTCTATGGGAAGGCATGGCCTATTCTATGCCGGGATCGCACGGCCAAAACCTACAAAACCTAATATTTGTATTACCATTTATTAACTAATACTCACTATGTGGTTCTCTGCGTTTGGCCACCGTTGCATCATCCTTGCTCGTGTTGTTACTGGTGTTTTTCGCAACGTTCAATGACATGTCGTCCTCGTCGGGATCTTGGGTTTGCGAATTAGCATTCCTTAACTTGACCGATCTCCTGGGTGCCACGTTGTCGTCCTTGAAACAGACATTCTTCAGGCGTTTAGTGTTCTCACGTTTTTGAATTTTCTTCTTTGGTGTTTTGTTTTTCCTGACAGAGGATCGGAATCTTTTGGAAAAAAGTCGTCAATGTTTATGCGTTCTAAAACGACAACTGGCTGCAGATTCTTGTCAACGTGCAGATCTGAAATTAAATTTTGTTGTTACAAAAAGCAATATTTAATAGTGACAAAGTTTGTATAGTATTAAGACGACAGACAGTTTTGCCAGTAGTTGCCACCCATGGCAGGCGGATTGGCAACCGCAGTTAGGCTTTAGAGATGTTTCAAGAGGGACGCTGCTGTCTATGGGAAGGCATGGCCTATTCTATGCCGGGATCGCACGGCCAAAACCTACAAAACCTAATATTTGTATTACCATTTATTAACTAATACTCACTATGTGGTTCTCTGCGTTTGGCCACCGTTGCATCATCCTTGCTCGTGTTGTTACTGGTGTTTTTCGCAACGTTCAATGACATGTCGTCCTCGTCGGGATCTTGGGTTTGCGAATTAGCATTCCTTATCCTGACCGATCTCCTGGGTGCCACGTTGTCGTCCTTGGAACTGACATTCTTCAGGCGTTTAGTGTTCTCACGTTTTTGAATTTTCTTCTTTGGTGTTTTTTTTTCCTGACGGAGGATCGGAATCTTTTGGAAAGAAGTTGTCAATGTTTATGCGTTCTAAAACGATAACTGGCTGCAGATTATTGTCAACGTGCAGATCTGAAATTAAATTTTGTTGTTACAAAAAGCAATATTTAATAGTGACAAAGTTTGTATAGTATTAAGACGACAGACAGTTTTGCCAGTAGTTGCCACCCATGGCAGGCGGATTGGCAACCGCAGTTAGGCTTTAGAGATGTTTCAAGAGGGACGCTGCTGTCTATGGGAAGGCATGGCCTATTCTATGCCGGGATCGCACGGCCAAAACCTACAAAACCTAATATTTGTATTACCATTTATTAACTAATACTCACTATGTGGTTCTCTGCGTTTGGCCACCGTTGCATCATCCTTGCTCGTGTTGTTACTGGTGTTTTTCGCAACGTTCAATGACATGTCGTCCTCATCGGGATCTTGGGTTTGCGAATTAGCATTCCTTATCCTGACCGATCTCCTGGGTGCCACGTTGTCGTCCTTGGAACTGACATTCTTCAGGCGTTTAGTGTTCTCACGTTTTTGAATTTTCTTCTTTGGTGTTTTTTTTTTCCTGACGGAGGATCGGAATCTTTTGGAAAGAAGTCGTCAATGTTTATGCGTTCTAAAACGACAACTGGCTGCAGATTCTTGTCAACGTGCAGATCTGAAATTAAATTTTGTTGTTACAAAAAGCAATATTTAATAGTGACCGCAGTTAGGCTTTAGAGATGTTTTGTTGCATCATCCTTGCTCGTGTTGTTACTGGTGTTTTTCGCAACGTTCAATGACATGTCGTCCTCGTCGGGATCTTGGGTTTGCGAATTAGCATTCCTTATCCTGACCGATCTCCTGGGTGCCACGTTGTCGTCCTTGAAACAGACATTCTTCAGGCGTTTAGTGTTCTCACGTTTTTGAATTTTCTTCTTTGGTGTTTTGTTTTTCCTGACGGAGGATCGGAATCTTTTGGAAAAAAGTCATCAATGTTTATGCGTTCTAAAACGACAACTGGCTGCAGATTCTTGTCAACGTGCAGATCTGAAATTAAATTTTGTTGTTACAAAAAGCAATATTTAATAGTGACAAAGTTTGTATAGTATTAAGACGACAGACAGTTTTGCTAGTAGTTGCCACCCATGGCAGGCGGATTGGCAACCGCAGTTAGGCTTTAGAGATGTTTTAAGAGGGACGCTGCTGTCTATGGGAAGGCATGGCCTATTCTATGCCGGGATCGCACGGCCAAAACCTACAAAACCTAATATTTGTATTACCATTTATTAATATGAATAAAACAATGAAAGTAGGTCGTCGGTGCGCCATTGTCATTATCACTGTTCAATTAACGGGAATATTATTGTTAGTAGGATATTTGTCCTTATGATATTCTACTATGTTGAACATCATTGATATATTTAGTAGTAGTCTGCCAAAGATATTAGAAGCGGCTCAGAAATATCTAGAATCAGGTTATTAAACCTGTAAAAAACTGTAAAAAAAACCTGTAAAAAAATATATTAACATTTATTATAACTTTGTATGTTAGCACACTAGACTTATAACATTGATTTGGCTTTTGCTGTTATAATGTTGTAATTATTTTTAATGAATAAATAAATAAATGTTATTAATATTGTAAACGTGAGGTTAGAATGTTTGTTACTCAAACACGCTTAAACGGCTGAAAAGATTTCAATGAAATTTAGTATACGGATACTTCACAAACAATCAGTGGCATGAAGCTTAAGCAGCATGGAATAAATACCCAAATCACTATGCAAATGTTTAAAATAATTTTCAACTAGATAGATGATTTAACAAAAATAATTTATTGGTACCGTTAACTATATGGAACTTAACTAAAAAATAACAAATAACAGAAATATTTTGAAACTGACATTCTTCAGGCGTTTAGTGTTCTCACGTTTTTGAATTATCTTCTTTGGTGTTTTGTTTTTCCTGACGGAGGATCGGAATCTTTTGGAAAGAAGTCGTCAATGTTTATGCGTTCTAAAACGACAACTGGCTGCAGATTCATGTCAACGTGCAGATCTGAAATTAAATTTTGTTGTTACAAAAAGCAATATTTAATAGTGACAAAGTTTGTATAGTATTAAGACGACAGACAGTTTTGCCAGTAGTTGCCGCCCATGGCAGGCGGATTGGCAACCGCAGTTAGGCTTTAGAGATGTTTTAAGAGGGACGCTGCTGTCTATGGGAAGGCATGGCCTATTCTATGCCGGGATCGCACGGCCAAAACCTACAAATTTGTATATATATAATAAATATATTTATCACAATTATTACATGAACTATTTCTACCTAATATTTGTATTACCATTTATTAATATAAATAAAACAATGAAAGTAGGTCGTCGGTGCGCCATTGTCATTATCACTGTTGAATTAACGGGAATATTATTGTTAGTAGGATATTTGTCCTTCTGATATTCTACTATGTCGAACATCATTGATATATTTAGTAGTAGTCTGCCAAAGATATTAGAAGCGGCTCAGAAATATGTAAAATTAGGTTAAATACATTTGTTATAACTTTGTATGTTAGCACACTAGACTTATAACATTGATTTGGCTTTTGCTGTTATAATGTTGTAATTATTTTTAATGAATAAATAAATAAATGTTATTAATATTGTAAACGTGAGGTTAGAATGTTTATTACTCAAACACGCTTAAACGGCTGAAAAGATTTCAATGAAATTTAGTATACGGATACTTCACAAACAATCAATGACATGAAGCTTAAGCAGCATGGAATAAATATCCAAATCACTATGCAAATGTTTAAAATAATTTTCAACTAGGTAGATGATTTAACAAAAATAATTTATTGGTACCTTTAACTATATGGGACTTGACTAAAAAATAACAAATAACAGAAATATTTTAACAATATAACTTTTTTTTAAGCTAAACGGCAACAATGTATCGTCACTACTCACTATGTGGTTCTCTGCTCTTGGCCACCGTTGCATCATCCTTGCTGGTGTTGTTACTGGCGTTTTTCGCAACGTTCAATGGCATGTCGTCCTTGTCGGGATCTTGGGTTTGCGAATTAGCATTTCTTAACCTGACCGATCTCCTGGGTGCCACGATGTCGTCCTTGAAACTGACATTCTTCAGGCGTTTAGTGTTCTCGCCTTTTTGAATTTTCTTCTTTGGTGTTTTTTTTCCTGACGGAGGATCGGAATCTTTTGGAAAGAAGTCGTCAATATTTATGCGTTCTAAAACGACAACTGGCTGCAGATTCATGTCAACGTGCAGATCTGAAATTAAATTTTGTTGTTACAAAAAGCAATATTTAATAGTGACAAAGTTTGTATAGTATTAAGACGACAGACAGTTTTGCCAGTAGTTGCCGCCCATGGCAGGCGAATTGGCAACCGCAGTTAGGCTTTAGAGATGTTTTAAGAGGGACGCTGCTGTCTATGGGAAGGCATGGCCTATTCTATGCCGGGATCGCACGGCCAAAACCTACAAATTTGTATATATATAATAAATATATTTATCACAATTATTAAATGAACAATTTCTACCTAATATTTGTATTACCATTTATTAATATAAATAAAACAATGAAAGTAGGTCGTCGGTGCGCCATTGTCATTATCACTGTTGAATTAACGGGAATATTATTGTTAGTAGGATATTTGTCCTTCTGATATTCTACTATGTCGAACATCATTGATATATTTAGTAGTAGTCTGCCAAAGATATTAGAAGCGGCTCAGAAATATGTAGAATCAGGTTAAATACATTTGTTATAACTTTGTATGTTAGCACACTAGACTTATAACATTGATTTGGCTTTTGCTGTTATAATATTGTAATTATTTTTAATGAATAAATAAATAAATGTTATTAATATTGTAAACGTGAGGTTAGAATGTTTATTACTCAAACACGCTTAAACGGCTGAAAAGATTTAAATGAAATTTAGTATACGGATACTTCACAAACAATCAATGGCATGAAGCTTAAGCAGCATGGAATAAATATCCAAATCACTATGCAAATGTTTAAAATAATTTTCAACTAGGTAGATGATTTAACAAAAATAATTTATTGGTACCTTTAACTATATGGAACTTGACTAAAAAATAACAAATAACAGAAATATTTTAACAATATAACTTTTTTTTAAGCTAAACGGCAACAATGTATCGTCACTACTCACTATGTGGTTCTCTGCTCTTGGCCACCGTTGCATCATCCTTGCTGGTGTTGTTACTGGCGTTTTTCGCAACGTTCAATGGCATGTCGTCCTTGTCGGGATCTTGGGTTTGCGAATTAGCATTTCTTAACCTGACCGATCTCCTGGGTGCCACGATGTCGTCCTTGAAACTGACATTCTTCAGGCGTTTAGTGTTCTCGCCTTTTTGAATTTTCTTCTTTGGTGTTTTTTTTCCTGACGGAGGATCGGAATCTTTTGCAAAGAAGTCGTCAATATTTATGCGTTCTAAAACGACAACTGGCTGCAGATTCATGTCAACGTGCAGATCTGAAATTAAATTTTGTTGTTACAAAAAGCAATATTTAATAGTGACAAAGTTTGTATAGTATTAAGACGACAGACAGTTTTGCCAGTAGTTGCCGCCCATGGCAGGCGGATTGGCAACCGCAGTTAGGCTTTAGAGATGTTTTAAGAGGGACGCTGCTGTCTATGGGAAGGCATGGCCTATTCTATGCCGGGATCGCACGGCCAAAACCTACAAATTTGTATATATATAATAAATATATTTATCACAATTATTAAATGAACTATTTGTACCTAATATTTGTATTACTATTTATTAATATAAATAAAACAATGAAAGTAGGTCGTCGGTGCGCCATTGTCATTATCACTGTTGAATTAACAGGAATATTATTGTTAGTAGGATATTTGTCTTTATGATATTCTACTATGTTGAACATCATTGATATATTTAGTAGTAGTCTGCCAAAGATATTAGAAGCGGCTCAGAAATATGTAGAATCAGGTTAAATACATTTGTTATAACTTTGTATGTTAGCACACTAGACTTATAACATTGATTTGGCTTTTGCTGTTATAATGTTGTAATTATTTTTAATGAATAAATAAATAAATGTTATTAATATTGTAAACGTGAGGTTAGAATGTTTATTACTCAAACACGCTTAAACGGCTGAAAAGATTTCAATGAAATTTAGTATACGGATACTTCACAAACAATCAATGACATGAAGCTTAAGCAGCATGGAATAAATATCCAAATCACTATGCAAATGTTTAAAATAATTTTCAACTAGGTAGATGATTTAACAAAAATAATTTATTGGTACCTTTAACTATATGGGACTTGACTAAAAAATAACAAATAACAGAAATATTTTAACAATATAACTTTTTTTTAAGCTAAACGGCAACAATGTATCGTCACTACTCACTATGTGGTTCTCTGCTCTTGGCCACCGTTGCATCATCCTTGCTGGTGTTGTTACTGGCGTTTTTCGCAACGTTCAATGGCATGTCGTCCTTGTCGGGATCTTGGGTTTGCGAATTAGCATTTCTTAACCTGACCGATCTCCTGGGTGCCACGATGTCGTCCTTGAAACTGACATTCTTCAGGCGTTTAGTGTTCTCGCCTTTTTGAATTTTCTTCTTTGGTGTTTTTTTCCTGACGGAGGATCGGAATCTTTTGCAAAGAAGTCGTCAATATTTATGCGTTCTAAAACGACAACTGGCTGCAGATTCATGTCAACGTGTAGATCTGAAATTAAATTTTGTTGTTACAAAAAGCAATATTTAATAGTGACAAAGTTTGTATAGTATTAAGACGACAGACAGTTTTGCCAGTAGTTGCCGCCCATGGCAGGCGGATTGGCAACCGCAGTTAGGCTTTAGAGATGTTTTAAGAGGGACGCTGCTGTCTATGGGAAGGCATGGCCTATTCTATGCCGAGATCGCACGGCCAAAACCTACAAATTTGTATATATATAATAAATATATTTATCACAATTATTAAATGAACTATTTGTACCTAATATTTGTATTACTATTTATTAATATAAATAAAACAATGAAAGTAGGTCGTCGGTGCGCCATTGTCATTATCACTGTTGAATTAACAGGAATATTATTGTTAGTAGGATATTTGTCTTTATGATATTCTACTATGTTGAACATCATTGATATATTTAGTAGTAGTCTGCCAAAGATATTAGAAGCGGCTCAGAAATATGTAGAATCAGGTTAAATACATTTGTTATAACTTTGTATGTTAGCACACTAGACTTATAACATTGATTTGGCTTTTGCTGTTATAATGTTGTAATTATTTTTAATGAATAAATAAATAAATGTTATTAATATTGTAAACGTGAGGTTAGAATGTTTATTACTCAAACACGCTTAAACGGCTGAAAAGATTTCAATGAAATTTAGTATACGGATACTTCACAAACAATCAATGACATGAAGCTTAAGCAGCATGGAATAAATATCCAAATCACTATGCAAATGTTTAAAATAATTTTCAACTAGGTAGATGATTTAACAAAAATAATTTATTGGTACCTTTAACTATATGGGACTTGACTAAAAAATAACAAATAACAGAAATATTTTAACAATATAACTTTTTTTTAAGCTAAACGGCAACAATGTATCGTCACTACTCACTATGTGGTTCTCTGCTCTTGGCCACCGTTGCATCATCCTTGCTGGTGTTGTTACTGGCGTTTTTCGCAACGTTCAATGGCATGTCGTCCTTGTCGGGATCTTGGGTTTGCGAATTAGCATTTCTTAACCTGACCGATCTCCTGGGTGCCACGATGTCGTCCTTGAAACTGACATTCTTCAGGCGTTTAGTGTTCTCGCCTTTTTGAATTTTCTTCTTTGGTGTTTTTTTCCTGACGGAGGATCGGAATCTTTTGGAAAGAAGTCGTCAATATTTATGCGTTCTAAAACGACAACTGGCTGCAGATTCATGTCAACGTGCAGATCTGAAATTAAATTTTGTTGTTACAAAAAGCAATATTTAATAATGACAAAGTTTGTATAGTATTAAGACGACAGACAGTTTTGCCAGTAGTTGCCGCCCATGGCAGGCGGATTAGCAACCGCAGTTAAGCTTTAGAGATGTTTTAAGAGGGACGCTGCCGTCTATGGGAAGACATGGCCTATTCTATGCCGGGATCGCACGGCCAAAACCTACAAATTTGTATATATATAATAAATATATTTATCACAATTATTAAATGAACTATTTCTACCTAATATATGTATTAACATTTATTAATATAAATAAAACAATGAAAGTAGGTCGTCGGTGCGCCATTGTCATTATCACTGTTGAATTAACAGGAATATTATTGTTAGTAGGATATTTGTCTTTATGATATTCTACTATGTTGAACATCATTGATATATTTAGTAGTAGTCTGCCAAAGATATTAGAAGCGGCTCAGAAATATGTAGAATCAGGTTAAATACATTTGTTATAACTTTGTATGTTAGCACACTAGACTTATAACATTGATTTGGCTTTTGCTGTTATAATGTTGTAATTATTTTTAATGAATAAATAAATAAATGTTATTAATATTGTAAACGTGAGGTTAGAATGTTTATTACTCAAACACGCTTAAACGGCTGAAAAGATTTCAATGAAATTTAGTATACGGATACTTCACAAACAATCAATGACATGAAGCTTAAGCAGCATGGAATAAATATCCAAATCACTATGCAAATGTTTAAAATAATTTTCAACTAGGTAGATGATTTAACAAAAATAATTTATTGGTACCTTTAACTATATGGGACTTGACTAAAAAATAACAAATAACAGAAATATTTTAACAATATAACTTTTTTTTAAGCTAAACGGCAACAATGTATCGTCACTACTCACTATGTGGTTCTCTGCTCTTGGCCACCGTTGCATCATCCTTGCTGGTGTTGTTACTGGCGTTTTTCGCAACGTTCAATGGCATGTCGTCCTTGTCGGGATCTTGGGTTTGCGAATTAGCATTTCTTAACCTGACCGATCTCCTGGGTGCCACGATGTCGTCCTTGAAACTGACATTCTTCAGGCGTTTAGTGTTCTCGCCTTTTTGAATTTTCTTCTTTGGTGTTTTTTTTCCTGACGGAGGATCGGAATCTTTTGCAAAGAAGTCGTCAATATTTATGCGTTCTAAAACGACAACTGGCTGCAGATTCATGTCAACGTGCAGATCTGAAATTAAATTTTGTTGTTACAAAAAGCAATATTTAATAGTGACAAAGTTTGTATAGTATTAAGACGACAGACAGTTTTGCCAGTAGTTGCCGCCCATGGCAGGCGGATTGGCAACCGCAGTTAGGCTTTAGAGATGTTTTAAGAGGGACGCTGCTGTCTATGGGAAGGCATGGCCTATTCTATGCCGAGATCGCACGGCCAAAACCTACAAATTTGTATATATATAATAAATATATTTATCACAATTATTAAATGAACTATTTGTACCTAATATTTGTATTACTATTTATTAATATAAATAAAACAATGAAAGTAGGTCGTCGGTGCGCCATTGTCATTATCACTGTTGAATTAACAGGAATATTATTGTTAGTAGGATATTTGTCTTTATGATATTCTACTATGTTGAACATCATTGATATATTTAGTAGTAGTCTGCCAAAGATATTAGAAGCGGCTCAGAAATATGTAGAATCAGGTTAAATACATTTGTTATAACTTTGTATGTTAGCACACTAGACTTATAACATTGATTTGGCTTTTGCTGTTATAATGTTGTAATTATTTTTAATGAATAAATAAATAAATGTTATTAATATTGTAAACGTGAGGTTAGAATGTTTATTACTCAAACACGCTTAAACGGCTGAAAAGATTTCAATGAAATTTAGTATACGGATACTTCACAAACAATCAATGACATGAAGCTTAAGCAGCATGGAATAAATATCCAAATCACTATGCAAATGTTTAAAATAATTTTCAACTAGGTAGATGATTTAACAAAAATAATTTATTGGTACCTTTAACTATATGGGACTTGACTAAAAAATAACAAATAACAGAAATATTTTAACAATATAACTTTTTTTTAAGCTAAACGGCAACAATGTATCGTCACTACTCACTATGTGGTTCTCTGCTCTTGGCCACCGTTGCATCATCCTTGCTGGTGTTGTTACTGGCGTTTTTCGCAACGTTCAATGGCATGTCGTCCTTGTCGGGATCTTGGGTTTGCGAATTAGCATTTCTTAACCTGACCGATCTCCTGGGTGCCACGATGTCGTCCTTGAAACTGACATTCTTCAGGCGTTTAGTGTTCTCGCCTTTTTGAATTTTCTTCTTTGGTGTTTTTTTTCCTGACGGAGGATCGGAATCTTTTGCAAAGAAGTCGTCAATATTTATGCGTTCTAAAACGACAACTGGCTGCAGATTCATGTCAACGTGTAGATCTGAAATTAAATTTTGTTGTTACAAAAAGCAATATTTAATAATGACAAAGTTTGTATAGTATTAAGACGACAGACAGTTTTGCCAGTAGTTGCCGCCCATGGCAGGCGGATTAGCAACCGCAGTTAAGCTTTAGAGATGTTTTAAGAGGGACGCTGCCGTCTATGGGAAGACATGGCCTATTCTATGCCGGGATCGCACGGCCAAAACCTACAAATTTGTATATATATAATAAATATATTTATCACAATTATTAAATGAACTATTTCTACCTAATATATGTATTAACATTTATTAATATAAATAAAACAATGAAAGTAGGTCGTCGGTGCGCCATTGTCATTATCACTGTTGAATTAACAGGAATATTATTGTTAGTAGGATATTTGTCTTTATGATATTCTACTATGTTGAACATCATTGATATATTTAGTAGTAGTCTGCCAAAGATATTAGAAGCGGCTCAGAAATATGTAGAATCAGGTTAAATACATTTGTTATAACTTTGTATGTTAGCACACTAGACTTATAACATTGATTTGGCTTTTGCTGTTATAATGTTGTAATTATTTTTAATGAATAAGTAAATAAATGTTATTAATATTGTAAACGTGAAGTTAGAATGTTTGTTACTCAAACACGCTTAAACGGCTGTAAAGATTTAAATGAAATTTAGTATAAGGATATTTCACAAACAATCAGTGGCATGAAGCTTAAGCAGCATGGAATAAATACCCAAATTATTGACATTTTATTTATACTTGACATAATGAAGCATGAGCACTTGCGCCAAGCAATAAAAAACACGTATTTAAATCCACTTATACTTTTATTATATTTATCTATTACAATTTCCTCAGCCATATATATTACTTATTTTACACACACACCAGAGAGAATCATACCGCGCCCTCTCGCTCACTCTACCGTAACTTATCTTTCGTTGTCTATGCCTAATGTTGCAATTATTAAAAATAATAATTGTGGAGGCTGGAGATACAAAACAATTAAACTCAACACTCTTCCTCAGCTTCCACCACTATTATTCCCAACTTGCATATCAACTCAATTAAAGGACATTTGCCAACAGGTTTAGTAAATATATCTGCCAATTGATATTGAGATCTTATATATTCTACTTTGACTACACCTTGCTCTACTTTAGATTTAATAAAATTATACTTAATTTCCAAATGTTTTAACTTTCGCTGATCATAAGTCTGAACTGATTTTATAGTACTCTGGTTGTCTTCATATATTTTAAAGTTATCAATTACAATATTTAAATCCTTTAACAATTTTATAATCCAACAGGATTCTACACAAGCTTTACAAATAGAAATCAATTCAGCTTCAGTAGTGCTTAGGGCAACAACGGATTGTTTTTTTAGACTTCCAAATTACAGTATTTCCATATATCTTAAATATATAACCAGTAGTAGATTTTCGATCGACATCTCTACCCCAATCTGCATCAGCAAAACCAAACAAAGGAATATCACAATTATTTTTAAAAATTAAATTATAGTTAATAGTTTGCTTTACATATCTTAGAATTCTTTTTAATGCCTTCTATAACATTTCATTTGTTTTTGACTGAAATCTACTTAAATAATACACAGAATAAGCTAAATCAGGTCTAGAATTAACAGTTACATACATAAGTGAACCAATTAAAGATCTACATTGTTTTTTATATGACATATGAATATTATTATCATCTAACTTAAATTTAGGGTCCATAGGGGTATCTGAACCTTTACACTCATTCACACCATATTTTTTAAGAATAGTTTATAAGTATTTTAACTAGTTAATAAAAACAGAATCATTTTGTCTTTTAATGGAAATCCCTAAATATGTCAAATCCTCACTACCTAAATCCTTCATCCTAAATTGTGTCATTAAAAATTTCTTTATTTATCTCTATCATGTCCTTTTCAACAATCAACAATTCATCAACATACAGTAGTATATATAGGTCCTTTTTGATATATAAACAGTAGTCATTCTCACTTCTCACAAACCCATAGTCAGTCATTGCTTCAGTAAATCTGTCATACCAATTTTTTGGTGATTTTTTTCCAATTTTAATATATATTTATCTCTTTCTTGTGTTTCACATCCTTTTGGTAATTTTAAATACACCAGTTCTTCAATTTTTCCATAAAGAAAAGCTCCTTTGACATCCATTTGATTTATTTTATAATTCCTTTTTAATGCTATTGACAAGAATATCCTTAATGTTTGCATCTTTACCACCGGGGAGTACACATCTTCTATTTGGTCTTTTTGTTGATATCCTAAAACAACAAGTCTTGCTTTACATAACTCTTTATTTCCTATTTCCTTCTTCGAGAATACCCATTTTGTGTCCAATATTTTCATTCCATCTTTCCTTGGTATTTTATTCCATGTATGACTTTATTCTAAAACATTTAGCTCTTCCTTAATTGCATTTTTCCATAATTCCCTATCTTTTCTGTTATTTATTTCCTCAAAACTTTTAGGTGCATCTTTTGTCAATCTGCTATATAGTGCAAATAGAACATCATCCTCATTTTCTAAATCCATCTCATAATCCTTTTGCCATTAAGGTTTCTGTATTTTCCTTTTTACTCTTTCTATTCCTTGACTTTCCCTTTCTTGTCTTTCTTTAGCATTTCCTTGTTTGTGATTGTTATAATTTCTTCTATTCCTCATTGTTAATTCTTCATTTCTATTTTCCTCTTCTGTCTGATCATTTATTTCTTCCTTCTGTATTTCCACATCATCAAAAAACTGTTCTTGTCTTTGTGTATTTTCTTTTGTATGTGTTTCCTTTTTTCCAGGTTGGGACTTCATATTTTCATCATCACTTGACAACGGTAAGTATACTTCCTTTTTGTTCTAGCTCTCTCATCAAAGATAACATTTCTTGCACACACCACCTTGTTATTTTCTTCATCATACAGTTTATAACCCGATGTAACATAACTTAACATGATCATTTTCTTTCCAGGATTATCCAACTTTTGTCGCAGTTCTCTGGGTATATAATTATAAGCTATGCTGCCAAATACTCTCATTTTAGTGACATCTGGTTTCCAGCCTTCCCATAATTCGCTTGGAGTTTTATTTTTATTAATGGTTGGACTTCTATTTGTTACATAAGCTGCATACAGCACGGCATCACCCAAAACTCTTTTCCTAATTTTGAATCTGATAATATAATAGTTCTAACCTTATCCAGTCAAGTCCTGTTCATACATTCAGCGACACCATTCATTTCAGGATTATAGGGGACTGTGTATTCCATTTTAATTCCTTTCACTGTACAAAATTTTCTAAATTGTTCTGACATATATTCACCACCATTGTCAGATCGTAATTTTAATATTTTCCTATTTAAATGATTTGTAGCATAGTAATAATATTCTTTGAATTTTTCAAAAACTTCAGATTTATGAGTAATTAAATAAACCATAATGAGTGAAATCATGTATAAATATTACAAAATATCTATGGTTGTTACGAGAAGGAGTGTTAAAAGGTCCACATACATCAATATGAATTAATTCTAATGGCCTACTTGCTCTATGACCAACCTTATTGAAAGGCTGTCTAGTTATTTTACCAATTAAACAATGTTCACATAATGTATTTTGAATTTTATCACATTTTAAATCATTCAAATCATATACTAAATTTTTTTTAACCAAAATATTTAAATTCCTGTTAAACACCTAAATGACCGAAACACCTGTGCCATAAAGTTACTAATTCACTATTATTGTTAGATGAAGAATTATTACAACTTGACTGATCAATATGCATCTGGACTGTAAACAATGATACATCTTTATTTCTAATCAATAATAAATTGTTATTTTTGAATACTCTGACTTTGCCATTAGAGAAAGATATCATTAAGCCACAACTTTCCATTTTTGAAACAGATAAAAAATTAATTCACAAATCAGGAATTTTGTAAAGTAAACTTATTAAATCTGTTACGACAAGTTACCTTTATGTTCCCAATACCAACTGTTTGCAACATAATCCCATTCTTGGCTGCTGCAATATTTTTAGGTTCATTTAACTCAATGTAATCTGAAAAATAATTCCTATTATTGATCAAATGGTCTGTACAGCCAGAATCTATACAAAACACTATTCTGTTTTTATTTGTCTCACAGTTTAAACTTATTATCACAACTTTCCCTACAAAATGTGTTAGACTCTTCCTGATGAATATAATGTCCTTGACTTTGATAGCCATGATGCTATTTAGTTGTCCCTCGACCACGTATATGTCCTCGTCCTTGGAAACATCCACCTCCATAATTAGATACTCCTCGTCCTCCTCTATAAGCCTTCATGTTGATGTCTGACCTTTGAACTTGATTATTCTGATACATTTTACAGTTATATTGTTTGTGACCAGGTCGTCCACACTTGAAACAATTGAACGCTGAAGGAAACTGTTCATTGTCCACCTGTTTTTTACCTTTTTTCTTCCTCGCCTAGTAGCCTTTCCTTGACGAAATTTATTTTTAACTCGGGCATGGTCTCTAATGTTGTTATTACCACATCAAATGATTTGGACATGGATAGTAATATGTAGTTAATTTTTTCTTCTTCTGTTAAATCTGATCCTGCATTTCGCAATTGAGTAAATATTTCTTCTAGTTGAGTGAGATGAGTTTGCAATTTCTCCTTTTCATTATATTTTATATCTGACAACTGTCTACGCAAAAACATGCGGCTTCGAGTATTTTGTTTCATAAAATTATCCTCTAAATTCTATATCATGCAATACGCTGTATCGATGTCTTTTATATATTCGATGTGACTATCTGCGACCGAACTTATAATTATACTTCTCGCTCGTGTTTCTTTTTTCTTGTTACCCGGTACACTGGAAAACGCCGGCTCTAATATGGCGTCGACGCAATCATGTTCATCTAGTATGGCTTTCAATCGATAAAACCATGTATTATAATTCTCTCCTTCGAACTCTTTGATATTATAATTATACTCCTTACTTGAAGCCATTTTTCTTTATAATTAATTCTGCATGTACATAACTAAATTCGTGGAACACGTGGAGTCGATACCTATCATGTTTGGCGCTGCGCAGTGGAAGCGTGCTATTGACAATTTTATTTATACTTGATATAATGAAGCATGAGCACTTGCGCCAAGCAATAAAAAACACGTATTTAAATCCACTTATACTTTTATTATATTTATCTATTACAATCTCCTCAGCCATATATATTACTTATTTTAAACACACACCAGAGATTTTTTTTTTTTATTTATTCCTAACCATGGATACAAGTCCTTCAGTCGCAGACATAAATGACACACCAGAGAGAATCATACCGTGCCTTCTCGCTCACTCTACCGTAACTTATCTTTCGTTGTCTATGCCTAATGTTGCAATTATTAAAAATAATAATTGTGGAGGCTGGAGATACAAAACAATTAAACTCAACAGAAATCACTATGCAAATGTTTAAAATAATTTTCAACTAGGTAGATGATTTAAAACAATGAAAGTAGGTCGTCGGTGTGCTATTGTCATATTCACTGTTGAATTAACGGGAATATTATTGTTAGTAGGATATTTGTCCTTCTGATATTCTACTATGTTGAACATCATTGATATATTTAGTAGTAGTCTGCCAAAGATATTAGAAGCGGCTCAGAAATATCTAGAATCAGGTTAAATACATTTGTTATAACTTTGTATGTAGACACACACACACTAGACTTATAACATTGATTTGGCTTTTGCTGTTATGATGTTGTAATTATTTTTAATGAATAAGTAAATAAATGTTATTAATATTGTAAACGTGAGGTTAGAATGTTTGTTACTCAAACACGCTTAAACGGCTGAAAAGATTTAAATGAAATTTAGTATAAGGATACTTCACAAACAATCAGTGGCATGAAGCTTAAGCAGCATGGAATAAATACCCAATTCAGTATGCAAATGTTTAAAATAATTTTCAACTAAGTAGATGATTTAACAAAAATAATTTATTGGTACCTTTAACTATATGGAACTTGACTAAAAAATAACAAATAACAGAAATATTTTAACAATATAGCTTTTTTTTAAACTAAACGGCAACAATGTATCGTCAATACTCACTATGGGTTTTTTTGCGCTTGGCCACCGTTGCGTCATCTTTGCTCGTGTTGTTACTGGTATTTTTCGCAACGTTCAATGGCATGACGTCCTCCTCGGGATCTTTGGTTTGCAAATTAGCATTCCTTATCCTGACCGATCTCCTGGGTGCTACGTTGTCGTCCACCGCTTTCGTTCTGCTTTTTATTATTATTATTAATAGCTGCATAGTATTTGACATTGTTAACTTAAATAATATAATGATGCTATTAACCTGGATAATATAATGACATTGTTAGTCTAAATAAAATGATGAAGGGGTAAGAGATTGTCAGCAATGCAGACTACGAGTCATATTGTTGTCAGGTAGATCTCCACATTGGGCCCCTGGAAATCATGCTGAATTCCAGATGTATTCATTATGATGGACCAACGAACATGCCTCTTTAGACTCACCTATCATTCCTCACTGGGAGCACCCATGTATACTGATATCACAGGCGGGAAAAAATGGAAATGTAAAATCTTAATAAAATAGGTTTTTTTTTTTTGTTTTTGCTGGGTGAAAATGGTATGGTAACCCCGCCTGCACTAACGGGATACACTGGCGAAGCATCAGTTAAGGGGGATAGATGAGAATGAAAACAGGCCAGTTAGCCCATCATAATGAATTCATCAGGAATTAACCATGATAGTTTCCAGGGAGAGCCGCGAGGAGGTCGACCTGGTTGGGTATATTGTTAGCAATGGGATTCTCAGTCTCCATTACTAACAGTCCCTTTCCCCCCACCAAAGTAGTGGTCTGCAAGGCTGTGGTGACCTGATCCCTGTATTGCGCTGCCTATACATTGCGTATTTCACTGTTTCATATGAATAAAACTAAAAAATATTTTCTAGAATTTGGAAAGTTTTCTACAAAATGGCACCATGGCTAGTTTGCCAAGTGATAAGGAGTAAAAAAACTAAGGCACATTTTGGCAAAAGCGGGTAGTTCAACAAAATAAATTTAACTTTTATAACAAAAATATGTTAAAAATCTTCTATCCGATATGTAATTACATCATTTTTCAACTCTGTAATGTAGTTCTAAAAAGGAATTAAAGATAAAAAGAGAAATTAATGAAATTAATATGAATTACAGAGAAAAAAATTTTTCTTATTTTCAAAGGAGGTAGGTAGTTTTTTTTTTTTTACAACAAAATGGTGTATTGTTCAACTATACGCATATTTTACGAATTATGGAATAAATTAACCTATTTTAACAGCTAATTATTCGCGGTCAAGAAAAAAAGAAAGTAAAATCAGAGTCATATTCATTATCATTAGAGTAAACTATAATTTTTAACCTAAATAACGACATTCTAATCAAAACATAGTCGGCGTTTCCCGGTAGTAGGTATAACAAAAAAAAGAGGCAAAATAAACATTTGTTAGTGTTAGTTAAAACTGTAACTTTACCTTTTCATTTTGTAAGAGAAAGAGTGAGAACCGGAGGAGACCACGAAACAAAGTAGAGAAAGATTGAAACTTTGCTGCAATTATATATATACTGACGAAACGAACAATAGTGATGGGAGTCAAGTTGCTTTTCACTCGAGTGACTCGAGTGAAAATACTTCTTGATGCTTATCATGCCGCACGTACTCTAATTGTAGATATTCTACATTTAGTTGAATATACGGCTGCTACAACAGATTTATGGACTTCTGACAGTAATAAAGCGTACCTAACTATTACAATACATTTCATTTATAATTCAAAACTTTTTTCGCAAACTATTACTACTAGAGAGGTTACGGAGGAACATTCTTCTATTATTTTAGCAAGTGTGCTGAAGTCGATATTTGATGAGTGGCAAATTACAGAAAAAATTGTGACAATAGTATTCGATAATGCTCCGAATATAAAGAAAGTTATTTCTGAATATTTAAGTAAGAGGAACCGCTACTGTGTAGCTCATACTTTGAACTTGGCGATCATTGACTGTAAGAAAGGTAACCCTTAATTTATGGAAATTATAAATTAATGTCAATCTATAGTCACATATTTCAAACAAAGCAACAAAGCGTCTTACAAACTTATGGAAATGCAACGTACAATGGATATGGAATGTATCAAATTAAAGCAAGATGTCCCAACACGGTGGAATTTTACATATTTAATGCTAGATAGAATGCTCAAAATTAAAACTGCTTTATCAACAATCATGTCCGATATGCCTGGTTCACCAAATAATTTACAAAACTTTGAATGGGAAGTGGTTCAAGAATGCGTAGACTTTTTAAGACCTCTTGAAAAACTGACTGCAGCCTTATCCGGAGAGAAATATCCAACATTGTCTTCAGTGATTCCTTTGATTAGAAATGTTCAAGAACTAAAAAATCTTTATTAGATACTGTTGATAAACGGTTAAGTATTTTAGAATCAAACAAAACTACAGCTAAATTAACCTACTTAGATCCGAGATTTAAGAAAATTGGTTTTACCGTAGAATCTAATGTTGATAGGGCTATGCAATCCGTTATTGGTGAAATTAAATCTACCTCTATATCCACAAGTACATATCAGGACAGAATCGGAGTCTTCATCGTCAAACTGCAACCAGAAAATAAGGACATGAATGATTTATGGGAGCATTTTAATTCAAAACTTTCGGAACCTACTTCAAATCAAACATCATTAGCCTCGGCTATTATCATGATGAAACAATACAATGACAAAGAATACTTAGATAGAAAAGATGATTGCTATTGCTTATTGGGAGAAAAGGAAACTGATTATGCCATTACTGTTTAAATTAGCTATGAAATATTTAAGCATCCCAGCGACGTCTGTTCCTTCAGAACGAGTTTTTTTTAAAGGTGCATTGATATGTAATCAATGAAGAAACCGTTTGGTAGGGGAAAAATTGATCAAATCATTTTTTTAAGTAGTTATTACACCAATTTCAGTTAAATTTGTTATCTCACTAAAAATACATTATTTCTGTTCTTTTGTTGAATTTATTTAAGTTTCATTTAAGTTAATTTAAAGCATGTATATTATTACATAAATTGTGTAAGAACATAATAAAACTGTTCATATTTGGATCTCATGAAAGTTCCTTGTTAGAATAAATTAAATTGGATATATATATATATATATATATATATATATATATATATATATATATATATATATATTTATTTTTTTTTTTAAATCAATAGGCTACCCTTAAAAAGTTTTGTGGGTTTTCATAACTATTTGTCATCATAGATTAGAGATTTAACAAGTAATTACACTAACCACTACGCAAAATAGTGATGAGCTGAGCCGGCATTTTTTGGTATTCGAAAATTTTAGTACTAACTTATTAACTCGAGTTCAGGGGGCTTACTAAGAGCTTTTTAAGCAATCCTTAAATTCAACTGTCCTGCTAAAACGTACTATGACCGCGTTATAGCAGGCCTGCTACAGGACTAATGTAATGTAATGTAATGTAAGAAAGACTCCGTTTTCCGCACTTAGCCTCTCATTTGGGCCGTTGTGCGTGTGATGCTACAGGACTATTTAGACTGGTATTTCTAAACCGTTCACCTTTTTTTTTATATGAACAATTCTTACCATGACGCCAACTTTGACAGCAACGAAACGTTTCTTACGCATCTCTAATGTCAAATAAAGCAATGTTGAAAAAGTAAGTTGTTGAGTAACTTTTTATAAATTGTTTTCATATTTGTAGTGGTTTTGTAAGGATTTAAATTATTACTTGCTCTGTGTGAGACGTTCAGAGTTCAAGTGACCCTTTATTTTACGATTAAGCCAGAATTTATAAATTTCAAGTGGTTTTAAGGTTTATATTTTTACACAAAAAACTCTTATTTTATCTATTTCTATTTTAGTTGCATCATAATCCAGGTTAAAAAATTTTTTAGATGTGCGACGAGTACGAATTGTTTGAATACTTAGAGAGTGAATGCCGAATGGAGAGAAGAAATAAGCGTCGTCGGTTAAGGCAAATTAATGACCCTTTCAAATTGGAGGATAGAGAGTTTATAAATGAATATAGGTAGATACTTTACTATTATTTATATTTATATATTTATATCATATTCTACTTATAATAGTGGTTTTAGTTAATGGATAGTCTTATATGGATAAAAACCCTTTGTTGTTTTTTTCTAAAAAAATTCATTATTAAACTTATTATAAACACAATCATAAGAAAAGATCACACAGTTACAAATCTTAGAGACAGGTTTTATTTAATACCTATTTATTTACAACTTTCTTTTATTAGATTATCACTAGATTTGTTTAGAGATCTGTGTAAGGAGTTGGAGCCTATTTTAAAGACTCGACCTAAACAATCCAATGATTTAAGCATTGAAACAAAGGTAGTTGTGATTTATTATATATATTGTTTTCTACTGGTTCTCCTTTTCTCTAGTCTAGATAGTTAATAAATTAACTGTTTTGTTTTCAGATGTTAACAGCAGTGTATTTATATGCACATGGGTCTTATCAGAAACCCACTGGTAAAGCTCAAAGTATTGCGCAGCAGACTGTCTCTTCTGTATTATCAGAGGTTACAGCTGCTTTAAATAATTTAGAAATCAGAAATAAATACATTAAATTTCCCTAAAATACTGCATATCGTAATACAAATAAGTTAAGGTATTTTTTATATTTTTAAGCCACACAAGAACACTTTCTGTTACAAGTGATCATGAATATCTCAGACAACTTACACAGAATGCCCTTTATTTTCTTTCCTTATTTACCTTTCAGATTTTATGAAAAACTTGGTATTCCTGGTGTGGTTAGATGCATTGATTGTTCCCATATTGCAATAGTAAGACCCAATGAACATGAAGAAAGGTATTATTGCAGAAAAAATTATCATTCCCTAAATGTTCAATTGGTAATGTGAAATTTAATTACGATTTACATATTTTAAAATATTAAGTAGACTCCATTGCAGCCAAATTACCTGTGTTACCTAACACAACTTAGTGGGGGGGAAAGGGATTGTTAGTAATGGAGACTGAATGTCGACCTCCTCGCGTTTCTCCCTGGAAACTATCATGGTTAATTCCTGATGAATTCATCATGATGGGCTAACTGACCTGTTTTCATTCTCATCTATCACCCTTCACTGGTGCTCCTCCAGCGTATCCCACTAGCGCAGGCGAGGTTACCATTCCATTTTCACCCATCAAAAAAAACACAACTTAGTAAACCCTGATAAAGATGTTTAAATTTTTATTACTCAGTAAATTAAATTTACTACTCTGATAGACCATATATAAGATCAACATAGGATATTTTTTATTTAATACATGGTGGTAAACCATATTATATGGTGGTAGGATTTGCCACTATGAATTAAACAAAAGATTCATAAATTATATGCATAATGAAGCTAGTTAGAAATAACTGCAGCTTCTTTTTTTTATTTTAATTAAAAAATAAAACATATTATAACATAGTATGAGCTATATTGAAATAAAAGATACAGAATGTACATTGTATTGTATTGTATGGTAAAATCTTTATTGTGCATAATTTAAATTAGGCACATTAAAAGATTTAATATACAATGGTGGACTTAGCTCATTACATTTTAATTATAATCTTACTAACATAATAAAATTGTAACTTGACAATGTCTATACATGAAGATTTAAGAAAAATTTATATGAGAAGTTTTAATAAGAACATTAGATGCCAAAACAATAATTTTGAAAAATGTTGTCTATAAATTTGTTCTGGTATCATGCAAAAACTACTGCATCAAATTGGATATTGTTTTCATAATGGTATTACTTATTCTATATTGTTATACAACTGTTATAAACAGCAAATTATATATTTTAGTTATTTTATATTTATTATATCAAATGATTTATAATTACAATATAAATATATAAAATAGTTTGTACAACAAAGCACTTATTTTGGCTATATTTGTTTTATTTTTTATTGGAAAATGGTGATATACATAAGAAATATAATAGTTTCATATCTACAATAATTAAACAGTAAATCATACTACTATATTGTTGTAACATGTACAGTAAAAGAGGTATTGATCTCTCATTTTTATACTTTATTTTCATTCTCCTCTATCATCCTTCACTGGTGTTTCGGCAGCGTATCCCGTTAGCGCAAGCGGGGTTACCATACCATTTTCACCCATAAAAAAAAATTCACTATCGTATGGGAGAAACGTATGCCCAGGCTGCAAAAATCTCAACGTAATAGTTTCCAACATACTGTGATTTAGTAATGTGTGAAGTAACATGACAACCATTTTTATACTTCAATTTGACCTCCACATGGGTCCAGACCACCACAGAAACAGATGTTTAACTGTCGGCTTAAGTTCTTCTAAAATAAACTTTCTTAAACAAGATCCTACTTCCTGTGTACCCCGAACAGCTTCATGTTCTAACCAAATATCCGCAATCCGTACTGCCATAGTGAGTTCCTAAATTATATAAAATTCAATTGTCTCTTGTAGTAAGCTATACCACTTGGAATACAGGATAAGCTGTGTGTAAATCAAACGTCAGTGCTTCTATTTCAAGATTAGATTTAGCTGACATTAAATCAGTGTTCATTTGATTACGAAGAGATGCTGCATGATCTAAATGTGTTTTATGAGTAGCTTCTAATGCCTCCAGCTGTCTTCCAGATGCTCCTTGTTTATTCGCGCTGTATTGATCACAACGAAGACAAGTATCCTTGTGCGGTTTCTTAAACCGCAAATTAAAATCATTATAGAATATTTGCTTAAATGTACTCTTACTGACTGGGTTAATGTAGATTTCGGAATATTTATCATATAATATACTAAGATTTAGGTGAGGAGCTAAATATTTTGTGAAAATTTATTTATAAACTAAATCACCTCCTGGCCTTTTTTTTCGTAGAGAGTTTGTTTTGACCACCAGCAGATCCTCTTGAATGTTTAGTAATGCACTTATTTTTTTTCGATAGGGCAACATTGATTCGACTTTGGCTGATTTGGTAAGTATTCATGAAAGTTTTTTTTGCAGACAGCGACATTACCAATTTTGTATATACGAGTAAAAACACGTTTTGAATTCTGTGTCGAAAAACTCTTTTTCTTTTCTTTTACTTTATTTTGAATTCTATTTACTTCTTTAAAGACTTTATTATGAATGCAGATCCTCCAAAAATAACCGTTAATTGGCAACTCTCACACCTAGAAACCATAAATGGATATATATATATATATATATATATATATAATTAAATAGCGTAGCGTTGGTGAAGTGTAAAAGCCATATATAGGCCATAATTACAAACAGTCATAGTTCATTAACACAGTACACAGAGGCTCAGTCCAAGTGATCGAATGAACTAGTTTCCCATTTGGAATAGTCGGAGAATATAAGTGAGTTGCACCTGCAAACACGACGAATAGTACACTGATATTACAGAGGTGGCAGATTTTTTTAATAGATGATAATGAAATGGTTACTCCGCCTGCGTTAACGGTATACGCTGGCGGGGTGCCAGTGAGGGATGATAGGTGTGAATAAAAAGAATTTACAGGGGAGACCGTAGGGAGGTGGACAATATGCAAGTAAGACATGTAAGCGAGCTTCTTAAGACTTGAATAAAAACTAAATTATTCCATTCCATATATGATTATATATGGACATTCATATGATTGCGTATGAAAATTGTATTACATAAGCGAATGACTCGATAACTACGATACACAAAATATATACAGCATATGTAGGTTTGCTATTTGATAGTTATTTATCGCTTTAAGGTAATAATATGACGGAGAGAAATAAAACACACCTGGATCGGATCAATTTGCAGACAAAAGCGGATACCCGCCAAATATAATTATTATAAAAATGTAGGTGTACTCACATGCATCACAATAGGATATATACCAGAGGGAGACTACATCTGTTTTTCATACGCTTTTTGTTTTTACCTAATGGTTAGCTGGTATAGAATGCCATAAGGCATTAAGCTTGCCACTTGTACAGTTTTATTGTACAATAAAGAATAAGTATAAATATAGACTTTGTACAAAAGTCATCTGCTTGGGTAACTCTGTCCCATTCGTATTTCTATTGTGAAGCAGTTGTGTTTGCATGGCTATATTTTGATTTGAAGAATGAGATATGGCAGTGAATTTAGAGGGTACAGAGGCATAACATTTCGGTCCTCAAGTATAGCAACGTATGGAGGTATCGTGTGTGACACACTATACTCTGTTATATCCATGGTACTGCTGTCATCACCCAATGGAAATATTGATAATATAGTTAAGAATGCTAATAAAATGCTTAGATTTCTTAAATGAACATGTATAGTACATTACTGCAGCGGCCTGCAACTGAGGCATTGATAGACGAACGTGCAAATGTAGGCCGAGGCGTAGCCGAGGCACACATACGTGAGTCCATCAATGCCTAGTTGTGGTCAAGGCTTGTATAGTACTTTTCTCAAACAATGCACGGAAATCAAAAACTTCAGAAAATTCAGTACATAGTAATATAAGTTGTTTTAATTGTAATGAAATAGGCCACCGCAATTTTAAATGCGATAAACCTCTAATTAGATGTACCTTTTGTAAAAAAATCAGGTCATTTAGCATTACATTGTTTTAAAATTAAAGCCCATAGAAATCAAACACATGTTAGGGAAAGCAATGAAAAATAAATACAGTGGAAACTCAATTATCCGAATCAAATAAAACCAGGGGTAATCCGGATAATGGATTTCATAGTGAAATCAAACAATAGATAATGAAATTCTAAGGGTTTTACATTTAAACAATACGATATAAAAAAAAATTACATGCTATAATAATAATGGATTACATAACACCTATTTACCCAATTAATACCTTTTCTAAATCGGTAATTAAAGCCGTAAAGAATAAATTCGGATAATTGATATTCGTAAAATCGAGATTCTACTTTAGCAGAATTTAGAATTGATGAAGCTAACAACAAATACATGCATTTTTTTTTTTTGGTGGGTGAAAATGGTATGGTAAGTCCGCCTGCGCTATCGGGATACGCTGGCGGAGCACCAGTGAAGGGTGATAGATGAGAATGAAAACAGGCCAGTTAGCCCATCATGATGAATTTATCAGGAATTAACCATGATAGTTTCCAGGGGGAACCGCGAGGAGGTCGTGGTTGGATATATTGCTAGCAATAGGATTCTCAGTCTCCATTACTAACAATCCCTTTCCCCCCACCTCTTATTGGGGGTGTGTATGACAAGAAATTTGACAGTATTAGCACATAATTCGTGAGTTTCAATCGTCTCCAGCCTCATAACAAAATAACATTTGCCGGATCAGCTAGCATTCAAATAATAATCTCATATACATATAAATTAATTACTTATTTATATATAATTATATTTTTTTCACAATTTTCATTATTACCAATAGTTATAATTAGATGAATTAACTTTATATAAAATCAACATTCTATTTGTAGCACTAAAAATTTAGCTGAACTAATATTATACTATGTAATGAGGGTTGAGCGCTGTTGTCTGAGATACAGGTTTTATAAACTAGTTCAGACACAGATGTTTAGGCTGATCCAAATGTACAAATGAATTCGTACCTACTTTTACAGTAATTTCCAGTGCTGAGTTTGTTACAATCATCGTTATGCAATATAGTTATTATTATTATTTATATAAAAAATATAAAAACTTTTTTATAGACTATTGTATATTCGAAACATTCGGCCACTGAATTCAACTCAATCTGGGACGTTTTTATATCAGACTAAAAAATAAATAAAATAACATATTTTTTATGTAGTAAACATTTATTTTTAACTATACAATGAATATATATATAGACATAAATAGTAAAAGACCGTTCTATCGTTATGAATTGGAGAAAACGATATTTAAAGTAAATATCAGGGAGCATTAATCGATGTCAAATATTCTTTATACTTTTTCTCTTGCGCCAACTGTATCTTCTGCAGTTTCTTCACCAAACTCTTACTCAATTCATTCCCTTCTTGATCGTGTGTTGGCAAACCCTACAATAATGGACTCACTAAATAAATATTTAATAATAAAAATATACAATGGAATACTAACATAATGAAAATGAATGTGTTTTTTTTATGGGTGAAAATGGTATGGTAGCCTGCGCTAACGGGATACGCTGCCAGAGCACCAGTGAAGGGTAATCGATGAGAATGAAAACAGGCCAGTTAGCCCATCATGATGAATTCATCAGGAATTAACCATGATAGTTTTCAGGGAGAACCGCGAGGAGGTCGACCTAGTTGGGTATATTGCTAGCAATGGGATTCTCAGTCTCCATTACTAACAATCCCTTTCCCCCCAAATGAATGTGTTAAGCATTATATCGTCGTGTGGTACCCAGCAGTTCCATTCCTTTCCCGTGGATGTCGTAAGAGGCAAAAGAACTTAATTGTCTAGGGATAAATTTGGTTGTCTAGGGATATGTAAGTTTGGGATATGGCGTGAATTTACTGGGTACAGAGGAATAATACCTGAGTCCTCAGGAATGGCAACGCATGGGGGTATCATGGGCGAAACAGTATACTCTGTTATGTCCATGGTACTGCTCATGTCTATAGGCGACGGTTACCACTTTCCATCAGGTGGGCCGTCAGCTTGTTTGCCATTCTAAGTTGTATAAAAAAAAAAATAAATATCAGCATCCCTCTTGAAACATCACCAAAAGCCAAATTGCGGTTGCGAATCCGCAAAGGATCCCTTTATATTATGATAACACCTTATATACTTCTATTATTAAATATTTATTATATAATGGTAAACTGCCATTAAGAATGGCTTTATTCCTTATCTATGGCGCAAGTTACGTTCAACAGTAGACAAATAGTAGCCGGTATTTATTTATTTATTCATTAGTACATATATGTGTACATGGCGGACTTAATGCTAAAAGCATTCCCTCCCAGTCAACCATAGGGAAGTGTCAAAATACTCGAATGCGGTACTACTAAGAAAAATTACATATATAAACGAATATACATACATATATATATATATATATATATATATATATATATATATATAATATATAATTACTATATTGATACCTGTTCATCAAATTTAGAATACTTGTCCGTTTCAAGTTTGAACATGTCACTGGGTGGGATTTTCCTCTGCTCACCCTTGGCCTGCTGAGCTTCCAACATTTCTTGTTTCTTTTTTTGTTTTCCAGCTTCCACTATTCTTTTTTCTTCTCTTTCTTTCATTAATTCTTCTCTACTAACCAGTTTCACCACGGTGCGATCTTAAATAAATAATTTCCTATATATAATACAAAAAACAATTGCTGAATGTATGTAATGTACTTACACTACAGAACAGCTGCACCTATTTCATTTTTTTTTTTTGCATTTGTAATCATGAAAATAAGTTTTGTATGGTAGGAAGTATTTGAAAAATAATACGAAAAAGATATAAAATTAGTAAAAATTTGAGAATGTTGCAGTGATAATTTTAATAAAACTTGTTTAACTTTTTAATATGTTCTATTGAAATAGACTACAATAGAGTACTTTCCTTTTTTTACGAAATCAGACTAACTGCACAGTATTATGTATTGGAATGGGTTGTTATGGGATATAGAATTGTGTACTGTACTGTACTGTACTCTATATATGTTATAATTTGTGTACTGTAAGTAATGCAAATAAATTTGCTATCTATCTACTGTCTTAGTTACTCTACATGTCTACAAACAACCGTTATCATCGGAGAGTATATTTCTATCAGAATGGGCTGTCAACTTACTTGCCATTCCGACAGAATTGTCCATTAGGTAAAGTAGGCTATATTGGTTAGGTACCTTACGCCACAAAAAAAAATATTCAAAAACGATTCTGTAAGTGAAAAATACATTTGATGCCTTGAATTAAAAAAAAAAGGTATATTTCCTAACGATTTCCAATATATGTAAAGAAAAATAAAATTATTGGCTTTTTTTTGTGAACGAGACGTGCATTGCCTTAGTTTTTTTTATACGATTTAGAATAGCAAACAAGCTGACGGCCTACCTGATGGAAAGTGGTAACCGTCGCTTATAGACATGAGCAGTACCCCAACATGGTTAATCAGCCCCTGCATTCGTGTCATAGTAAACTACTGCATACTGCATATACGTACCAGTTTTATCCTCAAGACGGACCCCCAGTGCAGGTAAGTGGTAGTCTCTCAGCTCGTCACACAACTGCAACACGCGGTCGGCGCCCAGGACCCGAGCCTCCTCACGGATCTGCCGCCTGAACACGCTCAGCGCTTCCAAGTACGGCATCACTCTCTCCTCCACCTGACGCGAGGGGGAAGGAATTGTTAGTATCGAGGTCTTATAGCCCTGTTGCTAGCTATATACTATCAGATCAACTCTCCTCTGCTCCCTGGAGACCATCGCGGTTAATTCTTGTGTAATTCTCCACGATGGGTTAACTGACCTTTTTTTTAACGTCTAGAATATGCTTTATGCAGACCCATATACCTTGTGGGAGAAGAATGGGTACTGTGGGAATCCCCCCGTTAGGCGGGGGTGTACCCACCAAAAACCAGACGATATATCCTCGAGGTGCCATATGTCGGAGACATGGGTTCGCTTTCGCACTCACCACATCTCCGACGGCAAAATGGGTAAACTGACCTGCCCTAGCATTTTCATCTGTCATCCCTTACTGGTGCCCCGCTAGCATACACCGTTAGCGCAGACGGGGATGCAATTACGTTTTCATAAAAAAAAGACGCAACTACGCAAGAAGTGGTCTTTTAACAAATGTAATTATGTTATATTTATCAGAAAGAAACTTGGCCCTTCTCACACACACACACATCTTATTGGCTGTGTTTCAGTTTGAAGGGTTTTCTTTTTTTAATTTTATGTGTTTTTTTTTATGGCAAACAAGCCTCCTGATGGAAAGTGGTAACCGTCGCCTATAGACATAAGCAGTACCATGGACATAACAGTGTTTCGCCCATGATACCCCCCATGCGTTGCCATTCCTGAGGACTCAGGTGTTATTCCTCTGTACCCAGTAAATTCACGTCATATCCCACCCTTCAAACCGAAACACAGCCATGCAAACAACTGTTTCACAGTTGAAACACAAATGGGACAGAGGTACCCAAGCAATCGACTTTTGTACAAAGTCTCCCATTGATATTAAATTACATTGACTGTCAACCCTTTTGATGAAAGTCACAAAACACGTGGACAATACTCACAGTAAGGAGGAAAGGGATTGTTAGTAATGGGGACTGAGAATCCCATTGCTGGCAATATATCCAACCAGGTCGACCTCCTCGCGTTTCCCCCTGGAAACTATCATGGTTAATTCCTGATGAATTCATCATGATGGGCTAACTGGCCTGTTTTCGTTCTCGTCTATCACCCTTCACTGGTGTTCCGCCAGCTTATCCCGTTGGCGCAGGTTGGGTTACCATACCATTTTCACCCATCAAAAAAAAATACTCACAGAAACATCAACATCGGCAATTGGGAACCCGATGTCATCACAGCGTCCGGTGATAACGCCAAATATGCGTAACATGTGGGTGACGTAACGCCCGGCGGAGGCTAGCAGAGGTGATGGTACTGGCTCGCACTGTGCCCGCGATGATAAGTACATATGTGACGCTCCCATCAATTCTCGTAATGCGTCTATAGCGCTGCGCGTGTCTATATTATCTGGAAGTATCCCCATGGGAGGGAAGAGATAGTATTATTATTATAATTTAATAGAAAGAGACTTTGTACAAGATTCATTTGCTTGAATACCTCTGTCCCATTCGAGTTTCTACCGTAACGCAGTTGTGTTTGCATGGCTGTGTTTCGGTTTGAAGGGTGGGATATGGCAGTGAATTTACAGGGTACAGAGGAGTAATACCTGAGTCCTCAGGAATGGCAACGCATGGGGGGTAATATGGGCGAAACAGTATACTTTGTTATGTCCATGACACTGTTCATACCTATAGGCGATGGTTACCATTTTCCATCAGGTGGGATGATAAACCTAAAAAATTAATGGCTGATATTGAGATTAAAATAATATACAAACCACAGAGGGCCGCGTGAACTTGCTCTTTGGCCTTAGTAAGTTTAGCAGACAGCTGCTGTTCCTCTGGTCCCCAGCAGCCGCCATGGCCTTCTGCGTATCCACTGCGCAATGCATCTTTCACAGTCAGGAAGAACTCCTAAAATCAAATCATAATTTTCTTTACACCCCGTTTAAGAGTTCTGCACATGGGGTTGACAAACGCAGTTAGGCTTTAGTAATATTTAAAGTGGGACGATGCTGCCTATCCCTCGACCACTGAATTCCCTTAATCGCCTCTTATGACACCCACGAGAAAGAAAGGGGTGGTCCATTCTACGCCTGGACCACACAGCATAATCCCTTAGTCCTCAAGGTGACAATTTAAGAATGGTGTCGTGGACATCACAGTATACTCTGTGATCTCCATAGTGCTGTTCATGTCATGCCACCTTAATTGCCATTTATAAAAAAAACTTACATTAAACTGTTTCTCTGTCTGTATAGCCATTTCCATAGTATTATTCGAATAATCGAGTGTATCTTTCCAGCCGTGCAGCAAGAACGCGAAGCGCAATTGCCGAGCGGTGTGCCTTTTCAGCGCTTCCTGGATAGTCACAAAGTTCTTCAGCGATTTAGACATCTTGCAGCCGGCGATAGTTAGATGGCCTGTGTGCAAGAAGTACTTCACCCAACCGGGCTGGTCGAAATGAGCCTGTGTACAATATATATATGAATATTAGCTGCAACCCGCTCGCTGTTTTACGCACACGAATGCAAATAAATTATATGTGTAATTTGTAATACCATTATTTGTCTCTTTCAAATATGAGTAAAACAAAAGAATAAAAATACTGCTTATTCGAATAAACTTAATTTGAAGCATTTTTGTATTTTGAAAACCAGTTATTATTAAACATCTTTGCAAGCTTTGGCGTTATATACGTTCGCAACATATTGATCCCCTGAAATCTATTGGCATACATCTCACTAGTGGAATACATGGCGTCATTGATGGCAGCATACATGGCGGCTGCAACAGTGTTTGTACAAGGTAGGTAAGACGCTATGTACAAAAGACAGACCTCAAAGAGGTGTGACCGTATCGTTGAGGAGTGAATTTTGTTAAAAAAAAAAAACCTTTGGACAATTTATTAATTAACTGTTAAGGACATTTCAAGTGCAGTGTTTTTTTCTTGATGGGTGAAAATGGTATGGTAACCCCGCCTGCGCTAACGGGATACGCTGGCGGAGCACCAGTGAAGGGTGATAAATGAGAAATGAAAACAGGCCAGTTAGCCCATCATGATGAATTCATCAGGAATTAACTATGATAGTTTCCAGGGGGAACCGCGAGGAGGTCGACCTGGTTGGATATACTGCTAGCAATAAGATTCTCAGTCTCCATTACTAACAATCCCTTTCCCCCCACAAGTGCAGTGTTGGAAAGCCGCCCTGGAAAGCGGATAGGTCAGATCAAAATTTAGAGAACAATCGGCGTGATTCGAAGCAGTTTACAGGCGGGAATGAGTCCACCGGATTTCCTAGAGTGACAGAAACATAGAAAACATCGAGCACAAAAATTTTTGGTGCCGTGCCCAGGATAACAAAATAGAGGTTTAGTAATCCTGATTTGAATGGAATGGCAACGCATCGGGGGTATCATGGGCGAAACAGTATACTCTGTTATGTCCATGGTACTGCTCATGTCTATAGGCGACGGTTACCACTTTCCATCAGGTGGCCGTCAGCTTGTTTGCCATTCTAAGTTGTATAAAAAAAAAGCATGGCAACTACTGGCAAAATCGCATGGTAAACAATAAGAAACAGCCCCATTCCATGGCAGTCTATGAGAGAGGCTTATGTTCAGCAGTGAACAAACAACGGCTGATATGATGAAGCAGATTATTCAGATAACTACCTATATTCGTATAATTAGTTATAGTTCTATACAAGTTCCGTAGACCGCGGAACAGTACAGGCCTTGCCAGGCCTTTAATGCAACTTTGTTACATTGTTTATTTAAATAAATGTATCCGGTCGAACATTACAAGCTTACTTGCCAAGTTCGGGGGCCGACCACATACTCTTTTTTTTGTTGCAGTATCCGGCCGTAGTGCTCCTCAAATATTGCGTCTAAATTGCGTCCACCATGTACCCTCTTGTATAGGCATTCCGTCACCCGTATCCAATAGCGAGGACGGGATGCCTTAAATATTGCACCGCAAACCATAAAAAAAAAGCTTACTTGCCAAGGCACCTAATTATTTGAGTCAACATAACGTTTTTATTTTCTATTGTACGTATCTATTTAAAATATCCCAATTGATTTAGTGTATTGAGGAGTGTTATATTCTAGCATTCATAAATTTTGATTCAAGAAAGATTTCAGAGAGCTCTTTCTTCCCGAATACGAATGAATTGGATACAACCCGGCGGGAGTCTAGTGGAAGAACACTTATAATAAATGTCCTTCGAGGACTTTCGTTCGAAACCCAGGCGTAAAAAGCATATTCTATGAAGGAGCTCGTTCATTTACTCATTTAAAAGAATACTTAATGATATGAGTCGTAAAAATCAGGATTGCATAGACAAAGGGCATAGAAAGATTATAGACTTTCTCAATCACAAACTAAGCAATCAAATTCTTGTGATTGACTAAATGATGCAGTTGTGGAGCGGACACATTCTTTATCAAAGGAATGTGATATATATGCCTTCTGCAATAATTCATATTCAGGACTCGACGGAAGTCAGTGTTGTTGTGCGGGCTATTAGACACTTGTGCTCAAACTTCACTGGTCACAATTAAATTGACGGATAGGTTGATCCTACAAATTCTTCTTAATAGTGATGCTGTTTCAGAAATAGATGGGATCGAAACATACAACGATGACGGTAAAGTCGAAATAGCAGTGTAAATGGTAAAAAATGCGGATGGGCCTGTATTGAAGACTACAGCGGTTGTGTTCAATAAAGTGATAGGTTTTCATTTAACGTTTTCATTATTATGTGGCAATCCGAGCTCGTTTACCCATTTCCTAAGCTAAAAACAACTTTGGGTGGAGAGATGTTCGCGCTAAATTGACTCTCTAAAATCTGTTGACGGCCATCTCACTAGTGGCATATATGACATCATTGTTATGACGGCTACAACAATGTTTGCACATGGTAGGCAAGACGTTATATACAAAAGGACAGACCTCGACGAGGTGAGGGCGTGTCAGTTGGGAGTGAATTTAGTTAAAGAACCTTTGGACAATTTATTAGTTAACTCTTAAAACCATATCAAGTGCAGTGTGAGAGAGACTTCCTTGTGAGAAGTCAGATCAGACTTTAAAGGACGACTGACGTGCGCTGAAGCAGTTTATAGGATGGAACGAGACCAGAAGATTTCCCAGGTAGGTGATAGACCTTAAGAAATACTTCTGTGTAATAGTTGGAAAAGCACAGTACGTTTAAGTTAAAAAAGAAATGCAAAGTAATAATTGCGCGTCGAAACTAAAATCTTCATTAAATTGAAAAGTTTTAACTTCGAATACAATTAATAAAAAATAAAATACTTGACATCCATTAAAAAACCTAAATTAGTTTTCGACACTCGCCTCACTCTGAGCCAACTCATTGTCATGATGTGGAAACTTGAGATCCACTCCTCCAGTGTGTATATCTAACTGAGCACCACACACATCAGACGCCATGGCCGAGCACTCGATATGCCAGCCCGGTCGTCCAGAGCCCCACGGCGACGGCCACGAAGGTTCGCCGGCTTTGCTTCGTTTCCACAGTGCGAAGTCGTTCGGCGATCGCTTCTCTGTAGTATCGTCGCTGAGGTCACCTGAAATATATTATAAGTTCTTTAAGTTTTAGCCGCACCTTCGTTAATTACTAGCAGATTTCTCTTGTCTAATATCAATCCATTCTATTGCAATAGTTTTCTACTGCACTCATGAAATAACAATTAGGAATTAGGTTAGAATTGGGATCGATTTACAATAGTTTGTAATGACAAGTTGCATATGCATCTATTGGAGGGAAGGGTTGGTTAATAATGCGGACTACCAGTCCCATCGTTAGTATACCCTGTCAGGTCGACCTTCAGGTGGTCCCTCTGGAAACCATCACGCTGGTGTTGATGAAAAGGTTTCTTAGTAATGGAAATGGGATACTGGCAATATGGGGTATATTTTTTTTAATGTGTGATAATGGAATGGTACTCCACCCGCGCTATCGGTATACACCGGCGGCATACCAGTGAAGGATGATAAGTAAGGATGAAGCAGGTCAGTTAGCCCATCGTGACGAATTCAACAAGAATTGTTCACGATGGTTTCCAGGGGGAACTACGTAGAGGTCGACCTAATAGGGCAAGTTGCTAGCAATGGGGCTGTCAAACTCCATTGCTAACAATCCCTTTCTTCCCGTGCAAGTAGGGTTACTATTTCATTTCCTATTAAAAAAAAATCTTAAGAATGAAGGATATAGGTTTATTTTATCCTGATCAAACTCTGTAAGGTTACTCCTGAAATAAGTTCGGATAAATTGATATTAAAATTGAGATGCTTCCTACTCTCGAATTTTAATTTTAGCGACATAATGGTGCCATATTGTTTTAAATATGCATTTTTTTAATGTATGCTAATGGAATGATACCCTGCCCGCGTTACCGGTATACATACACTGACGGAGTACCAATGAGATGCGATTGCGGTGGATGAAAAGGTAGGTCAGTTAGCTCATCGTGAGAAATTCAACGAGAAATTAGTCATGATAGTTTCCAGGGGGAACCGCGTAAAATTCTACCAGACGGGGTATATTGATAGCAATGATTGCTAACCTCCCAATTTTAGTAATGACTAACAATCCCTTTCCTCCGGGAAAGAAAGGGGCTAGCCCATTCTATGCCGGGACCATACGGCAATATTTAATAATGTTAAAAAAATTATTAATAATGAATGCAATAAATAAAAACCGCCAAGAAATGTATTCCCAAAGAGGGTTGACGTCAGGCAGGCGGCCGGTCGTAAAACTATAATCCGAATCCTTTAGTAATATGGATGAATGAATGAATGATGAATGGTTTATTTTCTCTTCACAAAAGGTAGAATAAAGTGACAACTCGAGGTACAATTTGATATGAAGACCAATTTTGTGAGACTGGTGCTTGTGGTAGGTTTAGAAGAACCTGTGTTACAAGTCACCAGTGCCCCATCTCCATGGACTACACAAATACAATAAAACCATATTACGCCGACCTCAAATAATAATTGGGATAAGGGTAGGAAGATTATGATGATTGCAATAAATACAAACACGAAATATTACTTAATCGGTGACATAAATTCATCAATTGAACTTCGCACCTCCACAATAAAGTCCTAAGTTTGCGTTTAACCCTTCTTTGCATTATTTCTTTTATTGGTGAAATAAATCAAGGTGATATAATTCATGTTTAAAATTAAAGGAAAAATGTTTAAAAAAAATAAATTTGACAGCTATGTTTTTTTTTTTAATAGACATTAAAAAGGTATCCACGCACGATCAACTTAAAGTGAAATTGTTCTTTTATATAATTTTTCGGCATTCAATGTTATGATGGAAATTTCCACCATTATGCAAAGAACAAATTCATTTGTTGATACACTTTTTAGTTCTATAGATAGGTAATTTGTTAAATAACTGAACTGTGAGATAACAAAATACAAAATTTAAACATAAGAAGACAGGTTCTCTGTATTTATAAAGAACCTGTGTTCTTATATTTAAATGTTGTATTTTATATCATCATCATGATATCAGCCTTTAACTGTCCACTGCTGAACATAATCCTCCCCTTTAGGGAGTTTTGCCAGTAGTTGCCACGCTTGGCAGACGGATTGGCAACCGCAGTCTGGCTTTGTAGACGTTTTAAGAGGAACGCTGCTGCCTTCCCTTGTCATCCTTTAGTCGGCTCTTACGACATCTACGGGAAAGGAGGAGGTAGCCCATATCATAACGGGACCACACGGCAATTAAAAATCAATTACTCTGAATCAAAACGAATAAACCTTAGTGTGTTAAAAATGTTCTTTAAACACCTACGGTGAAACTACATATGTACGTATATATGTATATATACACGAGTAATTTACAATGGATAACAAAATTTATTTTGTGCATAACATTAGCAATGGTATTTGGGGATTACCCCTAATCTTATGTACCTAGTTCCAGCTTGTCTACATTGGTTAATCCAAAAACAAATATGTACAAACTTCACTATTTATAGCGCATAAACACATGCTCACTGTGATAAACATTGCTGATTCATAACTAAAGTCGTATTCTACGAATTTCTGTTCCTTTACGATCCAAACGCAAAGCCCATCAACATTGCATCATCTTCAAGTGAATATATATATTTAAAAAAAAAAACTAAAAAATAAAAAAAAACATTTCATTTCATCTATACAAAATGAACTGTCAAATTTTAAAATCTTTACAAAAGGCCTTCTGTTCATTAAAAAAAAATAGATTCCTTTTCGCAAATAAACGCCGCTTTCAATCGTAACAAAACAAGTTATGTTAATTTAAAAACCAAACTATTAAATCAATTTTGATGAAATTTCTTCGGGAGCAATCTGAAAGATCTATCTATAGAGAATATCCTTTCGAATAAAAAAAGGTCCAAATCGGTTTACAAGTAACTGAGTTATAAAGTTGTAAACATAAAAGAATAGAATAGAGTACCTTTCCCATCTCAACCAGCTTCAAAAATGGAGATTACAATTTCGTTTGTATTTTTTTTTATGTTTGTTACCTCATAACTCCGGCAGTTGTAAACCGATTAAACCAGTTTGGAAAATAGTTTTTCTTTTTATCTGAAAGGATGCACTCACAGATGTTGCATAATTTTTTTTATCATAATCAATAATCAAAAACTACTGAATAGTTTATTTAATTCTCAATAACTGGTTATATCATAGTTAAAGTCGGTTTTTTGTGGGATGTGGTACTTTTAATTATTTAAAATACCTATATAAATTCATACATACCTTCCCCTTCCTGCAACGACTTCGTGTCACCGTACGCCTCTGGTACCAATCTAGCATATCGATGTTTATCCCTTTCGTCGAATCCGCTCACATTGAAGTAAACTGAGCCATTCGATTCATATGCTAAGTTGTTGTCTAGTATTCTCTCGATGAACCGTATTATTTGTGGGACATATTCACTCACTCTCGTTAATACATCTGGCGGTTGTACCTGATAAAATTATATATATATATATAAGGATTATGTCCAGCAGTGGACAGTTAACAGCTGAAATAATAAAAAAAAGAAAAAAAACAAAAAAATTCAACCGAATTGAGAACCTTCCTCTTTTTGGAGTCAGCCGAAAAATTGTAGGTAAATGTTAAAAAAAAAAACATAATTGTTGGTAGTTTTACAAAAAGACTTGCAATCTTTCGCAATCCATTACATACCTAAGTGTTTTACGTTTCGAGATTAATTCACAATATAGTTATACTTACATTGAGAGCTTTCATGTCTTTGTGGAATTCGTTCTCCCAGTGCCGTGGTAAAGATTCAAATATTGCATTGTCGGTGACTGTCGAACCGTACCTATTATCCAGCCAAGCTGACAGAGGATCTGCTGCAGACTCGATCAGTTTAGACTTTGCTGTATTAATTTTCTCTGTATCATTCATTTCTACTGCCGATTTCAGGTTCTTAACTGCAGCTGCAACACTAAAAAAAAACAAAAAATACATGAAATTACAATTATACTGATTTAATACAAACATTTACATTTTTGGCTGGCTATCCAAAAATGTATAATGTTATCTCAAGTTACCATTCATTCATCATAATAACTTTGACTTCATTTAATGGTAGAGGGGTAGGTCGCACCGTCCCTCTTGGAACATCACCGAAACCTAATTGCGATTGCCAACCCGCCTGCCAAGCGTGGCAACTACTGGCAAAACCCCACTTATAAGGGAGGCCTATATACATAGGCCCTCCCCATAAAGGAAATAGCAGCTACTAAATAGCAGTAGACAATTAACGATTGATATAAAAAATAAAAAAAAAATTACCTGAGCTAACTCGATGTTTCAATCAGCCGTTTCGACATTCAATTCCCGTCTCATATAAACCATAAACAATGCAATATAAAAATCTAAAAGTTAGTATCCATTACGTATTTACAAAGTAAACTGAAAATCAGACAAATGTCCACAGCGACTTTGTTTTATATCATTTAGTTGAGATTTAAAAAAACAATTATAATACATACTTCTCAAATATTTTCTGCATGGTATTCCTTTTTTCAGGATCGGTAGTTTGCCGGACCAATCCATCATAGTAATTCAAGGCAGCTGTTGCATCATCCAATGTACTATTTATATCTCGATTATTTTTCATATATTTCTCATACAGATAGTTCTGTCGTGCCCTTTTAATGATTTTATCATCAATATCTGTTATATTCATGACATATAGTATGTCATAACAAAAGTAATCTGACAATATACGCCTCAGAATATCTAATGATATGTAGGATCTAAAATCAATATTAAAGTGCATTACAAAATACTCTCACTATATATATATATATATATATATATATATATATATATATATATATATATATATATATATATATATATATATATATATATATATATATATATATATATATATATATATTATATATAATTTGGCAATGGATGATAATGGAATGATAACTCCGTATGCGGTAATGATATATACCAGTAGTGGGTCACCAGTGAGAGAGGATAGGTGAGGATACAAAGATGTCAATTGGTCTTTTTTTTATGCCACTGAGGTGGCAAACAAGCATACGGCCCACCTGCTGGTAAGTGATTACCGTAGCCTATGAACACCTGCAATACCAGAGGTATTACGCGTGCGTTGCCGATCCTGAAGAAACCTCTTTACCCCCCTTTTGAAGAACCCCATGCTGTAAGTCTCTTGGGAAATCTACCGTGATACTACCGTGATAAATCCATCAAGAACAAACCCAATGGTTTCAGGGGAAAGTACTATAAAGGCGGATTTGACAGGGCATATTGCTAGCAATAATCTAGTCCCCATTATTAACGTTCCCTTCTCTTTCTTTCATGAAACAACTAACTTCATGTACACTTAGGTATCGCCCCTCAAGAGTACCCTATAAGCGTATTTTTTTAATGGGCGATAATAAAATGGTAACCCCATCCGCGCTATCGGTATACACTGGCGGAACACTAGTGAAGGATGATGGGTGAGGATGAAGCAGGTCAGTTAGCCCATCGTGACGAATTCAACAAGAATCGTCCACGACGGTTTCCAGAGGGAACCACGCGGAGAACCTGATAGGGCATATTGCTAGCAATGAGGATGTCAAACTCCATTGCTAACAATTCCTCCCGCCCCCCTATAAGTGTATAGCAATAGCACCGGCGCGGCTACCATTCCAATTTGAACACATACAAAAAAATTGCTAATTACCAATTTTAGGGGAAAAGAGATTGTTAGTAATTGAGTCTAACTGCCCCGTTTTTAACAATACACCCTATCAGGTCGAACTCCACGCGGCTCCCGCTGGAAACTATCGTGGTTAAATCTAGTGGATTTTATCACGATGGGCTAACTGACCTGCTTTGTTCATCACCTATCATCATCCCTCACTGGAGCCCCAGCAGCGTATAACAAATGCGCAGGCGGAATTACCATTTCTTTACCACCCAATAAAGAAAAGACCAATGTTACATTGAAATTAATTATAATTATTAAATCACCTACCTGGCGTGGCCCATGTGCGCAGCATCGTATACTGTTGGCCCACAACTGTACCACTTAATATGATTTCCATTATTGCAAATGAACTCTTCCTTCTGGCGTGTTAAGCTATTATACAGTTTTAGAACAGGCCGGTTCACACTGCTAGCCGGCGGCGACCAACTAGGCTGGGTTCTTTTAGACATTATACAAGGTGTTTTCCTTCTGAGTTCTACCCTTGAACTGATATTAAAATAACACCGTACAACAGTTTTATTCGCTTCGATAGTACTATACACAAAGTCAAGGACTAATAATACTCGAACCGAGAACGATATGTTGCAAACAATCCAAATGACTCACAAAAACAGCGTGAAAACCCATAATAAATAAACGCATGATAACGATTTCGTTTGATTATTTGGTGTGGTAAAGATCAAAAAATTAAATCCAGGTAAATCCCTACCATAGACAAAAGCGTTCACCAGAGAGCATTTGTATATTCATAATTATATTCCAAAAGAGGCCTGGCTGAGGGTGAATAATATATACCAATATCTAATTTTTTTTTTATTTTTTATACGCCTATAGACATGAGCAGTACCATGGACATAACAGAGTATACTGTTCCGCCCATGATACCCCTCATGCGTTGCCATTCCTAAAAACTCAGATGTTACAGCCATGCAAACACAACTGCTTCACGGTTGAAACACGAATGGGACAGAGGTACCCAAGCAATCGACTTTTGTACAAAGTTTCCCTCTGGTGAGCATATATTGCAGTTATAATATCTATACATACCAAACAACCATTTACGGTTACTAGAGTTAACTCGGCTAAATGTAACTCGAATAACTTCAGTTATTTGAATACCTCCTTGTCGTCCAGTGCAGTGCTGCCAGATTAAGTATTTTTTTTTTTTGCCTTTTAGGCTATCTCGAGAGGTGTTAGAGCCAATTGCCACTTAGACTGTTTCGAAAAAAGGTTCGGCAGTTTTAACATATAAAGAACATTTATAAGCTAATTATAACAATTTTTGCATTTTCTATGTATTGTTTATAAAACCTTAATAAAAAGATAGTAAGTTGTAAGATGTATTTATCGAAGTATCTGCACGTTTAATGGCATAATAAAACGTGTAGGGAGTATATTTCATGTGCTTTAAATTTATTAACAATATTAGCAAATTAATGTAATTTGGCATTTTTCAATGGATGATAATTAAATAGTAACCATAGGCATATTTAGAGATATAAGAGGGGGGGGGGGTAGGCGCGAAGCTACATAAACACACATGTGAGAGCACATATGCACTTTTTTTAAGGGGCTGTGCAGTGCTCCTTTTACTACTATTCAAACTAATTTTTATGGTTCCGTACTAAAATGATACAAAGAAAACCTTATACTGCATATGAATAATACATCAGTAATTAAAAAAAAAAAAACATATAAAACACAATATATTTATATATATATTCATGAAGTGAAAACTCTAAAATAATTACAGTTTACAAAGGTGTATGTGATTAACATAGCAAAATAAAAAAAAATATTTCTAGTGCTGTTTTAGAGAAATTATCAAATAACCTCCAAAAATATTTATTTCTCGTATTTTATTTTATATTTGATACCTCATAACTCTTGTCAGTCATAAACTAATGTGAAGAATTATTTTTTCATAAGAAATGGTACACTTATAGAACAGTTCCATAGAAATTTTATCAAAATCGGTGCAGTAGTTCAGTTTCTGAATCAAAGTTTTGCCACAATTGAAGTTACTTTTCTATAGAATTATAATAATATATAATATATCTATAATTATAATATATTATTACGACACGAGATGGAGATGGTACATTTGGGCGATTTTATACTTAGGCTACTAGGGCTAAATTTTTTGGCTATTTCAAGTCCAGTTTATCTGGCAACACCGCCTCTAAGATTGTCCTAAAAATGATGAGTGGATATCATTTTTCTTAGATAAATATGCTCCGATTTCACCTCCTGAAAAAGAAATTAATAAAGAAACATTGAACAGTTTATTTGAAAAAATTGGAAATCCAAATTGTCAATTCCTCTCTCAACCCTTTTCATTCAGTGAATTCGAAACATCACTACATTCCCGAAAATACACTACTCCTGGATTAGATGACATGCCTTATAAAGTTATACGATATTTACATAGTAATGCTAAAAAATTGCTTCTAGATATTTATAATCTACTATGGAATCATCAGTGCATACCACCATCTTGGAAAACACAATGTGTAATTCCCATACTAAAACCGGACAAGCCACCTCATGATCACAATTCCTACAGGCCTATCTTTTTGTCATCTTGCATTGGTAAACTTTTTGAACATATGCTTAAAACAAGATTAAATGTTTATGTAGAAAAAAATAATATATTACCTCCTCAACAATTTAGCTTCCGTAAAGGCCATAGTGCCACTCAAAGCTTCACCTCCCTTATTGCTGACATCAAAAAATCTTTTCACAGTCATTCCTTTACAGTTTGCGCATTTCTAGATGTACAAGGTGCCTTTGACAATGACCCTTCTAGTTTGGTTTATATTCTTAGCGACATTGGTATCCCAGGTAAACTCTGTAAATGGATATTTAATTTTCTATATGAACGAATTATGTATGTTAAATACAATAACTTAATACATGGTCCAAGATATGTTTACAAGGGTACTATGTAAGATGCTACTATTTCTCCTTTATTATACGACTTATATACGCGTCACATCAATAACTATTTATCACAAAATAACAATAGTATAAGATTTCTACAGTTTGCTGATGATCTCCTTGTATATACTGTAAATAGTAATGTAAATATTGCTATAAATAACATAAATACTGCATTAAAATAAATATGTACCTACTACCATAATAAATTAAATTCAATAATCAGCCCTAGTAAAAGTGGTGCATTAATATTCTGCAAAAGACAATACCATTCCTTACAGCCTATTTTGTATAATAATAGTACCATGGATACAGGAGAAAAAGTTTCTTGGTGTATGTTTAGATTCAAAGCTGACCATTAATAATCATATTAATAATATTGTGAGGGCTGCTTCCAAAGGTTTTAATATATTAAAGGCATTAGCTGGACTACACTGGGGTTCTGATCCACGCACACAATCTATGTGTATACAAAAGTATAGTCAGAAGTCATTTTGACTACAGCTCATTGGCGTATATGAATGCAAACCCATCTCTGTTACAAAAATTCAATATTATACAAAATAAAGCACTGAAAATAATTACAGGAGCAATGTGTTCAACAGTATATATATGTGTGTGTTATGTGTACGATAGATATATATAATTATAGATATGGTGATATTTGCGACGTATGGTAAAGACTTCAATTTAAAGTGAATTCTTTATAATGTCGAGCTTTAAAGGATTTGTATCCAGAGCCGTAAAACATATTATTAAAAAAAAAGTTCTCATGTGCTGTAGTATATAAAATGCATGTTATTATGCACTTCATATACTGTTGGACTGTAATCGAGTGTAGTCACGTTTTACCTCCATTCGTAGTGAATTAAAAAAACATTAAAATTATTGAATTAAATAGTGCATATTCTACTACAAAATTACAAGACATTTCATTCTTAAAAGAAAAACGAAATAAATAAATACTGGCGACTAGTAAATACTACATGACTACAAGCGAAACTTTTGACGGCAATTATTTTTATAGTGGTGTTTATACGTACCTACTGTTATTAGAAATGGAAACATTGACGGAGATGATTAATAAATTTTCTATCACTAGTTATGACAAAGACACATCGCATTGGGTGGATGTTACTTACATTAATCATCCCCATAGCTTTTATGTTCGCCCTACACTTTACAGAAAATACATGCAGGAATTACAAGCTTCCACTGGGAGTCTAATAGATCCTTTAGATATGCACGTGGGTAAAATTGTTATTTATAAATCGGAAATACTAAAAATATACGCGAGAGGACAAGTAATCCGAATGAATGCTGAAATAAATGGAATTACCTGTGACATCCAAGCCTTGGACCATGGTTGTTTGGACAAAGCTGTGCCATTAAAGCAGATGTACAAACCTGTGATTGATTCGTATAATCTACCACCCTTAGCTATTCACTGCCAACTATCAGAGTGCTATCCTATTGGTAGAAAATGGGATGATAAGTCAATTGATGCTATGAAGTGTTATGTAGGCACTGAACAAGCCAAAGTAATTATTAAGGATAAAAAACTAGACATTTTAATCGTGGAGTTGATAAATTCATGCCCTGATGATATTGCCACCTTACTTGTGAAGACTGATTATGCAAGTCTTGGATTTGACTTTGTTAATAATAGACTTTCATCCTCATCTGAAAATAAGAACATGCATTATATTTATAAAAAGTTTAAAGTTGGTGACAAACTATGGGTTAGAGTACAAAGTGGGAAGGCCCTGGATAGCTTTTTTGTTTGCGCAGTAGAAGATTACAAACCATATTTACAAGAGAAAAAAAACTTTACATTATCTTACAAAGCGTTGAATGAAAAAATTCGTCCAGAAGATATTGAAGCGGGACTACCTGTTGCTGTATTAACTGAGGATCAACGCTATTATGAGCGTGCAGTTATAAAACAATTTACTAGCTCCCAAGATAAATATGTGGTGCAATATGTTGATAGCGGGAACATTGTTACCGCACATTTCAACTGTATGAAGCCTCTGCTACCGTATCACTACACCCGACCCGCTTTGGCCATTTATTGTTCCATAGATAAGGAATCAGTGCAGGACACTGGTTTACAAAAGCTTCTTCATCCTGGATATGATTTTATTATTGAAATAAAAAAGGTTGGAGATAAGCACAATTCTCCCAATATTGTTCAAATTATGCCAATATTGTCTACTTAAAAAATTACTTAAGTGTATATGATGCAACAGTTGTATGTAGGCTATACAGACAAAATATATTAATATACTGTTTGACTATAAAGAAAATGTTACTAGATTTAAAATAAGTGTACTCTTGAGTTGAAATTCTATGCGACTGAAATAATGTTGTCTTTATTTTTAGTCTTTGTTAATGTTATCTTATTTTTTATTTTGGTTTTAATGTAAGTCTAGCTATAAGTGAATATCTTTTGTGCTCAAATTAGTTGTGCGTTTATTATAAAAATTTAAATTTTGATAAATGTGAAGTAAATTCACTATGAATTTATCTATATGTTGTGTGTATGGTTGGTATGGTAAAGATTTAAATTTTTATAACAATAGTAGCATAGTTCTTTTGGCATGTATGATATATGTGACTAGGAATTTATTGATCAGATGAACCACATGTTTGACATAATTATTTTTTTATTTTTATATTACATAGTATGTTAATTCACATAGTAATTCTCATACTCATACTTATGTATGTTGTTTGAATATGTTATTTTGTTTTGTATTTCTAAAAATATATTAGATATAAGAGTCTATATGATTTAAACAACAACATCATTTGATTAATAATAAGTATGTACTTTGAATATGTTATTTTGTTTTGTATTTCTAAAAATATATTAGATATAAGTTTCTATATGATTTAAACAACGACGTCAATTGATTACTTCATTACTTTGTATTTTTCATATATTACTTTATAAATTAAAAAAAATATATATAAAACAAAACGATGTATTTTTTATTATCATATCAAACGCAAACTGTCCACCGCTGGACATAGCTTTCCCCCATATTCCCCATGCCACAAAGAATGATCTAGAGCCACCTGCATCCACTGATCCAATGCATTTGAGGTCGTCGCTCCGTTTTGTGAGGGGACATTCTTTATTCTTTACTGTACATAAAAAGTGATTTTATCAAAAATACAACCATAATAGGAGACAAAGGCGAGATTATTTCTAAAATAAATTTCTTCCAACAAACCCAATATGGGATAAACTAACAGTGTATTACTATAAACATACTTGTGTACCAATCTACTTAAATGTTATAGTTAAAAATAAACAACAATGTCTTTACAATTAAAAACACCGACAGGTATAAATAAATGAATAAAAATATATAGGTATCAGTCCTATATTCCGTTTGCCCGTACAGTGTCGCCATTCAAGAACCTTCCCCCGTCATCTGATGGGTAAGAAACGTCAGTTTTTTAAGCTATTTGACCAGCCCATTAGCACTTCATCTTGCTTATCCTGCGGATCTTACAGGCGGTCATTTTGGTTCTACGGATATCCTTATCTTAGATTCTTATTATAACCTCAGCGAGCTGGGGGGAAAGGGATTGTTAGTGATGGAGACTGAGAATCTCATTGCTAGTAATATACCCAACCAGGTCGACCTCCTCGCGGTTCCCCCTGGAAACTATCATGGTTAATTCCTGATGAATTCATCATGATGGGCTAACTGGCCTGTTTTCATTCTCATCTATCACCCTTCGCTGGTGCTCCACCAGCGTATCCCGTTAGCGCAGGCGGGGTTACCATACCATTTTCACCCATCAAAAAAAAACCTCAGCTTGACTTGCGATAGATAAGTGTTCAATACATGTTTAGATGTCCTACTACAAAAAGAAATATGGCTATGATCTATGCCACTATTAATTCGGCCACATTCATACCATATCTTTGTTTACTAGCTTTAACTAGCGATTTCGTCTAAATACCCAGGGTAAAAAGTAACATGTGCCCTTCTCTGTCCTATATCGTATAACAACTTTTATTGTAATTGGTTAAGCCGTTAAGGAGTCAAATCGTAAGTAACAACTTGAAACTTCTATATAGGAACAACCTTGTAGAACAATGTTTCAGTTCAGTAAATCACTACTGGAAATTTTATTTAGATTAGAATAGAAATAATCTCTATTCAAATAGAATTCTTTACAAGCTCTTTTAAAACTTCAGTTTTTTTATAACCCTACTTCTGGGTTCGGGAATGCTGAGAAGAACTCGCAAGAAATTTAATAGTTACTCTTTTAAAATTATTATGTACACGTTAATTTTACATTTATACGAATACTGTAACTATAATAAGCATTGAATTCTAATTATATATAAATGATTCAATGTAAAATAAACAAGCAAACATGAACAGACAATCCCCACAAGCAGCACCCTTTCACGAGTGTGAAGGATGGAACAGCCATCATTGCTCTCAATCATATTTTAGGTAACTCAACGACACGGTTCATCGGGGGGAAAGGGATTGTTAGATTGTTGATGGAGACTGAGAATCCCATTGCTAGCAGTATATCCAACCAGGTCGACCTCCTCGCGGTTCCCCCTGGAAACTATCATGGTTAATTCCTGATGAATTCATCATGATGGGCTAACTGGCCTGTTCTCATTCTCATCTATCACCCTTCACTGGTGCTCCGCCAGCGTATCCTGTTAGCGCAGGCGGAGTTACCATACCATTTTCACACATCAAAAAAAAAAAAGACACGGTCCATCATGCTGCCAGGGGGGAAGGGATTGTTAGTAATTAGATATGCTAATTAAAAATTAAAACGGGTAGTAAACGTTAATTTTTATTAATATGTACCCGTTTTTTTTTAATGTTTACTTTTATGCCTGCAACTAGTTTTTTTTTAGAGACTAATCTTCCTATTGATACAACAAACAATTCTTTCCTCCGTTAGCGCGGATAGGTAGCCATACCATTATTATCTATTACCCCCTTATTTATAACAATTACAACGTACAAACCTATTTTAGCTGATATAATTCGTCACTGTCTTTCAGTCTTTCAAATAGATAATTTAGCGCAACAGAGACAAAACACTTCAATAGAATATATTTGTTTATTAGAGGTATGACATTTTTATGAATAAAAAAGTTATTTTATACGTAATTATAAAGTTTGGTACGTATTATATATTCACGTCCCAAACAATATTAAAAAAAAAAAGTTATATTTAGTTACCCCGTGTGTGTCCCGGCATAGAATAGAATCCTTCCTTTTTCGTGGGTATCAAAAAAGGCGACTAAGGGAACTTACAGTCAAGGCATACAACAGCGTCCCTCTTAAAACATCTCTAAAAACCTAATTGCAGTTGCCAATCCGCCTGCCAAAAGTGGCAACTACTGGCAAAACAAAAAAAATCTATATATGAGATAATTAAAAAAAGGTAGATGGTAATGTTAAACTATTTTGTTTTTTTTTATACAACAGAATGCCAAACAAGCTGACGGCCCACCTGATGTAAAGTGGTAACCGTTGCCTATGGACATGAGCAGTACCATGGACATAACAGAGTATACTGTTTCGCCCACGATACCCCCATAACATGCGTTGCCATTCCTGAGGACTCAGGTGTTATTCCTCTGTACCCTGTAAATTCACGCCATATCCCACCCTTCAAACCGAAACACAGCTATGCAAACACAACTGCTTCACGGTTAAAACATGAATGGGACAAAGGTACCCAAGCAATCGCTTTTTGTACAATTACAATTTAAATTCAAATAAACATATCGCTCAATACAAATTGCCTACTTTTATCACTAAGGAATGGAATAAATAAACTTGGCAGAAATCGACACCTCAACGTACAGCTACATTGTATCTGCCATTGTTTAAATGAATATCAACTTTATCGACGTTGAATGTCAAATTAATATGATTAAAATCGAATAAACTAATTATATGACCATTTGTTAACTACATCGCTAGGTAGCTGATTCCTCGAATCGGTCATACCAATGCACTACTTGCTTATTATGCTGACTCGTATATTTAGGCGTATGAATAGGTTTTATTTATGTGGTAGGTATAATTTTAAAATTAAATTCTTTATCCTTTGACCTTATTGATCTAGCTTCTTACAAAATTCGCATCATTCGCACAAAAGTATGCGATATAATATATAATATGTGTACAAATATATATATATATATGTACACATATTATATATATTTATTATATTTTTTTTCGTAATATATGTATATATATATATATATATATATATATATATATATATATATATATATATATATATATATATATAATATATAAAATGATGTATAGATAGCTATCAAGAATTGTAATTTAATATGTATTTGTTATTTTGAATAATTTATTAACATAAATGAAGTATAATTGCCTACAACACTTCATTCCTATTTCAATCATAATTACAAATATAAAAATAATGTATATGGCAAAACAACGTTTGCAGGGTCAGCTAGTATATATATATATATATATATATATATATATATATATATATATATATATATATATATATATAGGCGATTTTTATAGGTTATGGCTGTACATCAGGTAAGCCGTCAGCTTATTTACCAAATTTGCCTTTTACATTTTCATGTAGGTACTATATATATTGATTGTACGAGGTTTGTCCGGAAAGTACGTATAAAAGTTTTTTAAAAATTTTATTTTACAATTATTCAGGTAAATCAATTTTATCCCCTTCAAAGTACTCCCCCTGTGACATAATGCACTTGTGCCAACGCCGTTTCCACTGTGAGAAGGCTCCTTGAAAGTCCTCTGGTTGTAGGTTTCTCAGCTGCCCCGTCGTAGCTTTTTTTATCTCATTTATGTCCCCCAAATGCCGCCCCCGAAGTACCAATTTGGTTTTTGGGAACAAGAAGAAGTCACACGGGGCCAAATCCGGCGAATAGGGGGGTGTTCGGTCACCGTAATGGAATTTTTACTCAAAAACTCACGGACAACAAGAGAGGTGTGGGCAGGGGCATTGTCGTGGTGAAGAATCCAACGCCCCTCTCGCGCCAATTCTGGACGAACTCGTGCCACACGAGCTTTGAGGCGTCTGAGCACATCGACGTAGAATTTTCCATCAACTGTCTGGCCTGGAGGGACGAATTCTTGATGGACAATCCCCCGAACATCGAACTCTTTCTCGGCCCTCTCTGAATCTTTTTAGCCACTTGTGGACGGTTGGTTCCTTCACAGCATCATCCCCATAAACTGTTCTGAGATCGGCAAAAATTTCACGGCCATTCTTGCCGAGTTTCGAGAGAAACTTGATTACGACGCGCTGCTCTTCAACGGAAGCGGGCTCCATGCCGACTGGGTTTCGTTAAGAGGTAACTTCACAGATGGCGTGACAAGCCAGTTCGCACCGCACGGCGGTCAGACCAGAACTGAAGCATTGTTAGGGACATAAGGAAGGGGTCCTGCGCTTACCTGGCCTCCCCACTCCTCTTTTTCGCATTCCAGAACACTTTTATACGAACTTTCCGGACAGACCTCGTATTTCACTCGCTAAAGATATATATACAAGTTAACATTCATAGTCAGCTCTTATTGTGCATTTATGCCATATATAATATAATAGCGGGCAGCGCGATAGATTTATCACATCAATGCTGATAATTCAAAGTATTTAGTGACTACCCGCAATAATTTTATTATTTCATATTTGTTAGTTGAGTTTAACGCTGACTGTTTTGATCAACAGTTAAAACGTGTAATTTTTATTGCTTTTTTTTACATTTTTACTAAAATATCTACAGTTTTCATTATGTCATGTAAATGT